ATCAGCATGCTGAGTATCTTATGTATTTTCCTTTATTTGTGGAGAATAAGTGCCAAAATTGAGTTTAAAATAATAAGAATTTTTATGCTTATTGGGTGCAATCGCTATTGTGCTTATATTTGCCAACTTAATCCCACAGAATTTTTCTGTTTGTGATTTCTCAGTTGTATGTGAAACACGTTCATATCTCTATTTCGTGCAACCTGCTGGCAAATCTTGCCTCTCTTTCTGTGCCACACATTTAGAATCATATTATAATACACTCTGCAAACTAGTTTTTATACCATGTACTCCTTGAAAATGGGTATAATCAATGCCTCTGGATGCACCCTCGACTTTTAAACAGGTTATATGAACTAGTTATACGGATCAACTTGTAGAGTAGGGTATTATATAGGGTATTATTTTTTGCTGTCGCAGTTCGCTCAGCTTTAAAGCTATATTCACTTCTTTTTCTAGCTGTCATTGCCAAGATTCTGCTTGCTGTTTATATATTCGCAAAATCTTATCAACATAGGATTATAATATACAGTTGTACATAAAGAAAGCTGTCGAGATTTGAATGGCAGTATGGCTTTCTACATATTTTAGCCAAGCTCGCCAATTACAAGCTCCTCGATTCATATCAGATATCACCGAATCCTAATCAAATCATCAATGCTATATTATATGGCTACTACAGGAACAGTCGATTGTAACTGAAGCTATTTTTGCATGGGCTCACCTATAAGCCATGTCTGCTAGGGTATTTAATCTTTGTGGTGCGGCAGATAGCCGTTGCTACTTGTTTTTTAATGCATTCTGCTCATTCGTGAAATGTGTGGCTCGGGTAAACACGAAGTTTGTTATTGGCCCAAGCAGCCTGCCAGAGATGGAAGAGGGTGTGGCACTAGGTGCTCTTGCTTGCTGCTGCACTTTGATCGGGCAGCAGCAGCGATAGCTGAGCGACCTCCTCGATGTTGATAACCGAAAACTATGTATATGTACGCTTAGTGGCATACAGTGGCGGCCAAAAAAATGCGTACAATGACCGTGATCAGAGAGAGTAGATCAGACAAATAAGTGAAAGTCCCGGCTTTATGTATACATATATATTCAGTCATCAAAAAGTTTGCTAAAGAAAATCGAATGGATCAATTAAATGGACATTTCGATTCGGATGATAAGCTAGATCGATCCCTGTGAGACATTACCAAAAGGCATCACTGTCGAAGTGCAATTTGTATATTCCATAGGGAAATAAAATACTTTTCTGCTCTGTCCGAATCTTTTTGTCCGCCACTGTATGTGTGCTCATATGTATTTACCGAAGCCTGTTGCCTCTTGTCTCTTGTGGAGGGGCAATTAAATAAAGTCAAACGCCGCGGTCCGACCAGTCTGTCTTCCAACGTTGCAATGGGTGAAGCTGGTGCTGGAGCAGCTGCTGTTGCGGACAATTTCAATACGTTTAAGGAGCTACTAATTGAGCGACGCGGCCGGCTGCTAATTATACAATTCAATCGACCGGCTGTACAGAATGCGCTGCGCCGTCGCACCATATACGAGCTACTGCGTGCCCTGGACGTGGCCAATGCGGATTCGCAGATCAGCATCGTTGTGCTGACGGGAAATGCGAATGCCTTCACATCGGGCAATGACTTGACCGATCTGCTGGCCTTGCAGCGCAAGAGCGGCGATGAGGCGCTGGACGTACACTTTCGGGCCTCGAACTTTGTGATGAAATCGCTGGTGAAGAAGATGCTGATGAATCGCAAGGTGCTGATCGCTCTTGTTCAGGGCAATTGCATTGGCCTGGGCGTGGTCATTTGCGCACTATGCGACATTATCTATGCCACGGAATCTGCGCAGTTTTGGCTGCCCTTCTCGCAGCTGGGCCTTTGCGCCGAAGGCGGCACCAGCTGGACCCTGCCAGCGTTGCTGGGCCGCAGTAAGGCCGCCGAATTGCTGCTATTTGGTGAGCGCCTAGACGGCCAGACAGCGCTGCGTCATGGCATGATCGCCAGCCTGGTGCACAATCAGCAGGAATTCTGGACGCGCCTCGACAAGCTTTCGCGTTTGCCCTCCGTCTCATTAATGAGCACCAAGCGGCTGCTGTTGCAGCCCTGGCGCCAACAACTGCTTGATGCTCTGGACGCAGAGTCCGACCAGCTGGACGCATTGCGTCGCGGCCCGACATATCGCGCCCAGATAATGGCCTTTGCCAGACGGAGCAAGTTGTAAAATCCGTAGATATATAAGATTTTTAGCTTAAATAACAGTTTTTTGTTTTGATAAATTTATCGCTCTAATGTATTGTACTTTCGGAGTTGTTTTTGTTGTTTTCAGGAAGATCTTATGGGTGGGAAATATTTAAGAGAGCTAGAGGGAGGAAGAAAGAGAGAGTTAAGGCGGGGATTAAGAAAGCGAGCTGTCATTAATCCGAGCATCATGCACTCAAAAATTAACCGAAATTCAAGAAAATTTGGCAAGGAACCGGGAGGTGTTTCTATCCGAATGCTCTGGCATAACTATCAAAGAAGGTAGTTCTCGTAACCACAGAATACACTAAATTTCAACGTATGTATCATTCTTCATGTATAGCTTCATATATATGGTCAAACGATACCCTAGGCAACTGATAAGAAGTCCATCGACATACTCCAAGCTCTCCGGTCCCCGAGCCTCGTGTGTAAATAAAAATCAGGTGCACAGTACTCAAGTGCTACAACATGATAGGGTCGATCAACCCAGACAGAACAGGGTGTTAAAGATATGCGAAGATGAGCGGGTATAAACAAACAAACAGTCTTGGGACTTAGGTATATAAACTAAGCAGCAAATTAATATTAACATATTAAATAACAGAAATCTATGGATCAGCATGATATGCATGTTGTGCATGCTGACAACCAGACTCATTTGGTTCCATTTTCCAGCATGTACAATTTAACATTGAATTGCTTAACATATGTTATCGCCCTGTTAAGTAATTGGCTTAGCTTAGTTCTTATGACTTAGGTTAAAATAAGAATTTTATTAAAATTAATAATAATCTTTGTTATTTTTATAGATGAGATACACGCTGTTTACGCTAAACATCTCAAAAACTGGAATAAAAAGGAATGATTAAAGTTAATGTAAAAACTTTAGTGTAACGAATTGACAATTATTTACAATAAGAAATCAAATATTTACTTTACCATTTAAGATTTTATATGATAAATAAATAAAAAAAAATTTAATACCGAAGTACTTGTCGTTTTTGAAAATCAATCTATTTATAAAAAAAAAAAGTCTGATGAACACGAAATGAAGAAAACACCAATTCTAGAATATCTACATATCACATAGTCTACATTCACATCGAGCTGACAGAAAAAATCTAGCTCAGAAAAAGGCTAATTTTCAAAAAGTTAGCATCAAATATCATCATTATGCAAAATCGATTACGAGAGACTTATAGGTTTGCGCACACATGCATATATAAGCACACAAAAACATACATATATACCAACATACATACATACATATATACATATACATACATACATACATACATACATACATACATACACACACATACATACACATATATATATATATATACATATATATATATATAAATATGTTTGTAAACATATGCATACCTACATACACACATACATACATACATACATACAAACATACAAACATAAGAAATATACAAACACATACCTTTATATGAACACAATACTTTTTCACAAAAAAAAAAAAACTTATAGTCAAAGCAAGGAAACCTGCCAGGCTTACTTGAATTCATGAGAATCGAGGAGGAAGGCACCACTTTAAAGTACGTTGCATTTAAATTTACTGCGCTGCTTGAATTTAACTTTGTTGGCAATTGCTACATTCATGCAGACATACACACACAAACACATGAACAAACATACATACATACACATATACATACATACATTCATTCATACATACATTCATACATCCGTTCATAGATACGTTTAAACATATATTCATTCAAACATTCTTTTATAAATTTTAAAACACATGGCACGTTTCATTCCACAAATTTTAGAAGTACCTTTTTTATTCAGTTTCCGCCAGTGTAAAATATTAACTCCATGCCCTAAGTTAAACTTTGCAGAGATATTTGAAAATAAGTTTAAAGTCCATTGGATAGTAAGCAATATTTCAATATTTTTCGCCAAATTTTCATAGCTGCGTTGAATATAAGTTTGAAGCCGCCAATCAGATCAGATGCTTATCAAGAGGATCCAAGCTGTATCAGACACGTTAGCATCTTAACCCCTGACGAGATAGAATTCAATGAGCTAATTATTTTGCATTCTCAATCCGCTATCAAACAATAAGAAAAGCCTGAAAAATGATTCCCCCATCTCCACCAGAAGATTCAAAAATTTAAATTCAATCGTTGGAAACTTCAAGTTTGACGAGTTTAGCTGGACCCTCGGGTCGCTTCCTCCACGTAACTTAACTTCCTTAAGGAAGTTAAGGATAAAAGCTTAACAGGTAGAAGGAGGCGGATTGGACAGGACAAAGAGGGAGCACAATAGGAAATCAAAAGGCGACCGAGTTCCAAAAAAGAGAGATCCTAGCCCCCAAAAAAAGCAGCTTCCAGAGGACCTGTTGACCTTCGGCTATTTTCATAAATCAACCAAAAAATTCTTTTGTTTAGAGAATATTATTATAATAAGCAATAGCTCTTCAAAAAGTTACGCTTGGATCGAAACTTTATTTTCTAGGTTTATATCGAATATAATCCGGCGTACATTGGCCAAACCCGCATCATTAAAATCATAAATAGAAGAGCGGTTAGAACAGTTGGTAAGAGATGGCATCAATAGACTCTCACGGTTACTGTGGCTGGTATTTATAATTGAATGGTTATCGATTAAGGATAACTGAATGCGTTACATTTTCCAATCGGACTCATTTCCTGAAATCGAAGTAATTATCGCACAATTAAGTAAAAACCAATATTGCTCGCTAATCGAATAAAAAATCAAATTCCATCAGATCCCACTTAAAGATATATGCGTTGAGAAGCTGAATTGAATGTTGAATTTATTATTATTGTGATTTTTAATATCCAAGGTTGCCATCCATCAAAATTCAGATCTGTGCTCATTGTTTGGGCTGCCTTGCTTTAACCTTCTGAGGTAAATGCGATATGAATTGTTGTTTTGTGAAAAAGCTGCCCAAAATATTTTCGATTTCTAAGATTTGTCTCGCTTGTGCTCAGTCTAAGGCTTAATTTGATCGCGATCATGCACGGACCGGACTATGACCATGCCAGGGGGTTGTTCCTGCGCTCAGCACTTTTCCATACCTGGCAGCTGGTGGACGAGGAGGGAAACAAGTACCCTCTGGAGCCATTCAGCGTGATCGGAAATACCGAAGGTAGGGCTAACCCGTTTCGCTAAGGCTTGGCCCATTGATTTTAATTGTGCTTTCCGCAGACTCGACTGTGTCGATTCCTCCCGTTCCGATTCCGTTTCGTGTCGAGGCAGTGGCCTCCGAGGAATTCGATGGCTACACCTTCTACGAAGAGTGGAAAATCGAGAACATTGGCAACTTTGCATTGGCAGAATCGGTTCTCGAGATTGGACAGGGCCAGCTGATTCAAATCGCTGGCCATCGCTTCTGGTTGGATTGGGCTGACGATGACAGTGATGACTAATGTGTGTTGACATCAACCACTCTTTAAATGTTAAAAATATAATAAGGAAAAGCATAGCTGCTAACAATATTGCTGCTGCCCATCCCTTATTATGTTCTTTTTAGAGGCTTAGCTAATGTATTTCAATTCCCAATTCAACTTATTTGTTTCCACTTGTATACATATTTTTACTTAGCATAATATACAAAACTTAGTTGTGTCCACTTGATGTTGTTGGCCACTTGGGGAATCCGGATATTATTCCCAGCTCCTGGAGTGGTACGGGGTACAAGCTGGAAAATAGGAACATAGAGATTAGACCTGGGAAATAAAAACAGAATGGAGCAGAATGGATGGACGACGGGAGCGAATGATTGTCAGCTACACGAGACACCACATTCGCATTTCAGTGCTTTGGGTTAGATTTAATAATACAAATCATTTGTAATTTGTCTAATTTCGTTTTTGAATAAAATGGGTTCGCCAGCTAAAAAATTAACGATCTAGTCATTTGGGCAATATGATAATTCTAAATGATTTAAAATAAAAACACGATTATGATTCTTCAACTTATGTCTTATTAAGCATTAACAATGCATAAAAGGGTGTTTCTTCGTCCAGGTTCTGAGTTCGAAAATTCTTACCCAACTTATTTGATCCAATCTTTTAAAAAAGGGAAACTATATTAATAACAGGCCCTCTTGCCTATGTCAAGGATTATTACCTGAGCTAAATTGAACAAGCGTTTTATTAAATCTAGAGAAGAAGAGAGAAGTTCAACTCAAGGCGGTTCTGAGCCAAACCAGATTAAAACCATAATTTCAATTATTTACCTTGAGCCTCAACTTGAACCGGTTCACTTAGATAAAGATCAGCCGAACCGAAACCTTTACGACAGATGCAGACGAGCGAACGGATCATGGCTAGATCTAGCTATTAATGTGCTAAAACCCGATCAAGTATGTATTAATAATTTCCAATAAGTTCGGAATGCAATAAGGGATGTAGATAGTTAAAAAAGTTGAGGAACAACGTTCCAATTGAAATCTCGGTTCCGGAAGAAATGGAGCTTAAGACGAGGCATGGGTTTGAGCCGTCAATCGAACCATCAGCAATGGGTTTGAACCGTGAACCGAACCATCAGCAATGGGTTTGAACCGTCAACAGAACCATCAGCAATAGGTTTGAACCGTCAACAGAACCATCAGCAATAGGTTTGAACCGTCAACAGAACCATCAGCAATGGGTTTGAACCGTCAACAGAACCAGTAGCCAAATACACATTAATTAAAAATGTATATCTAAATAAATATCTATGTGTATAAATATATGTATATATATATAGAATAGAAAATCATGTCGTTTTTGTTTGAAAGAAAGGAGTTTGTATTTTATATAAGTTCTCAGAATTTGAGCTGTGTTATTGCCGTTCATGCTATAACCTTTTTGGGGTTTTCTTGTTTTTGTTTTTTTTTTTGTTTTTTTTTTTTATAGAATTATTAATATTAAATGTATTTTTAGAGTGAATTGTAAACGATTTGCTCTTTGTGTAGGTTTTTGTATTCATCGCCATTATTATAAAGCAATTATATATATATATATAAGTATATATATATATTATATAGCAATCGATACATCTGGTATGTACGTATTTCATTTATACTGTGTTTTTCTCTTGTGTTATAAAGTATCAAAAACAATTTTGTGATTATATCGAAATTAGTTTTAGCTTTTACTTGTTCTCTTGGGTTTCTTGAGTTGTTTGTTCTCTTGCATGTGGCATTTCTATAATTTGCATTGTTTAAAATAATTTGTATGACCTCCTTGATCTCTGTCGGAAAGTATTCTGGCTTTGCTTTAAGCTGTTTGGTCAAACCCGCCAATTTTTCTTATAGACATACATGCTCATGTGTTGAAATGTATGTGCATTTATCTAGTACAAATTTTCGTTTTGCTTACATTTTGTTTTTGTTTTTTTTTTTTGAGTTTATTGTGGTTCGTTTATTTATTTTTTTTTTTTTGATTTTTTGTTAATTATTTTTGAAATGACTGTTAATAACGTTGTTCTTTTTTTACTGAGAATTGTTGTTGTTGTTTTTTTTTTTTTTGTTATTAGGCGCTTGCAAGTATTTATTTTGCTACAATTATTATTGCCAGGTTCGTTAAGAAAATAACTTTGTTAGATATTAATGCATTTGGTAATTGTTGTTGCCGTTATTTTGTTTTAATAAATATATATATGCACATATATATATATATATATATATATATTTAATGTACTTATCATTTGTTGTTTATTATTTAATAATTATTCTGCTTGAATATTTAAACACATTTGTTTTTTTTTTTTTTGGTTTGTGTAAAGTAAAATTTGTTGTCTAGATTATTCACTAGCGGTCTTTTGTTTAATAATTAGAATCTTTTCAAATATTGTTGCTTGCCGCACATTATTTAATACTTTTAGTTTCTGTTTGTTTTGTTACGTAATTTGCTACAGTTGGCATTTTATGAACTGTTCAATTTGTTGAATTTATTTGTAAATTGTAATTAATAATTTACTAGCTACGGATTAATAATAACAACAGACAAAAATTAACATTTAACTACAATGCACCTGCGCTAATTTTGCGTTCATTTGTTTGTTGTTGTTTATTTAAACATAGTTTTCTTGTTGTTCTTCTCGTATTGCTTTTATTCATTTAATAGTTGAACTTTTCACCGACACTTTTTATTGCTTTCCATTGGCATCAATGCATTAACATATGTATTTGGTATAAATGTATCTGTATTCCCTGTACCCAAAGACTGACTGTGCCAGCGAAATAACTGCAGAAGCTTAGATCGAAAGCTCAGTTGATTGCGAGTAGTACGTAAACTATGTAGGAGTTCAATTAGTTAAAATTTTTGCATATGCGTATGTGGGTAGCCCAAGTGGCCGTGGGGGGAGGGGGGTACAGGGTATCTTAAACTGGGATATGGTCTCGAGTGCAGTAATTAATAATGTTAGCTTAGGCTTGACTGAATGTCTTTTTTTCATTTTAGTTTTCAATGCATACCCTGTAATTGTCGTATAGGATATATGGTTGTGTGTGCAGGGTGCATTAGACGTGTCAGGCTCCATAGATTACTAAGTTTTATTAATCAGCTTACTTATATAAAGCTTATACTTAGGTCGAGTCCATAAAGCTACTTATTTCCATCCGTCTGTCCGACAGTCTAGTTGCATTCCTTTAAGTTTTATATCGTTTCTAAGCATTTATTAATAAAATGTTGAATGTTTTACTTTTGTTATAATTAAGTATATAATAATATATTTGGATGCACTACGGTCTATGAATATTTTCGCATTTAATTGTTTAGAGTTGCTTTCAATCAGGCAATGCTACGCGCTTTAGAAGCGGTTGGGTTGTTGTTGATGTATTTAAAATTGGGTACAGGGTATTAAATAGTCGCGTACTCTCGACTATGCCCTTCTTGTCTGTTGGCCGTTACTGAGGACGGATTAACTACCAAAAAATGCAAATATTATTCTAAAGGTAATAAAAAAGTACGTTATCTGTGTTGAACTAATTTTATAATTACATAAGGTTAATTTCGTTTTCTTTGGCCAGCGGCCTGATGTTTGTTTTGTTATTTACTTTTACGTTTTTTGCATATATATATATAAGTACATTAGGCACGATTTCTCAAGCACCAGTTAGCATTAAGGATAGAGAGAATCAGGCAGCTCAACCGTAATTCAACTGAAGATTGAGGAAACCGGCCTGACTTTATGTTTTGCTTCTATCTATTAATGATTTCTCGTCTCTTAGCAAATGCCAGTGTGTGTGTGTGTGTGTGTGTAATTGTTCAAGTATTTGCTGTATTTTTCTATTACTCTTGTAATTAATTTTAAATATTCTTTTAGTTGTGTATTAAGGCAAACGCAAACGCATTTTAATTGTGAATACATAGTGTCAACTGTTAGCCACTTTTTATTTTCTACATATTTCTTAATATTTCATTGTGTTTAGAATATTTTTCGGATTTTGGATTTCGTTTTCGTATTCAAATTTCGTAGCTGGCCTGAAAATGTCAGAGCTCAGTTAGGCAAACGCTTTGCTACATTCATATGCATGTCATATATGCATCACATATTGCATATGCTTATGTACATCATATGAATGTTTATATATTTAATAGTAATTCATTAATGAACCTTTTTTTTTTTATTTCCTCTTGCTAACTCGTTCAGTTAATTTGTTTGTTTTACTTTTGTCTTTGCTTTGATTAAACTAGAATGTTTTACAAACTATTATATTATTTAAGTTATGATTTTAATTATTAGTTTTAATTTTAAATATATGTATATATTTACTTTACGTGAAATCACAGTCCGTATGTGAAAAGACTTTATGTACTTGAATGATAAAATATATATATAGATATATATATGTATATACGCATGGATTTGTATATGTATTTGTAAATATGTATTATGTATACGCTGTATATACGCATATACCGCTAATTAATTCGTATATAAGTATGCAACCTATATACTCGTTTTATATATATATTTATATATATATATTAACTATATTTTATGCATAAGTATCTCAAGGCTGTGACTGAAAAAATGGTGTTAACAAAATGCATATTGAGCGATGTGTGTGTGTGTGTGTATCTGCACTCAATGGATAACAATTTACTTTAAATTTGCTTTTAATATTATTTTATTTAAAATATAAACTTTGTTCTTTGTTTTGCTTAATAAAAGGCATTTGTTAAATCTTGTTCTTTGAAAAAAACTTCTTGGTTTTAGATTCAAGTTGATTTTCTTTTTTTTTTTTTTTTTTTTTAACTACATAATGAGTATGTCTATAAGATTTGATTCAAATTGTTTTTTTTTTTCTTTTTTTTTCTTAGCTAAAATGTATTTGTTTATTTGATGCATTTTATTGCTGTTGCCTGCCAAGATTCGTTAGTTTAATTATTCATTAGCTAATTTATTTAAAAAAAACCTTTTTTTTTTTTTGTGTGAATTCAATTTTTTGTTATTTTTTTGTTTACTTTTTAGTTGATATGAGCATTCACATAAGGTTTGTGATCTTACAAATTCCTGTGTGTGTGTGTATGTGTGTGAATAAAGCAAATGTTTAGCAAAAGCGCATTCGAGACAAAGTTAAACAAAGGAAAAAGGTGTTGAGAGCTGTGATCATTTACAGTTAGGATCTAATATTGTCATCAAAAATGGGGCACGAGCAAGTAAGCGATAGATAGTAACAAATTCTTTATAGAGATATGGAGAAAACTCGTTAAGAACTGTTTGTTTTCAAGTTGGGAGCAGCATTCGAATGAAAATGAATGAATAATTATTTTATAATTGTTTCTTTTCACTTTGTTTTTTTGGTTTAGTGTCTCGTATAACATTAGGCATTTGAAATATATATATATATATTTTAAGTATACATAGTAGTAAATATATGCATATAAGTACTTGTGTTTCGCTTTTAGTTTTTATTTATTTTTTCTGCTTGGTTGTGTTTGGTTTAAAAAACAAAAAAAAACTTCTTACTTGCTGATGTTGTTGCTTTTTTAATTATTATTATTTTTTTTTTTTATAATATTTTTTTTGTTTATTCTTGAAGATTTGGTTTCTGTTGTTGATTCTACGTGTGTAACTAGTAAAAATTCATAAGCGCCATTTGTCAGCTGATTTGAAATCAATTTGCAGCGTTCCTTGTATACTACATATCTAGAACGCCATGCTAGTGCGCCTGCCGCCCATGCAGCTGGGCCCGCCGCCGATGCCACCGCCGCTTGGTCCGCCGCCGCGCATCGCACTGTGCGAAACGCTGCGACCCATGCGCGCCCCGCTGCCGCGTCGTTCGCGTGCCCGTCGCAACAAATCCGAGGTGCTCGGCCGGCGACTGCTGTTGGCTGAGCTCGGCGAGCCGCGACGTCGGCAGCCAACAATATCCGAGGTTGAGGAGCGGCGTATATTGCCCGAACTGCTGTCGTCGGCGACCGCTGTGGAGGACGCTGCTCCGCCGCCGCCGCCGCCGGCTATCATGTATGGCGACAGATAGTAGGGCGACAAGGTGCTCGAAAGTGCCGGCGAGCCGCTGTGCAGCAGTTGGGTGCTGGAGTTGCGTCGCGGCGTAAACGGTGACTGCGAATAATCGAGCAATAATTTCATCGACTCCTGCGCCTGCTCCTCATCCGCATCGACGCCCTCGATGCGCAGATGCGGCGGTATGCGCCTGTTTGCAGCGCCACCTGGCACAGCCAGACTCATGCCCAACAAGGATGAGCGCGACTGCGACTGCGACTGCGAGCCGGACTCGGACTTGTGGCCAGCACTCGCCGGTGCGCCCGCACGCAGTCCACTGTACAGCGTCTTGATGTGAAAGTCGAAGGATTTGAAATTGAGCAAAGAGCGTCGCTTCAGACCCTTTGCCTGCGCCTGGCCAACAGTCGATTCCCGCTCCTCGTTGCTGCCAATATCATTGTTGTTCAGCGTATCAAATGGATCAGCTGAGGATCCACTTGGCGGCTCAGTTGCTGTTCCTGCTGCTGCTGCTCCTGCTGCTGCTCCTGCTGCTGCTCCTGCTGATGCTGCTGCTGCTGCTGGTATGGCTAGCTGCTGATAATGTTGCAGTTTGTGTTGCTGCTGTTGCTGCTGCAGCTCATGCTTGCTTATTGTTGTTGTCATAGTATTGCTACTTAGGCTAGTTTTACTGCTAATCACTTTCAAAAATTTATTATCATTATCTAAGGACTCCTTTCGTCACTGAATAACACAGAAACCCTGCTTTGCAGCCTCCTTGGCATCCGCCTCCTCAATGAAAGCCTCCTCCTCCTGCTTTGGCGAATCGGCACCGCAGGGCCCACCGCCGCTCAGGCTGAGTGGGCCCTGCGGGCAGGCTGATTGTCACCGAAGCGCCAGTGTGGATATCATTGGCGGTCGCACCGGTTTATTCTCCAATATCCGCTCCAATTCCAGCATTACGCTGGACGACAGCCGCGGCAATAGCTGCGGCAGCAACAATTTCATGATCAGAACAATTGAAGGTTATCTAATTTGGGTGGAAAGCAACTCACCTGCAACGATTGCAAGCTCTGATGCAGCTGCTCCGCCGAGGTGGCGCCCAACAGAAGGCACTGAACGGGCTCGTGCTTCAGTGACCAGGCAATCGATAGCTGTGTCGGACTGCAGCCAAGCTTCTCGGCCAGCGCGGCCAAGTCACGCAACCGATCGCAATGGCGTCGCCCCTCCTCAATCCGATCCTTGCCCCAGCTACCCTGCGGCGACAGTGCGGCCTACAGGGGATCTCTTGTTGTTGAATATATAATAATATGCGTTTTAAGCGAACTTACGTTGCGATTGATCTCATCCTCGGTCCACGAAAAGCTCTTGGTCTTAAATGAGCCCTTGGGCAAAAACAGTTTGTCCCCATTCTGCGTATCGCTCAATGCCATGGACAGTGGTCCCCAAGCCATCAGACCCACGCCTATTTTGTTATACATCTCGGGCAGGTAGAGCTCACACTTTTCGCGACAGAACATATGGTATTCCGACTGCTCAACAATCGGTGTTATGCAGTTAAACTGCCGGCAGTTGGTATACGCCTCCATTATCTCAACCTGAGACCATCTGGCGGTACCCCAATACATGGCCCAGCCTTGCTGGATGACATAGCTCATGGCTCGCACCACTTCTGCAAGCAATGTTCAGTAAGAGATATAGGCATAAATATGGATACAGATATAAATGAAATTAAAATAGTATCAGAAAAGGTTTGGGTATTAGCTATCAGTATAGGCATAGGTATCGATGCCTGCAATAAATATGAATTCGTGTTAATATTGGTAGAGGAATTTTTTTTATATATAAGTAGTTAGAAAAAATGTAAATATTTACGCATAAATATGGGTATAAGATATTGATATAGTAATAAGTAGTTGATAGATATGCCTGTAATAAATAGGCATAAATATAGGCATAGGAATTGGCATAAGTATGTCTCTATATACAGTTAAAAAATGTTCAAATATTTATATATATAAATGGACATGAAATAAATATATAAGAAAAGGAATAAATATAACTTCTTCTGCATTATTTTTGACACTTCTTTTCAACCATTTCAGGCCCTTGAAAAAAAAAAATATTCCTGCTCGATTATTGCCGATTCCAGTCAGTGAAGTGGATTTCCCGCAATCGGTGAATCATTATTAAGTGGTTTTATATAGGTATTTCATATATATAAAAATATGAACAAGTTAACTAGCGAGTGGTCTTTTCCCGGCGTTATTAATTTTCTTCATCTTGGTATATTCGAATATTCCTTTTGTACTTTTCCCAATTCCACTTAGTGGAGTGGTTTACTCGCAACCGGTGAGATTGTAATAAATTGCCTTTAGATATTTTTGCACCGATTTTTCAAAAGTAAAATTTAATAATGTAGAGCTTCGAAAATAAGTTCGTAAGCGTACGAACTGATTTAAATGTAGTCAAAGTATAAGTGGAGAGTACCCACCTTCCATGGGACACATGGGATCTGCCTTGTGAATGATGACAATATCGATGTAGTTCAACTGCAGACGTTGCAAACTGGCTCGCACGCACTCGATGATGTGTTTGCGTGATAGGCCCCGCTCCTCGGATCTGTTCAATTAATAAACACATTAGTTTGACAACTTCCCGGATATAATTAGCTATAATAGTTGAACTCACTTGGTGCTCCAGTACACCTTGGTTGTGATCACATAGGTGGTTCGCTTCCAACCCGTGCGCTGCAATATTTTGCCAATTTCCGTCTCAGAGTGCGCCTCGGAGATGTCAAACAGATTGATGCCGCTGTCGATGGCCAGTTTTAGTATGGCCTCGGCCTGCTCATCACTGACGCCCGGCGAGAATACTGGCCATGTGCCCAAGCCCACGTTCGAGATACGCAGACCGCTCTTGCCTAGATTCTTGTACCGCAAGCCGGGCGTGGGCGTCGAGCCGTGCCGCAGCGGCAGCGCCGGATTGGAGCCCAGGCTTATCGAACGCCCTAAAGCGGTGACAGTGGCGGCAACAGTCCAGAGATTGATCAGTATGTCAGGGTTGGGTTGGGTTGGGTTCGGTAAGCATGCGGCGGGAAACGTTTGTTTATTGTTATTGTTAGCGGTTCCCACTACCGAAAATAAAAACAACCAACAAATCGTGCAACAACCAGCATAAATCAAACGAAAAACAAAATACTTTAAGCGTAATCTATAAAACTATTTGCCTAGATGCAGCATTTAGTTTGTGTAAGTGGGTGTAAGTGGGATCAAGATCTCAATTTTACCAACTACAGTGTACTGAGGCTACTTTAGAATGGTCTCCTTTGAAATCAAATCGCACCGGTTCGAACCCGGCATTCCATGATATATTTAACTGTGGATCGAAGCGAAGCGAATGCTTAAAGCATTGCTCCAAACACAGCCGCATCAGACAATTAAAAATTACAAATGGAATTGTTTCATTAAATTTTTTAAGGATGTGACAGAAGTCTGGGTTCATTCCAACGAATCGAAAGTCAGGCACTTGATTTGAATTGTAAATCGAACCAACAACTTCTCTTTTATTGGTTTGCAGCACTGTTTGTAAAATAGTTTAAAAGCTTATGTCTCGTGGGCGTCATTTAAATACTCAAACGATGCATGCATATGTCGATATATAACTATGAGAAGTATACAGGCAGTAGGTTTTTCAATAGAGGTTAAGAACATTTTCGTTTAGCAGCTCGTACCACTTGAGTTGATTCGTGTTGAAATTAAAATTACTATATACGCGTGCACCACTAGTCAAAAATCGGGTGTTTCGAGTGCAAGTATGTACGGGTACTTATACGTCATTGATATGTATGTATTGTACATATGCAATTATAGAAAAAATACAACAAGCCAAGCAATCGAAGAGTATCAACTAAAAGAACAAAAAAATTATAAGGTTATATAATAGTGAGAAATTCGATACCGAAATCAAGATGACCGCCCGTACCACTGAACTCCTCCATGCAGTCGAGGGACGCTATCGGGGCCCGGCACCTGCAAATGGATGGGCATTAAAATGCTTCAATTAAAATGATAATATATTTTGGTAATTTTGTGATAAAATTTTTGCCAAATATCCATGACAATTGATTAGTTAAATAATATCGATAATTGTTTAAGAATCATCTGAAACAGTTGAAAATCAATATTTGTAATTAACATACATATATACGTTTTACCGGGGGAATATCCTTATTACAACTATCGTTTCCATGCAAACTATCTTGCAACTATCGCGTTCGATAGTTTTTCAATGCAAGCGCTCAAGGTCAGCTAGGGATTAGACAAGCTCGCTTTACCTGTAAATGGTCACCGGGTTCGAGTCGTCGCTCGCATTGTCCATATTGTTGTTGTTGTCGTTGTTGGTCGCCGCCTGCGCGGAAGTGGCGCCCATTACGAAATTCAATGTGCCTGGCAATGTCACGCCAGACACATTCAAAGTACCGCTATTCATGCTAACCACTGTATCTGACGCTGACGCTGACGCCGCAGCCGGCTCCGCTGCCGTGAAATTCGCTGTGCCTAAGATGACAGGCGGCTGCAGTACCGTTATGGCTGCACCGCTACCATTGTTGCCAACGTCGCTGTTGGCAACGCCGCTCAGGCCGCCCGATTCGTGGCCCAGCAACAGCGGGGTGCTGGCATTGGGCATATCATGTTGTTGTTGTTGTTGTTGCTGTTGTTGTTGCTGTTGTTGCTGTTGTTGCTGTTGCGTGTAGTCGAACGTTGTGTGCGTGGCCGTGGACCCAATTGCGTTTGTATTTGAATTTGTGTTTGTTGCTGTGTTTGCGTTTGTGTTTGCATTTGTATTGGTGCTGTTTGCTGCCTGGCTGCCATCGCCATTCAGACTGCATACCATGGACATCTTGAGCGGCTCTCCCGTTAACCGTTAACCGTTAACCGTTTCCTTAGCTTTCACATTAAATGGTCTCCATAATTATTCTTATTCTTGTTTGTTATTGGCTTCTGCTTGAATTCCGTTTGGTTTTCTGTTGATTTCTTAACTGTTTATTGGATTTGTACACTAGTTTTTCTTAAACTTGACTAATAATCACAATTTGAATGTTTCACAGCAGCTTTTAGCTGTAGCTGCTACTTTAAGGCAAGTCCAGTCAAAAATTTGTTGCTTTGGATTCTAGAGTATGGATTAAACATTTGTTTTGATGCCGAAACTACACATATGGTACACACATATGTACACACACACACACATACACTCATAAAAGTAGTTGAAGTACATACATTTGCTAGAATGCGTTCAACTTTTACGTTGACAAATATGCCCTATGAAATGTGTGCACTAGCTAAGTAGTAAGAATATCATATCGTACAATTTTAAGAATGGACTCTTGTTAACATTTGTCACAAACTAGCTGCCTTTCACATTATGCTCGGCAATATAAAAGCCGTTTGCAGTGAATAATAAATGAAAGGGCTCTAGGCCCTTTTGTGTACCTCCAGGGTATTAAGCTGTCGAGTTACAATAGCGCGCATCACTTGGAGTCTTTGTTATTATGGCTTTTCAATACAAAACAATGGTTAACTGTAAGCGGCCACGGCCACATCCAGGACAACAACACTCTCTCTGACAAAAGGCTGTTGAAGTAATGGGGTCAAAGTTCGTGACACCAACAAACTGTGTTGGGCCACACAGCACAATGAAAACATTTGATTTGCCTATTCCAACACACAGAAATGATGCCAGTTGAATGGACAACGATTAGTTAGTAAACATATTTATCAAATTATCTGAAGAGCATGTTGTTGTTATGGTTATTGTTGAAAACGAGGCAGTTGCACACTATCAAATTATATTTTTGATTGGTAAGGCAATAAAACAATAAAATAGAAACGGAATCATGCATTTTCCGTGCACAGCCTTTTCTCTGTATAAAGCTGACAAATGTTGATTAATGATGAGTCGAGGTAAGGTTTTCTTTATCGTTTTTTTTTTTTTTTTTTGAAAATAGTTGCAAACGTGACCTGAAACCAAACATTAGCCCATTGGCTGTGGAACCAGGGCCAGCGTATGCCACCTCACGTGGCTGGTCACGCAACAAGAACAAAAAAAAACAGAGCCAAGGGCTAAAATGCAAATTATTGTGCTCCGTAAGCAAAAAACATTATGACCCAGGCGCAGCATTGACTTTGGCTAAGAACCAATGCCTAATTTTTATTACCGGCCCGCCGGCCCGTGACTTCTGGCATGTTGACCTTCGGTCAGGAAAGGATACATAACCAAAGTGCCGCCAACCTGAGGCCCGGTAACTACACAATTTCTGCTCAGCAGTTCCGAGTGGAAACAACAGCACACACTATGGATATTGCTTACATTATTCGCATATTTATTGATTTTAGAAAAGCAGCTGCAGGAAGTGCATTAAGCTCTTCAACAGCGTATTTCGATTGCTGATTAATTTTTAATTACAATCAATAGCAACAAAATATTGTGAGCACTTATTCATTACGAATAATAATAAGGGCATATAAACAAGGCTGCAACCTGGCTTAAAAACGAACTGGATCTGGTTCAGCTGAATAGCGCACAAATATAAATTTAAAAAATGTTTAAGTTTTTGACTAGTTAAATACTCTCAAAAACGAACTCGTTACCATCAGAAACTTGTTAAGAATGCGGGACGAACTTTTGAATCATTAACGCGATTCATAGAAGTTGGAAAATGTGGTTCACTTAGCGAACCTTCATTGTTCGTCTTTTGAAGCGAACCACTGAACATTATTATTTTATGCAATATTATTAAAAACTTGTAATTTGTATTTAAAAGAGTACGAAAAGAATAACAATGTTCCACAATGCATTTTTGCATTTTTTTTTATTTATTTACTTATTGAAACCGCACTGAGGGAGGCCACTTAGCTCTATGGGAAAGGTGGACCCACACATTCATCTAGCGGCTGTTTAATATTCAATTGTAAAACATATATAAATATTTAGTTGAATTCAATATTTGTTGTGGGCACTGCCAGCCATTATTATGAAATGCGGCGTTGCCAGAGTTGATTTGGCATGCAGTGAAGTTGGCTGCAGCTCGCAACGAATTATAGCTCCTATTTGCCAGAACTATATTTTAAGCTGTTATTCAACATTTATTTCTAAGTTTCTTTGAATTTTTGAAGAATGTGGTCAAGAACTCTCTTAAAATCACCGATACGAACATTAACGGTAATTATATACTGTCGTCTCATCTGATAAGTATAATGAGCGCTTAGCACTTGAGGTGTGTGCATTGTGGGTTTATATGAGTGCTGCGGGGCGTGAGCTGGGGGCGGGGGGGCGTTAGGGCTCTAACTAAGCTTTCGATTTAGTGCATTGTGTAATGTGGTATTAGAGACAATTATTTTTAGATTAACAGCAGTGGATGTTAAGCGCGTACAGTGGCTCCCGAATGTATGCTATACTAAATTGCCGTTGTGTTAAGTGCACACGTAGCTGTGAGATTTTGTGACAGATGTGTGTGTGTGTGTGTGCGTGTGTGCATTATATAGCAAGTCCATTTATTGATTTTGTTTAGCGTTTAAATTGTCTCATTGGGGATTATCTGTTTAGCTGTGACCTTATATGCAGCTATATGCACATATATGTCTATATATATATTTATCCTTAGCCTTGCTTTGACATATTTGGCCTATAAATTGAAAGTCTAGGCCACGCTCGCGCTGGCTGCTGTTTGTGTGCTTCTATGACAACTGAACCGCACGGCCCGCAATTACATAAAACCAACTGCTGGGCCAGGCCCTTGATCTTAATACCAGCCGCGCTCCGCACAGAGATTTTGCGGTCGGCCTAAAAGCAACAAAAATAAAAAGCAAATGGGAAAAATGAAAATAAATGCAATTTTTATGTTTATGCACTTCGTTGCAGCTGCCACGGACGCGGACGCGGAGGCGGAGGCGGGCGCGGACGAGGACATGGACATCGTGGCTCTGGCTGCGACACCTCCCCACCGCCCACCAGATTGTCAAGCCTTGACTTGTCTCGCGCTGATGCTGAAAATAGTCCACATTCACATCCACATCCACATCCATACACACAAGCACACACACATACGCAAACACGCGCAGCGCATTGTTACACTATATATTTTTTATTGCGGAACTTTTCAAGCCGCGTTGTTTTGAGCTACTTTCTGTTGTTCTTGTCTTTCTCACAACCCTTGTCTTACCGTGAGTTTACACTACCAGTGTTGCAAAGTGTTTTACGAGTGCAGCACAAGCCAACGTTAGCTTGGAAATGAAATTGCGAATGGCAACTGCAGTTGAGCTTATTTTACCTCTATCCTAGACTGCATATGTCAGTATTAATTTGTAATAGAGCTTGCAGGAAAAAGGACTTTGCGAATGTGTATATCTGAATAATTTATATATGTTTATATATACATATATATATATATATATATATATATGCGCATATGTTTCAAATATTTGCACAACTGGCATTTTACTGGCACATGCCAGTATGTAGTGGGCATTGCATTAAGCTCAGGTGATATTTGTTTGTATTGCTTGAGCTATACTTGCCGCAGATGCACAGATTCATGTAATTGCTTACAGCTCTAAGTGTGTATGTCTGTCTGTCTGTCTGTGTGTGTGTGTGTGAAGGGGGGGCTTGTTGCTGGCGCAGCACGTAGCTGACATTATAAATAATAAAATAAATACCTAAATACGTAGAAACTTCACACTCACACACATTTATGTAAGTGTTCGTATAAATGAAAACAAATGGAGCCGCATTTCTGCTGCTAACTGGTAACTGGTCGATATTCCGCATTTGCTGTGTCCCTGTTTTAACTGCAAATTACCCTGACCAATGGCCAGACACTTGCACAGCAATGTTGTCTGTAGTATAATGAAATTAAAAATAATTAGGAAATTGGCATTGAAAATGAATAAAGTACTCTAATTCTGCCAAAGCACCAAGTATTTTATACACGCATATTAATATTCTGCTATGTTCCCGAACTCCCAGTAAATTCCAGTTAATATGTTTATTTGCAATAAATGAATGAATAAATAATGAATAGTTGTTATTGTTTTTCGTATTTTAAATCCTGATTAAGTGAGCTAGTGTATCTATAGATACTTTGTGTTTTCATTTATACTAATTGGTTTTATCTCAAGCTTATTGCAGTGAAAAACGTGTCAAACAATCGATACAAAAGTTAACTAAAGGCCGCCAAATCGCGTAAAAATATTTCAATACCTGTTCTGTTGATCGCAACACGCATGTTTACGTGTATGCATGTGTGTGAGTGTGTGTGTGTGTGCATGTGTGAGCCAGTTCGTGTGGCATGCAACATTCGAGACATTCAAACGCTTGTCATGTTTCTATGAGCAAAAGATCAAATGACACGCGCATGCGACCAAAAAGACTGCACGAAAACACGACAAATCAACTCGATATAGACTCAATTATATATGAGGCAAGCAATAAGCAAATAAGCACAAAATAATCAAATAAAATGTGAACATTTTTGTTCCTCTTTATTTTTATTAAATAGCTTGCAAGGCCTCTGTTGCCCTCTGCGGCATTTGGTTGACGTTGGCTTAAAGAAGCGCCTGGCTTTAAACAATGTGTTTAAGCCTTGACAACTTTGGCATTTACAAAGCGCTTACAAATTTGTTTTGCCTTTGTTGTGCATATTATTTACATGTGTCATTCATCTTAGCTGTCAGGTGGCCGACCAGAGGGTGGACAAATTGATTGACGACGACTTTGGAAAACAAATGCACAAAATACGTATATCCCAAAGTATCCACATTCGTTTATATAAGTGACATGCAGGCTTAAATGCATTTAAACACTTTCCAATTTGTTGACGAGTGGATATAGAATCCCATTTTGACAGATAACCTGGCTTGAAACCTGTGCCCTTGAAAACTTGGATTACTCGCAGATGCTTTGTGTGATTAATTGGAAATGAATAACCGAATGCCGCAAAATGGCATAAGGATGTTGCGACGCACAACATGCCACATGCGGCACAGGCGCACTCTCCCGCACGTGTGTGTGTCCTATACACGTAGGCTTAATAGGCAAAGTGTCGTTACTTCTCCAAGTCAAGTTCTTCATGTTTTTTAACTTTAGACAACACAAGAAAAAAAAATTCAATTTTCTATTGAAAACAAGAGATCGAGAAATCCTTTATAATTGGCTCAAACACGTTAAAAACAAAAAAAAAAATCATTAAGATAATCACTAAAAAAAATACGTTGATATTATTATTTGATTTTTAATTTTTCTGCACTTTAATTATAGGCAAATCGCTTTTCGTTTATTGCCGGCGCGTGTGAAAAAAATGTTCGACTTGGTCCAAAGATGAAGACCTGTAAACACTTAAAGATGCTTTCAGATGCTGTCACAAACAACTCAAGTAGTCTCAGCGAGCAGGAAGAGCAACTGGATGGAAGCCAAAATTGCATCAATGATACGTTACGTATGCAAAACACTAACAAATATAGACGTCTTTATGGCTAGCAAATAAAATCGAGAGCTGACAAGATATAATATATCAGCTATAGTTGATAGATATACATATATTTATATATATATTATATGTATATGTTTATATAGAAATATGTGCATGTAAATAAACAAGATTCGAGGAGCTGGGCGCCGAATGTCGTCGAATCATTTATGGCACTTAACGGGTGCAATACACCATTTGATTCGATTTGTGGATATTGTTACATACTCGTGTGTTGTACATATGCATGCCAATATATATATATATAAGTATATTTATATATAAGCATGTGCGTTCTTGGACATTTTTAAGCACTGTATTTTATAAATGTTTACATACATATATTTTATGCTATTCACTATTGCTAGTCTACAATTTATGAATGTTTTAAAATAAATTTTATTTTATTGTTGTCGTTCGCTTTTTGCAATTCTCTTATTGTTTTTATTTGTTTCTTATTTTTGTATGTTTTTGCCGCTTTAGCCGCGCACCGTGGCCATTCGTTGCGTCTGACACGCGAAACACGTAACACCGCAATGAAGTCGACAGGCGAAAGACAAAATATTTTGGCCCGCAAGCCGAAAACAGCAAAGCGAAAATGGCGAATACGCTGGCAGTGACAGAGGCAGAAAGCATAAAGCACAAGGCAGAAAGCAAAAAGCAGACTTCGACGACCGACCGACCGACCGACCGACCGACCGACCCACCGACGGACCGACCGACCGATCGACCGCCCGGCCGCCTGGCCGACCGACCGACCGACCGACCGACCTGGCGCAACGGCCAAAACACACCACGAACAAAAAGTTGCCGCAGAGCTGGGCGGCGGGACGCAAATGTGTGTGCGAATAATAAAAAAAAATAGAGAACACTGGCAATGGCAACGGAGGAAACAAGAAAGCGGCGGCATCTCGGCAACAGCAACGGCATCGGCATTGGCATCGAAACGACGACAACGCACGTGTTATTTGTACCAGCACAAAAAAGCGGAGAAGAAAAAACAAGGAAACAACAATAAAATAAAAGAAAATGTCATAGAAGCGGCAACGCAAGAGAATAAGAGAGCAAGTGCGAGAGAGCGTCACAGCGAGAGGGAGAGCATAAGAGCATAAGCCTAACAGCCCGCGCAATTGCAATTGAGTAACAGAGCCCAGCAGCTTTTTTGGCTCTCTGTTTTTGTGGTGAATTTGAGAGCGGCACACACGTGTTCCAGTTTTCGAGCGAACCATCACAAAACCGCAGTGCAGCCCATCAAGCCCACAAAAAGAAAAGACGCCCTGCCCCACCACCAACATTTTGGTAGGCACAACTGTGCGGCTCTTGTTACTATGTTCTGTCCAAAATGTGACTTTGCAAGGCAAATGGAAATGGACACGTACATTGTCGTACATATACGTAAACGTACACATACATCAACATATATATAGATCCACATGCCATGCACATACATACATATGTATGTTGAACTCATGCACAATTTGTGTCGAGTCGCAAGTGGCCACACTTTTTTTCGGGCTTAAGCATAGCGTAAGCTGAGTTTACAGTTTGTTTTCTTTTTTTTTTGGCACTTTTTTTTTTGCCTGGTGTACTTTGTAACCACACACAGAAGTCCACCCTGACACAGATAGCATATAAATATCATATTTAGGGCGAGCTATGCATACAGAGCAAACGCCGGGGAGTGTGTACAAGTTAGCCACTAAGTCTCAAGTGGGACAAGCTGATTGCTTAGAGCATAATTTATTTAATTAACCTGTGCCAACCACGATAAATGAATCAAGGCAAACAAAGCAGAAGACACAAATTGAAAAAAACTTGTTCAGCACAATAAGAACAGTTATGATTGGCTTTTATGGTCAGAAATGGAACAGTGCAACGTGTTGTACCACTTCGACACTTCGTGTCGTATGAGCAATATAATGAAAGCGTTGAAAAAACTTACTAAAATAAATAAATGTCACTACCAACTTAAAAACTCAATGAGTTAATCGCCTTAAGGACATTTTGAACTTTATATACTTAGTTAGCTCGAATTAGTTGGATTGTAACCACGTGTCGTATGAGTAATATAGTAAAAGACTTTTAAAGCAAATTACTTGTTTGATTGATCAATTAACTCTCTTATTAAGCTTTCGCATTTCTAGGTTTCTATATATTTATCAGCTCGCTACAAGTTCACAGATTTTTTACCACATGTCGTATGAGTAATATAGTAAAAGACTAATAAAAATAACTAGTCGTATGAGTAATAAAGTAGAAGGCTTGAAAAGGTTACTCGATAGCATACAATTATCAATTAACAAATTTATTTAATGCTGTCGTGGTATTGTCAAATATTTATTTAATAGCTAGCTTTATTTACAGTCTTTTTAACCACATGTCGTATGAGTAACAAAATTGAAAACTTGATAAATTACTTGAATATGGAATTGTCATTTAACTCACAATTCGAGGGCTTTTTATATAAATATTTACTAAATAGCTAACTTAACTTTCACAGCGTATTTTTTATGCCACATGTCGTATGAGTAAAATAATTTTCAATTAAAAAATTCATATATATATAATTGTCATTAACAATTTAAACAAGTAAGAGGTTCTAGTCGGAAGCTCACGACTAGGGGATACCCTGAACCCTTTGACGGACGGACAGACAGACGGACATGGCTAGATCAACTCGGCTTTTGATGCTGATCAAGATTATATACACTTTATAGGGTCGCAGATGCTTCCTTCTGCCTGTTACATACATTTGGATTTTGCACAAATACAATATACCCTTATAACCATTTTTAATGGGTTCAGGGTATAAAAATCACTTAGTCTATCGTCTTCAGGGCATATTGAAATTAATATATTTAGTTACTCGTATGAGTAATATAGTGAAAGGCTAGAAAAAGTTACTTGTCGTATGAGCAATATAGTAAGGGACATTAAAAAAAATACATGATAATATATAATTATCAATTAATAAACCTTTTAAATCGTCTCGATGGCATTTTTAAGTATTTATTTATTAGCTATCTAAAATTTCTCAGATTTTTATTATCATACATGTACGAGAAATTTATTAAAAGCCTTGAAAATTCAACCTGAAATTACTTGATAATAAATTAATATCAATGAACTCACTTATAAGGTCCTCTCAAGGACATTGTCCAATTTATATATTTGTCAGCCAGCTAAAATGTATGCGTTTGTTTTGTCCACATGTCGTATCAGTAATAATTTATAAAACTTGCAAATGGAACTGAAAACTTGTTTAAGTATTTAAATCTCAATAAGCTCACATATAGAGCCCTGTTGATTCACACATATAATATTTTTTCTTAACGCGTTCTCAAAACTCTTCCGCAGTTATATTGAATCGTACTATAATCAACCTCTGTCTGCGGCACTACTGAAAATATGGCCTTGTCTAGCAATAAGTGCATATACGAAACAAATTACTTTTTAATTATACTATGGGAACAATATAAATAATTCTGCACCGATTAAATTGTACAGTTGCGTACCATAATGTGTGCAAAATTGTAAGCTTTGTTGAAATACTTGCAGGGGGAATATGAAAATGATATGTCTATAAGATTAGGGATGAACAAACAGTGCTCCAGCTCACAATGCCCGATTAGGGCATGCCCTGTATCCAGCAGTCAGACACATGCTAACACAGAAACACAGAGAGATACGCAATCGGTCGATATGATAAACCTTTGCCTTACAAAATTCTTACAAAAGTCTTGAATACCTCAGGGGTCTGTACTCCGCTATATTTGAAATTGCCATGTGTGTATACCCAAACCCAAAATTGTAGCTTCAAAAATGGGCTTATATGGTTTTGAATCGGAGAATGGGGGGTGGTAGCTAAAAGTTAAAAATTCTTACAATGTATATAGCACACAAACGAGTTAGACCGTTGATCAGACGGACAGTTGGACAGGCGGACATTGCTGGATTAACTTGACTCGGCATTCTGATACAGTGGAAAATTTCAAAAATTACATGAAGGGTATAATTTAAAGATTGCAACCATATAATTTCAACGGCTTACACTTTGTAGTTTTTCTAGCTTCCGATTTGCGGTGCATGTCACGGCTAATTGGACCATTCACCAAGCCATTATTTGTGCTGCGTTTGGTGTGGAACACCACACAAAAGCTGAACGACCGAAAAGCTTTGCATGACAAATGCAAAACCGCCCCAAAACATAATGCACACAAAAGCTTACGCCGCGAATTCTTAGCGTTTGCGCGTCTGCTGGGCTGGGTTAGATAAGAGAAAATGCTAAAAAGCTGATTTTTGGTTGAATTCGGGTTTTCTTTTGTGAATTACAAAAAAAAAAAAAAGAAAAATACAATAAAATTTAAATTTGATTTACAAGAAGCTTTTGCTCGGAGCGATTGTAGGTACCGCACGTAAGACAGAAAGCTTTGAAAGCACCTGTAAGCTAAGATCGAAAAGTGGTCGAAAACTTGCACCCAACACTGTCTTATGGCATTCTGATCGTGTCATAGATTGTTATATACTTTGGTTTTTGATTTCACATTATGTAGATTGATATAAATATCATAGATACATATGTATGTGTATGTACGTATATATAGCATTGATTTATATACTCACATGATGCGATGGTAGGCATCCGGCTGCGTTTGGGCACATGTCACGGACTGCTCGGACTCCGTAGAGTCATCGCGCAGCGTCGCAACGCCGAGCGGTAGGATGGGTATTATAGCAGCTGTTGCAGCTGCCGCTGTTGCCGGCGGTCCCGCCAATGCCGCCGTGTATGCTGTCGGCGGCGTTCCGGTAAAGGTTTGCGTTTGTGGAGATGGTGTCGTACTTACGGCCTCCTATACGTAACCAAAGGGAAGCAAAAAATAAAAAAAAAAAGACAGAAAAGAGAAAATCGCCATCAATTTGGAGAATGTTCCTAATATGGCAGAGCACTGAATTAAGATTGAGAATACACAAGAACCTTGAATTCGGCTGATTCCTGTACCGAGAAGCGTTTGCGTTCGTATTGAATTTCCCGCTCAATGGAGCGGCTGCGAAAGGCGGGCGGCAGCGAGCGATCCGGTGGTGTTTGCAACTTGGGTGTGTCCGGCGTGTGAACCCGTCCACTGGTGCTGACCTGTGTTGCAGCACCTTGTTGCAGCTGCAATTGCTGTCGCTGCGGCTGTTGTTGCTGCTGTTGTTGCGGCTGTTGTTGCTGCTGCGGCTGCTGTTGTTGTTGCTGCTGCTGCTGCTGCTGTGAATGCGACGATGTTGTAGGTGGACTCTTTTCGCTTTGTTGTTGCTGCTGTTGTGGCTGCTGCTGCTGCTGTTGCTGCTGTTGCTGCTGCTGTTGCTGCTGCTGCTGTTGCTGTTGTTGTTGTTGCTGCTGTTGTTGCTGCTGGTGCTGCTGATGCTGTTGCTGTAATTGCTGCTGCTGTTGTCGCTGCTGGTTCTGTTCCTCACGTTTTTGCTGCCGTCGTATTTCAAAGTCCAGCAAACGCGCCTCACGTTGCTCCTTGTCGCGCTGTTTACATGCAATTGTTGCAAAGTGCATTTTAACTATAAATTCATCATCAGCTCTACGGCCATATTTGTGCCTAATTACGAGCAATACTTATGGAGTTTCTCATCATTGAGCGCACTTTGCATTTTTGATAAAGCTGATTGCATAAATAAATGTTTATTTTTCTTTTTTTTTCGTTTTTCGATTTGTTTTTAGTTTCTCTATTTGTTTTGTTTTGTTTTAGTTGTTATTTATCTTTTTTTTTTTGTATTTGTTTTTGTTGGGGCCGCGTCTGCTTGCACACACACACACACAGCTTTAGACGCGCACGGATAGACGCACGCACGCACGCACTCGCACACACACACACAGGCACATACGCATTCAGCGAGCGAGTGACAGGGAAATTGATTGAGAGAGACGGGTGGGGGAGAGAGAGAGAGAGAGAGAGAAGGAGAGAGGGAGAGACACATGCACCGACACACTCACCTTATAATTGATAGCGTCCTGCTCTTCCTTTTTGGCCTCACGTTCGTTGCGCTGCCGATCGCGTTGCTTTTCCTCGTCGGTTTGCGCTGTTTTGCTGTCTGTGTTGTGAAACGAATAAAAAAAGAGAAACAGAAACAAATGCCGATTGATAACTAATATGTACAGCTATTCAATTGCCATCGTCGACGGGTGGCTGCGTTCTCCATGCGCAATTCGAAAAGCAAGAAATCCTTACCAAATTAAAACGAATCATGAGCATACCGAATACATACATACAATGCATACGAAATCAAGATACATACATAATTATTTACATGGTGTTACTTTTAGCGGGATCAGCATGCCGTATTTACATACATATATGATACAGAAACAAATAACAAAAACAAACGTATGCACAAGCAAAACGAAAATCAAAAAAAAAAAGAAAACAAAAAAAAGCAAAAAAAATAATCAATAAACTAAACTAGTTCTAGAAGACTTTTGACAAGCTACAACCACTTCCCTGTTGCATTCCGACGTGCACAATTCATATACTATTTATATAGATCTAACTATAGCTACGAATAAGCGAAACTATAAATTTTAAACTGGTATGTAGGAATTGTTGCACTTATGTATGCATGTACTAAATTTGGCAGATGGTTCACTTTCATTAATATATATAGTTGATTTCTTATTCGATTTCAGAAAATAAAGCTATACTATACTACTTTTAACTTTACTTTATACACATACATTGACTTGGCCCAAAAGTATGCTACGAAATTTAAGCTGAACTATATTACATTATTATTGGTCTTAAAATGATGGACTATGTAATTTCCCAAGCTCAGATAATTTTGCAAGTGAAGTTTATTTTTGTACAATATGAAAGCAAAAGCTGGGATAAATATTGGAACAAATTATTAGTTTTAGTTAGTTACATAAAATACAGCTAATTTGCATTAATTATTATCCGTAGTCTAGAACTACTAAGATTAGTTTAGTAATAATATGTGAAGCATATATATATATATGAGAATGAGTATCAGCATGTTAGGTACTAGCTAAATGCTTGAGCATTTGATTAAAATTGAATAAAAGCTATTGTTCGCAAACTATACTGAAGTGTACTTAAACAATTATGAAGAATGCTTTCAATGCATTTGCCTAATTCAATAAGCTACACTTTCAGCTCGTGTCATTAGGTTAAAAGCGTGACCTTCAGTTTGCATTAAAATAAGTAGTACATATATGCATAAGTTGTGTATACAATCATACATACCAGATTTGCGTTTGTGTTAGTTGTGCTTCTTCTTCATCTTCTTGTTCTTGTTCTTATATTCTTTGAACCAACCACACTATTTGTACAATAATTGTATTAAATGTAAGTACATACATATGTATGTATGTATGCATGTGCCATAACCTTTGAAAAGGAATCACTTGAAGCGAGAAATATTACAGAGACGCGATATTCTACTTATGGACTTATGTATGTGCTTACAGTTATTCGACATACTTATGTATGTGCATAAGTATACAACAAGAGCAAACAATACCAAATGGAAATAAAAAATTGGGGCAAACTAAAAACGAATTATTGTACTTATACTGCAGACAATATTTGCAAACAGAATTTGGGGAAAATAATGCTTTCTGCAACCATAGCAAAACAATCTAATAAGTATAATAAACAGAATTCAAATAACAAAAATAATAATCATAATAATACTAAAAAGAATACGAATAGAAAACAGAAAATATGCGATAAATTTCAAATTCAATTTAGGCAACACTACGAGACCAGACAGAGAGACAGACAGAGAGAGAGAGAGAGAGAGAGAGAGAGAGAGAGAGAGAGAGAGAGACAGAGAGCAAGAGCGAGATTGAGTGAGATAGGCGTACTCCTTACCTCTAGATGTGTCAGTTGGTTTTGTTGTTGTTCTTTGTTGTTGTTGATGTTATTGTTGATGTTGATGTTGATGTTGATGTTGATGTTGTTGTTATTGTTCTTGTTCTTGTCGGAGGTGGTTACAGTGGGTGTGTCGATTGTATGATATTTTAGCATTTAAATTTGCAACCTGACGAGTGCGTGTGTTGCGTGTGCAAAGCAGCGTAAAGTTTTATATTTATTATTATTATTTTTTTTTCTTTGTTCTTGCTTTTATTTAATTGCTATGATTTTGCAATTTTGATTTTTTTTTTTTTTTTTTTGTTTGTTTGTTATATATTCAATTTAATTTTGAGTTTAATTCTTTTTTTCGTTTGTTTTCATTTTGAACAGCGACGGCGGCGTTTATCGACGAAATTAGCAGCGTGAGAGTGTGTGCGTGTGTGCGCATACCATAAAGAGGGCAGTTTACCGTTACAACCGGGCACAACGAATTATCGAATAAATGGCAGCAGCTGCATATGCAGTGGCAGTGTATGTGCGTGGGCGTCTGTGTGTGTGTGTGTGTGTGTGTAATTGCTTGTTATCTTTTTTTGTTTTTTTGTGTATGTTTTACTGTCGTGTTGCTGAGGTCGAGGAAACACAGAATATACAAATACTCTTGCAGCTATGCACATGTGTGTGTGTGCGCGTGTGTGTGTGTGTGTGTGAGTGTGTGTGTGTATTTGCTCATGTGTTATTCTGTCTACGAATCATGTTGAAAATGTTGATGTACCGTTTAATGTTAGCATGTATGGCAAGTAATACATATATACGATCTTGCTAGAACTGTAGCTGAGCTGTGGCAGTTACGTGGTCGTGGAGGTGGGCGGTGGGCGTGTCAAGGTGGATTAACGACACAATATCAAAGAAAAGAAAAGAAACAACAAAATTGTGAATGATTAATAATTTGATTGAAAACGATTTGCTTTGCATTGCTTTGCTCATTTTTGCAATTGGCATTAACTATGCTTTCATGTATGTTTTAAGCAAAAACAATTTTTCAATTTCAGTACATCTGGTTGCAGCAGCAGCCACAGTTAAAACATACGTCTACATATATATATATAGAGAAACGAGTTAAAACAAAATCAACAAAATACACAATTGAATTCCTGTTTCTAAGTCTGATATATAACATACTATATTATTTTCTAGCCCCACTAATCGATCTGAAACTAACTAACTAGTTTTCTAATTTTAATTACAACGTGTTGTGAATGTTTGGAAAATTGTTTGGAAAACTAAACTATTTGATTTCGCTAACTGCTCTTAAATACACACACACACACACTCGTATATGTGTTCTCATACCTTGCAGATTGATTCTTCTTGGTCTGGAAACTATTAGCTACATACATACATACGTAGGCGCCGTTATGCATTTGCCTAGGTAATTGTTTATCCAAAATGAAGTTGAAAACAAAAAACTTAGAACTTAAATTGTGACTGAGTTTCTTTTTGTGTTGTACTATATAATATACTTATATAGCATTTGGTACATATGGTACTTAGCACTCGTACTACACGATAACAGTCTCATTTTAATAAACGTACCAAGAATTTCGAGATACATAATCAATATTTTAGATACATACATATATTTGTATTGATATTTAGCATAGTATATAGTTTTACATCTATGAGTATACGATTCAGGTTCACTTAGTTACATACGTACGTATACAAACGCAAGAATATATTTAATCGAACTGTAAACAGAGCAAGAGACTGGGTACATTTAGAGACTTGCCGTTATAAAGGAAAAACAACCAAGGAAATCAAAAACGAAAAATTATGAAAAGACGTACAAGAAATCAAAAATGCTGCAACTTCTAAATCGTACATGCAACTCACTTGAGGAGCCGCCGCCAGCGCCAGGTGGCGGATAGGAAAACCAAAATTGATGTGCCAGTTTGAAATGGCCCAAAGATGGGCTTGCTGCAAGAAAAACAATTCATCATATACTTTACAATGGGGTTTAAATATGCGTGGATATGTCATTCTATTCTATGTATGGGTATATCTTCTAGTCCTATTTATCAACAAGTATCCTGCCCAATATTACCTAATAGGGGAGAATAATTCAATATTTTCTCATGTTAATTTGATAATATTCTCTAATATTCACGTCGTCTTGAATTCGACTCAAATTCAGTTCAAATTGCATTCAATAGCAGTTGAAGGATGGTTCTAAAAACTGCGATTTACTTAGTTATAAAAGTCAACTAAAACTAATAAATATAGTTCACTTAGTTGCATAAAGCTTTTAGGCAAGTTCTCTTATAAGTAAATGAGCTCTCTTTTATATTCTCTTTACAAAGCACATTCAAGCCTGGATTAGCTAGATATATACATGTACATAAGGTCAATAAAATATAAATTTAAACTTTTGCTCAACATAATGATCAAATTTTCAGCTAAGAGAAAATAAAATATTGTGTATCTGCTCTGAGCAATGCCCATCTAGTTGAAAGTTAAGTATTTAAGGTTTATATATGCCCTATAAATATACCGTTAGGTTCATTATAATAGAAACGGTAATCATGGCATGTTTGTTAAAGCACGTGACACCTTTTGTGCCGGCTTCCTTGGAATTGTGTGTTCTGCTCAAGTTACAATGGATACTCACCAATTAACTAGAGTCGTGTACTTTTCTGACTTGATAAGATAAAGAGCTTAGTTTAGTTTTTATGTTGTTGGCAACGAATCGAATGCATGTACATATGTATGTGTGTACGTGCACACATATGTGCAGATACGTACATACGTATGTAGCTTTTAAATGTGCGTGTGTGTTATATGTATTTGATTGCATGTGCATGTGCCATGTGCGTATATGTGTGTGTGTGTGCGTGTGTGTATGTGTGTGTGTTGTATAAATGTATATTCATCATAATGCCACAAACGAGCTTCGAACAGTTCAACTGGGTTTTATATCCCATTGTAGTTCGAAAATTCAAGCAAATTAATGTTTAACAAATACACACACCCGCTTACGCGTACACACTCACACACACACACATACAGGCAATGCTGCAATGCACAACAAACAACATTCAATAATATGCTAAAAAAAAAAATCCACGTATAATCCTCTTTGATTAAGTTTCTGGCGATTAACCGGTTAAACTTTGACGGAACTGAAGCACAACGTTAAATACATATAGGTTAAACGGTAAACGTTATATATGACACATTTGCAACATTTTCAAGTGTAATTTAATATGGGCACCTACTATATGAAATTCGACACACTGCGCTGCCGTTTATCGCGAGTCGAGGAGGGTTCTGCAAGTACGAACAAGTATCAAAACGCCAGCAGCATCAAATGTTTGTCGTCGGCCTTCGCAATGCAAAGCGCTGTCGCTGTTAACGCCGCAGTCGCGGTCGACGTCGACGTTAACGTTGCCAACGCCATTGCTGTCGCTGTCGGCGGCAATCGTCGGCCATTCGGCTGGCAGTTTTGCGCCTTCGTATTTGGCCACACTGCAGTTGCACCGCACAAGTCTCAAGTAGCCCGCCCCAGTGCCAGCGCGCGCTCTCTCGCGCTCATGCTCTCGAATTTGTTTCTTTTTTTTTTTGTTTTCTTTGGCACTCTCCGAGTGGTCGGCTCTCTCGGCGCTCGGCGCTATTAACGTCGCTTTTCTTTTAATTGGCATTAACGATTTCAAGCCAAAAGCAAGGTGCAACACAGCGAAAACGTATGCAAAACATTCGGACAAGAAACATGACAACTACAACTAAATACTTGGAAAGTCTCTTATTTTCTTTTTTTTTTTTTTTTTTTGTGTATTTGTGTCCAAGTATTAACTTAAGCTCCAGCCGATGTGCTAACGTGCTAAACAATTGTTGGCACAAATCCAAAAGGCAGCATATTGCTGACATCATCTGATGCCCAAAAATTGGCTCAAAATCCCAAAAACAAATCAGCAAAACCTTGGGCTTTAATTGAGTGTTAACTAATGCATTGATCATGCAAGCACCGAAAACAAAAGCTACTCCCACTACATACTATCGTGTTTGATCATTAAAGTTTAATCAATCAAATATACTAGATAATCGACCAAATATTTAAACATGCAGGCCAACTAACTTTTATATAAGATGGCATGTATACTAAATGTAACCCCATTTACTATAACACACACATACTATACCAAAACTGAAGTGCACAATTTATTGCCTACTTTCTGGCGCTGTAAAATTGCCTACTGAAGAAGTCTCTGCTCAGCCAGCTTATGGCACGATACTGTGACACTCACATCACCAGATTGGGCAGCAACTAATGACACAATAGTTAAACACTTATTATATAGTTCTAGTATAAGAGTAGTTTTTCTATATATATATATATCGGACATATCCTATTTGGTAATTTGCTTTGGCTTCAGCTTTAGAGGGCGCCAGTTTGTTTGTTTTGCTATTTAATAAATAAGCAGCTAAATAATGCAGACACGAGAACACCCACAAAAGTATGCGCACATATAAAAATATACGGAAGACATACATATGAACAATGCGTGATACAGTCTATTTAGTTGAACATTGACAACTTTCAGGCATTCTATCCAACTATATACACTTTTTTATGGAGAGACAAAAAAAAATATAAAAAACAAGAAAAAATAGAAAGAAATATATAAACACTTTAAAATTTGTATGCTTATCCGTATCATAAGGCATTACCATTGGCTACAGACGAGTAGCCAAAAAACCGGAACAAGCTAAACCAGGGCACGTTTGATGCGTGAAGTGAGACTTGTCGGGGACTTGCAATGTGTGTGACTGTGGCTGCTGGACTTGATTGTGCGACTGGCTGGGTGCTCCCACGTCGCCTCGGTGCTGCCCAAAACTATGCACATTGTCTCATAATGGATGCCTGATTACAACCGAGAACGAGCGCCAGCACATGGTTAAAACTCTAACGAGCCACGAAGGAGCGAAATAGCGAAATAGCGAAACATCAGCAACTCGCATACACTCTCTTTTTGGTTTTGGGAGAGCGCATGGCTCTCAGCACGTCTGCGTGGGAAAGCAGGAATTCGCCGAAGCACCCAGCAGGGTCCTTGTCCCCTGACTCCTGTCCTACATGTGCCACTTCTGATATTTAACCGTTCATTTATGCTGCACAGATTCTTCGAAACTCTTAACCTCTGCTTAACCATGACAGATAACATGTGCTTAAGTAAATTCTTATGACAAAGTGGAAAGTACAATCTAACAAACTATGTCGGTTCTACAACCAAAGCGCACATATATGTAAGCATGCGTGGGCTTAGGACTTGGTACTTGAATTAAATATGCGCTACTTGCTTAAATAGACCGCCAATTTTTAGCTTGAAGCTATGTAGCACGCCGATTGCCCACCACAAAATATCGATTTGTTTATTTAACTGACAAACTATTTTATTCAACATTCAAAGCAAAACAGTTATCGATATTAGCACGAAATCGAAATTTGAATGACTCAGCGCTATCGCAAGAGTCCGTTAACAAATGGAATTTTCCATTCTTTTAATTATATGTTTTATTTAACTCATTCAATGTCCGATTTCTGATTCAAAAGGGCCAGCGGAACAAGCATATGCGAAATGTTAAACATTGCGCAGATCTGCATGCAAAACAGCAACAACAAATCTAAAATAAATCAAGGATCATTAGGCATATATGTATGTATGTTTTGGAAACTTTATTTCTCCGTGTTTGTTTTACACTAAAACAAACAAACAAAATGCAAGTTTGAGTTTCCCCCAATTATTTCCAGCGCGATGAATAGAGAGTGAGAGAATCATGAGGTAGAGATGACAGACCCTTAGATATTAAATACAATGATTACAGAAATGTTTTTAATAAATAGATATATTTTAATAATATCAACTCCTGTTTATGCTTTATTTTTTATTGAGCACTCGACCTGTCCCAAATGTGCGATAAGGTTTGGTTAAATTATTTTACAAATTGACACATTCGTCGATTTACATACATCATATGTTCTTGTTTCTATATTTATGAATTCTGCATATCAATAAAAAACAAATAAAATACAAACAAAAAACAGATTCTTTAGTGTTTTTCTTTTGTTTTTTTTTTAGGTTTTTTAGGTTTTTTTTTTTTTTTTTTTTTTTTTTGACACATCTCGTTGCGATGACAATTCATTCATATTTTTTTGTAATACATACAATACATACATATTTAGTTTTCAGTGCAGCTTCAACGCAACGGTTTTTATAATGTCATCAATACGAACAGAAACTATATTTTTTTATTTATTTATTTTTTTTTTTGGTTTTGTTTCTGCTTTTATGTATATACATATATTTACGGATACGTAAGATTTAAACCCAGTAATTACTAAGACTAACAATCAAAGCTGTGCAAATCGAAAATTTTCCTTTTTTGGTTTTTGTTTTCCTTTAATTCTTTTTTGTATTTTACTTTATTTATTTATTTTATACCATTTTTTTTTTTTTTTTTGATTTCCGAAACACCAATCAATTCCACTTTCGCTGAACTTGATAAAATCGCGATTGCTAGTGTTGAAAAATTCCATATGCATGAACATTGGAAGATTAAAACCAGTTTGTATAGTATTTGTTGAGTTTTTTCTTGCTTTTGTTTTTTTTTTGTTGTTTTTGTTTTCTTGTTTTTGTTTTTTTGTTTTTGTTTTCTTGTTTTTGTTTTCTTGTTTGCTCATAGTTTCAGTGTCGCCATTTTCATATTTTTGTATTCAGAATACTAAAAATATAAATTTTAGTGCCAGCAGAACATAAAATGTTAACAGTAAAATATAAACATTCGAAAGTGTGTGTGTGTGTTTTTTTTTCGTTTTTTAAATCAGTTGTAATTTTTGATTTTCTTGTGGCTTTTATAAAGGCAATCATTTGTTAAAAATATTATATTATGTTGACTTTCTCATTTGTATTGGCAACACTGACTGTCATAAGTATATGTACACACATTTGTACTAGTTTACTCTCTGCCAATTTTTGTGGTTTAGCTATGGGTGAAATTTTGTCATTATTGCACGGTGAATCGGTCGGCCAACACTCGCAGGGAGTTAAAACTGAAGAAATACAAAATATACGAAACAAAAATGTTTTCGAACTCTAATCATATTATGAAGGCGCATACAAATAATAAATTTCCACATATACATAAATATATATAAATCAATTGAATGGCGTATGAAAGGCCTTAAACATAAAGCAATTACATATTTGTAGATATATTTGTGTATCTACAGATTTTTTTTTTGTTATTTAAGCAAACCAAAGTGTGAATTATATTACAATTTGTTGCCCAGACGATTTTTAACGATTTAAGTCACATTTATAACGTGATAATACTTGCTTGCGTACTACTAACATTTACAATTCATTGTTGCAACTGTGTTGCAAACTTTCATTTTATACAAATTTCCACCCGCCTCTCATTTAGTCGATTTTTGGTACGAATCCAGTTTAACCAGTATTGGAAAGGAATGAAAAAGAATGAAAACTACAGGGAAACAATGCAAATCTTTGAAAGTTCACATTTGAGTTTGGTTTTAGTTTTTTTTTTTTTTTTTTTTTTGGATCTGGACTAACTATGAAATTACATGGCTTAGAGCGGGATAGCAGCACATGTTACCCAAAGAAAAACTTGTACTTGCTGCTTATTAAATATTTTTTTTAAACTGAAATTTACTTAATTTTCATTTGGAACAAATAGCTCTTGAATAACTCCCAGACTAATGTTTAAAATAAAAGAGGAACCACTAAATAAAGTACTATACTGAAACACATTTTCTTATATAGCTCTGCTCCATTCACACACTAGCTGTTCTCTTCTCCTCTTGTCGCCCTACAAAACTCGGTCCCATTAAGCTGTATGACCTACTTGTATATTATTCTTTACAAAAAAAAAAAAACTTCTTTCCGTTCAGTATATTTACAGATGTGATTGTGTACACACTTTTTGAGAGGTTATGTATGCATTACAGATAGAGATATAAGTGCATATAGTATCAATCGAAATATATATCATGCTCTAACATATAACATACTGGTACTGAAAGGATTTCGACTACCATACATACATACATATCATCTATATTTGGTTTTGGGCAAGCATAATCACGGCATAAATAGTTGACTCTCAAAATAGAATTGAATAAGGGTATATATCAAAATCGACGTCTGTAACAGGCCTTATGTCTTTACTTAGCTTCAATAATATTACACAGCCAGTTAGGCAGATCATCTATAAGTATTTACTTATACATGCCTTTTCCAAAGCATAACACCTAACCCAATAATAGCCAAAGAATCTGAGCAGATCAGTTCCTCAGCTCTATACATACATCATCATCCATCAGTTTCATCACCATTATCATTATCATTATCATCATCATCATCATCTTGATCATCTTAGTCATCAATATCTCATTCTCATAGTAACAAAATGGTATTAGTAATTATGTAGGGATGTTTTTTTTTTAATGATCTTAATGTTTCTCTGAGTTATGTTACGTCTTTTCAGTTTATGTGATAGTCGAGAGCGTTGTCAGTTGCATAGTCTTTGTCGACGGCGAAGCCATCGGGGAGGGCGTTGGCACAAACAGGCTGGACGAGGCAGTTTCCGTGGTTAGACTGCGCTCCTCGTACACTCCGGTGCGTTCCTGCAACACGTATTATACAAATATATATATATGCATATTGTATAATATGGGAGAAAATACGGAGAGGTTTACGGTTCGAAATAAAATTTTCACATCTACGAGCTCCGATTTTGGCGCAATAAACCCAAAAAATATGTGCACATATATGCAGAAATTCGAGCATTTGGATAGGTTTCTTTTGAGGTTCGGTTCAAAGGGATAAACGTATAGGACTTTCGAGTTGGAACCGGTGTGATTCTTGTCATAAAACCAATAAAGCAGTCTCAAGAACAACTTACGTGCGATTTGTCATATTTGAAACGTTTCCAGATGTTTGTCTTAGGCTCCATAGGTGTGCCGTCCACGTTATAGTTAGGATTGGAGAAGGTCAGTACTGAGCGGCTGGATCCTCGTGAGTTGCGCTTCGCCTTTTTGCGATTTGTATTAAAAGCAAGCACTGTTAAGTGAAACGGAGTATTATTATGCGATCCATAGATAAAAAGCAATAGGAGACCTACTGAATATGACGAGCATTATGATGATGACCATCACAATGACAACGCCGAGCGCTACGAGCACAAAGAACTCGCGCTCGCTGTTCTCCTTGTTCTTGATGTCATCGTCGAGCTGGTTATTGTTATTCTGGTTCTCAGTTGATCCGGTGTCATCTGTCAGCTCGTCCGAGTAATCGGGTTGATCGCTCTCGAGGCGTGCCTGGACCATCTCTTTGGGCGTGGTAGAACATGCGCGTCTATCGCTCTCCATTCGATCCGGACAGGCGCACACATAATCGACGGCACGGTAGAAGCACAGATGCGAACAGCCCCCATTATCCTGGGCGCACTGATTCCAGCTCTTTGCCTGGCGCTGTAGCGAGACGGCGCGTATGTCCAGCGCACCACTCAGAGCGTCGCGCACTTCGAATGGATAGCTATAGCCCATGCGTGGTACCCGCTGTGAGCGGTACACGGACTTGTTGTACCAATCGGTCCAGTATATGTTGCTCTCGAACTGAAAGAATGCATGTTTATGTGACAACAATTGGAGCGTTCAAGTCGGGATTGCCCGAGCTTGTTGTGCTCAACGTCAAGCTGCCGTTGCAAATATTTAAGCCAGCCTCTAACACGGTCGGTGCTCAAAGCTCGACCTTAATGGAATTTTTAGGGCTTCAATATGCCAGAGGCGTGTGTATGAGGTACTTTTTTCAATTAGAAAAAATTGGCATATTTTTAATCTGTGCACAACAAAGAACATATCAAATTTCAAATTTCAGGCTGATTGCAAAACAAAGTCTCAAAATAATGATGGGTGAACAGAGGGGCCTGACTGGATCGACTCAGCAAGTCGTCTTCCATATATTGCATATGTTACATTTTCACAAAATATACCATTTTAATACTTATTGAGTGGGTTCAGTTTATAAAAAAGGGTTGGAAGGGCAAGTTTCGCTTACCATGGTCAGGCCGAATGGGTGTGGGGCATACGGCACAATAGTCTGACGGCGTTTTCCATTGAAATCCACCTGGCCAATATTGTCCTCAAGCGCATCGGCCCAAAGCAAACGTCGATTGCTGTCGGAGGTCATCAAATTGTTAATAAGTCATGAACTTTATAGGAGTGCACCCATGCCATGAAACTTACGTAAAATCGATGGTCAGGCCCGTGGGAAAACCAATGCCAGATGTCACAATCGCTGTGCGATTTGAGCCATCCAAAATACTGCGTTCGATTTTCGACGGTGAGTTCCAGTCCGACCAGAAAAGATAGCTGCAGCGGCGAGAGATGAAATAAATGAGCCTTAGCAATATCTAATGAAAAGCTGACTATCACATACGCCTTGGATGGATGCACGATAAGAGAGCGCGGATCGCCCAAATCGTCAGTGATGAGCTTCTTGCGGCAGCTGCCATCGAGGCGCGCCACTTCAATCAGCTTGCGATCCGTGTCCGACCAATAGAGATTATCGGCAATCCAGTCAACTGCAATGCCATTCGGAGTAAGCAGCTCGGTGCTGACCACCACCTTGCTGTCGGTGAAATTAAGCAGATTCACGCGGCGAATGACGTCCAGATTGACATCAGCGAAGAAGAGCCAATTGTTGCGATAGTGATAGTCCAGGACAACTGCTCCGTGAACTCCATTGATAGGCAGCACCACGTCCATGTAGTCCCCACTATTCAAAGAGATCATGCCGATGCCCGAGCGCAGCGCAATCAGTAGATAATCCTGCATGGAAGAGGTAAAGAATATAAGCCATGTCCCGGGAAAAATATATATTTATATATATCCTGAGTGATTGACTAACGCATGCTGATTGGTGCGGCTTTGATGAATTCCACTCGCAGCTTGGCACAATTTTTGATAACTGATTCTAGGAACATTTTTCGTTCAACGTTTGATTCGCACCATTAGGTCAGTCAGTCAGGGCAAACTATTATACATGTGATAGTAGATATAACTTACGTCTGGCAAATTTTGGCATTCCGTTGTACTATTCTCGCGCAACCTGAGTCCAGTGGGGCACTGGCATGTGAAGCCCGCAGGATTGCGCAGGCAGAGATGTGAGCAGCCGCCGTTGTTGTGACCGCAAACATTCTCCGTCATCAGTTGATGCTTAACAATCACTTTAATGTCCATTAACCCATCAATGTTGGTCATGACGTCGCGCTTGGCGCTTGTGTTGCGTCGATCAGCCATGTGCAGGGCCTTGGACTTCCAGTCGGTCCAATAGATGAAGTCCTCGGTGAGTGCCAGTGCATAGGGATGGTGTAGAGATGACATGATCAACTTGCGTTGGTTGCCCGTGTAGTCACATGAATCTATGGTCTTTAGGCGCGCATCCACCCAGTAGATGCGTTTGCTCTTCAGATCCAGTGAGAGCCCGTTTGGCCAGCCCAAATTGGCGGTCACAATGCGAGAGCGCTCGTTGCCGTCCAGGTGTGAACGCTCGATTTTCCGATAGTGTCCCCAGTCGGTCCAAAAGAGTAGACCAGCTTCATAGTCGAGGGCCAATCCACGCGGTGATTCCAGATCCTTATACGCAATGACATGTCGATGGTTGCCCTCAAGGGTGGCCACTTCAATTGTGTGACGACCTGCGTCGGCCCAATAGATTGCGCGTCCAATGGAGTCGACAACTAGTCCGTCCGGATTCTCCAGGCTTTCGCCGATCACCTTATGCACATGCAAGCCATCTGGACTGGAGCTCATGATGACATTCTCAATGGTGTCTGACCAGAAAATATAGCCCGTCTTCTGGTCAACATCGAGAGCAACTGCATTGGAGATCGGCGGCAATGGGAGTACCACATCGATTAGATGGTCAAAGTCTAAAGAGATTTGCCTGATATCGATGCGATGGGCAAAGAGAATATATTTAGAAGGCCCCTCCGAGCACGTACGACCATCTTCCCTTAGCTGCACCCCAACGGCACAGGCGCACGTGAAGCTAGTTGGATTTAGGAGACAAAGGTGGGAACAGCCGCCATTCTGCTTGTCACACGCGTTGTAAACCCGCCGGCGCATCCGATGGAAGACCCGTATATCCATTAGGTCACTGGTGTTTGCGATAACAGTGGCGACGCTCTTGCCCGTCATTTTATCGGCACTCATCGCCGATTTGGTATCCCAATCGGTCCAGTACACACGACCACCGCTCACATCCAGTCCAAAAGGATGGCCCAGTCCATCTGCATGGCAAGCCATTAATGCGGATCATTTAAAGCTGGAATAGGGCTTCGCTACTTACTGATAATAACCTTGCGGCTACTGCCATCAAAGTTCATGTTCTCCAGGGTTTTGGTGCCGCCGTCGACAAAGTACAGTTTGTGTTGATCATAATCGATGGCGAGTCCATTGGGCCAAATGAGTTTTTTAGACGCTATTATGACACGACTGGCACCGTCCATATTGGCTCGCTCGATCATTGCCTCTTCACCCCAGTCCGACCAGAACATAAGACCATCTATTTCAAAGAAAGGAAAATTAGAATGTGCCATAAACTGTGCCCAAGCTAAGACTAGCAAAACTGGGGGTGGTTCCTAAGTTTCTTGAAATCTTTCATGAAATCGGGAGTTACTCTCAAACTGTTTTTTAGAGAAAGTGCTTTTGGCACTGAATTATCATCTACAAAAGAACCCGATAACCGACAATGGCCGTGCAATTTTGTCACCTTTTTCATCTGTTCTCCATAATGCTTACCTATCGGATTGACAACAATATCGCGTGGCTTATCCAATTTTTCCCAGACAAGCAGCGTGCGCATTTTGCCATTTGTGGTGGCCACTTCGATGCGATTCGTTGAGGGATCCGTCCAGTACAGCTTATCGGTGATCCAGTCGAGTGCCAGGCCAACGGGCGAAACTAAATTCGAGTGCACGACGCGCTGCTGATAGCTGCCATTTAGATGGGCCTTATTGATGGAGCTACGCTCCACGTCGGTCCAGTAGATGAAATCGGTTTCGCTGCACCAGTCCAGAGCAACTGCATGCTTAAGGTTATCCAGGGGCACAATCATGTCGACCTCGTTCGGACCGGAGGGTTTGCTGTTTAGCTGGCGCAGGCGAATGTCCTTGCGCCGCGCGACTAGCACAAGCTTGTCTGGTGCGCTCTTGCAGGTCTTGCCGTCGTCCTTTAGCGAGAGCCCGATGGGACAGCCGCAGCGGCGGGATGTCTTGTTTGGCAGACACAAATGGGAGCAGCCGCCGCGCAGGCCACGTCTGTCCTTCTGGCAACGATCCTGATAGTCCGGCTGCCGTGCCGGATGGTAGGCGTGTATGTCCATGGGGAAGTGAAAGTTCTCGTGCACCGATCGAAAGCCTTTTCCGGTTATCTTGTTTGCAGCCGAGACAGTCTTTGTGTTCCAGTCGGTCCAGTACATGGTATCCTCAAAGATGGTTAGAGCAAACGGATGAGGTAGATGTGTGCTAAGCACCTTGTTGCGCTCGCTGCCATCCAGGTTGGAGCACTCGATGGCATGCTGCTTGGCATCGGCCCAATATATTTTGCTATTGGGATAATCGATGGCCAGGCCATTGGGCCAGGTGACACCTTTCGAAATAATCACTTGTCGCTGCGAGCCATCCATGTGGGCGCGTTCAATCTTCGGATTAGGACCCCAGTCGCTCCAGAATGCCAGGGCCTCGCCCGGATGTATGACAATGGCACGCGGCTTATCCAAATCGCTTGAAGCAATTACCGTACGCAAATTACCCTGAAAATTTGAGACCTCAACGCGCCGAGTGCCCGAGTCTGTCCAAAACAAAAGATCGTGCACCCAATCGACGGCAATACCTCCCGGCGACTCCAAACCCCACTTGATAACATCACGCACCCGTGTTCCGTTGATGTATACCATTTTGATTACATCGGTAGAGACATCGGACCAGAACATAAGACCCTTGCGATAATGAAAGTCCAAGGCAATTGCATTGTGTAGCCCCTTTACTATGGCCATATAACGATTGTTGCTCAGCGTCACGCGCCGTATATCCCATCGGTTGGCCACGAGCAGCGTCATCGCCCCGCCCAGCGCCTTGCAGGTGCGCAAGTCTGGCCGCAATATATAGCCCATCTCACAGGAGCACACGAACGAGCCCAATGTGTTGTGGCACTTCTGTGAGCAGACGGGACTTGTCAGATATTGGCATTCGTCGATGTCCGTGCAGCTGTGCCAGAAATAAAAAACGATCGGGTTTTTTTTTTTTAAATAACTTTTAAGCGTAGAGAACCGTTCGCAAGACTCATAGATGATCAGATAGACTTGGGCATATATACTTGGAAACGGGCTTAGAGAGAGATAGAGAGAGAAGAAGAGAGAGAGAGAGAGAGAGAGACAACACCTACTTGCGCTTATTCGCATTCATTAGATAACCCAAACGACAGGCGCATTCATCTCGTCCTCGAGCCGATTTGATGCACAGCTGCTCGCACTGCCTTGGCTCGGGACATTGTTGCTCTACGGGACAGTTGACTTCATCCTCGCCGAGTGGACAATCGTTTTGGCCATCGCAGACATGTTTCTGGTGTACGCAAATTCTGCAAAGCATTTAGGACATTTCGTATTGTATGGCATGCATGTAATCGATTTGAGCTCACTTTAGGTTGGTGATGTTCTTCTTGGCCGGGCAAAGAAATTGGCCGGGATCGCACAGCAAATGACAGTCCACCTCGTCCTCCGCTGATGAGCAATCCGGATAGCCATCGCAGAGCCAGGTACGCTGTAAGGAATTAATGTTAAGATTCTATTCGCATTCAATTCAATGTTATTTTCAATTCTAATGACTTCCTCAAAAAAGTCAATAAAAAATTAGTATTACTGAGAAAGATGAAAATATGTGTTCTGGTGGGTTCGAGCTCGCAGTCCCATTAACCGAAGAAACTACCTCCTATCGGCTCATAGCCTGCCACAACAAAAGCGATATAATCGATAAAAAGAAAACTATTTATTTGGGAAAAAAATACGTTTGTTGGCAAAGACGGACGAACATTGCACAAAAGCCAATATATCCGCTTTCACGACCTGAACAGAGCATGAAATGTAATTTATGCTCTGAATCACATTTAACGAACTATCGATAGTGAAACACCAATGACAACCTTCGATTACGATCGATAACAAATAAGTGATCGATCAATTTGTTTGCCAAATTTGAACTTACCAAAATACAACGGCCATTGTGACAGGTGAACTCGTCGGGACCGCAGGTCGGTGGATGCTCTGGACTCATATTGCCGCAATCGTTCTCATCCTCGCCGCCGTCACAGTCCTGCTCCTTGTCGCACTTCCAACGCTTGGGAATGCACGTGCCATCCGCACACTTGTATTCGCCGGATGTGCATTGCGATGGCTTCTGTTGGCAATTCTCCTCGTCGCTCCAGTCGCCGCAATCATTGTCGCCGTCGCAGCGAAAGCGATTCAGTATGCATTGGCCGCTGGGTCCACCGGCTCCGCCGAGACCACCACGGCACTTAAACTCACCCTCCGGGCAGCTGTTGATCACGGCCGGGCACTTCAGCTCGTCCGAATTGTCATCGCAGTCGCGTTCGCCGTCACAGCGAAAGGCCAGGGAAATGCAGTAGCCATCGTTGCAGGTGAAATGCTCATCGGTGCAGCTGCTGCGATTGCAGTGCACCTCGTCCGAAAAATCCTTGCAATCGTTTTCACCATCGCATAGCCATTGCCGCGGAATGCAGAAGCCGTTCTGGCACTCAAATTGATCCTCCGTGCAGTTGGTTCGCGCGCCACAGTGCGTCTCATCCGAGTAATCGCCGCAGTCGTCATCACCGTCGCAGAGCCAGTCCTTATTGATGCAGCGATAGGTCTTCGGGCACATGACATGCAGTCCGCTCTGCTCGCATTGCTTTTGCAGCTTGGACATCATGTCATCCATATTGTCGCAATCGAACTCGTCGGAGCCATCGGTGCACTGCACCTCGCGATTGCAACGGCCAATTGATTCGATGCACTGACAATTGCTGCACTGCCACTGCAACTCCTCGCAGCTATTGTGGCAGCCAGTGGACGGCGGTGCGCTGAAGCCATCGCCGGGCTGGCCCAGTTGTCGGGGATCATCGTGGACAACAACCCGGTTGGCGAATGGCCGAAAGCCCTTCTGCTTGTTACTGGCGCCGGCGACAAAACCATCGCGACCACGTGTATTGGCCTGTCTATCCGACTCACGCACCACATACATATCGCCCCGTCCGCCCTGTGCACCTACGTTACGGAACTTTGGGGTATCGCCGGTGCTGGTAGTCCCTGAGCCCGTCATGACGTTGTGCTTGTGGGGCATCATTGGTTCCTTGGTAAATACGTGTCCATACAATTTGTCACTATCCTCATTGTCCTCCAAATGTTCATCAATGTTGTCAAGCCCATGATCATGATCATGTTCATGATCATGTTCATGATCATGCTCAGGATCGTGCTCATGTCCATGCTCGTGTTCATGCTCGTGGTCCTGATGTGGTGGATAGTCGGATACGGAGAGATAGTCGTGATCATCTTCCTTATGCAGCAGCTCATCGGCCAACTCTTCCTCATGCACACCGTGTCCATTTCCGTTCGCAGTTCGTGGATGAGCCGATTGATACCAGTTCTGAGGACGCTCTTGGGTATTTTCTGGACCGCCAGCGCGGTTGCTTATGCCACGCTCATATTGTTCCCCAAGTCCGTAAGTCAAATTGCCAAATCCCAAACCTGCAATGTTTTTATAATGTAAATGTATATGTGCTTAGATGTTATGTACATATGCTGTTTATATGATAGACCCGATATGATTTCAAATAATTCAAATGAAGCTGCGCTGAATACTTTTTGACTTATTTCCTATATGCGCTTAAAAGTATGCTATACTTTTGCTCATAAATTAATTCCTTTACTTTAGACTTTTGCTTTCTAGGAAATTACTTTTCTCTCTTGGTAGACACGGTTTTAAAATATTTCATTAATATTAATTAAATTTACTAATTTTATTTGTAGAAAATTAAATAATATTTTTATATCTACAACATTCTAACTAACATTAGCGCAATAGTTTCAGCTGCGAAAAATCTGCAGATACATTTATGTAGATGTGCGTGGGCTAATAAATTAACAGGTGGTATACATATAGGAGTACAAACATATACACAACACACACATACTAAATATAGCTGAAAACGAAGGTCAAGCTAATTGGAGGAAAATAAAACGGAAGTGGACAATTGAAGTCTCCATTAGGATTTTAATCTAGCATATAAGAATTTAATTAAAAAAATGTTGTACATCATTATAGTCTGTTGCAAAGTAGTTAAAAGCTTTTTAAAGGGTTGCCATCTATGTTTACTCTTGTTGTTAGCCCTTAGTGTTGGCTAATCGTTTAAAATTTGTACCAAGGCTCTAGAGAATTTTCTAATGCTAATGCTAATGCCAATTTTCATTGATAAGTACGCAAATGCATATACATGTACAATGTAAGTAGCTGTGTGTGTGTGTGTGTGTGTGGGTGTATAGTGTGTACGTGACAGAGATAAGATACTTACACAAGCATAGCAGGCACACCAAAGGGCAAAACGGCAAGGCTAGCAAATACATTGCCAACGCGCACGAACGCACGCACACGCTCACGCACACACTGGCGCGCTGGCACACTGGCACGCACGCACGCACGCACGCAACACTGGCGCTTGTTAAGATGTACGGCTGATGCTGCTGCTGCTCCCTCGGCGGCTGCGACAGCTACTGTTGCGGCTGCTGCTGCCGCGGCTGCTGCGGCTCCTGCGGCTGCTGCGGCTGGTTGGCTGTCTGTTGTTGTCTCTTTTTGTTCTATTGGTTTTATTGCGCGTGCGTGTGACGTGCTTCTGATTGGAGTTGGGCGGCTGCTGTGTTGGCGGCTTCTGCTGTTCGCACTTTAATGCGCTTCGCGTTGCGTAGGTGTCACATTCACAATACCGTATGTACATACATATGTACAGAAGCATACATAGTTATGTACATCGGTATACGCTGGCAAGCCAATTCGTTGCCTACACATATGTACACACTTCACTTTTTACGATTGCTGTTTTTGTTGTTCCAAACGTTAATACTGTCAGTGTTGTTGTTGTAGTTGGCGTGGTTGTTGTTGTTGCTATTGTTTTTGGGCGTTTTAAAGTAAACGCTATTTGCATAGAACATTTGTCAGCTCTAATGCCTCGGACTCTGTTCAATATAACATTTCACTTGTTACACATTTGCAACTATTTGCATTTTGTTGCGGCTTAGCTTTTTAGTATTATTTCTGCTACTATTTATTTATGACTATAGTTGAGATCCGTCGAACGTGCTTACGCTGCTAATCGATAAGCATGATTTCGTCGCATTTTATTATCTCTTCTCATGTATGTGTATGTGCATGCATTTTGAGTACATGCTTATATACTATATATAATACCTAATTAGTTGCAGCGTTGCATTTTTTTTATATATGTTAAATATAAACTCTAAACTGTTGAATATCTATATGCAAGTAGTACCAATACGTGCAAAACATATATATGCATGGGTATTTACATATCTAGATTTTAAGATTTTCGAAAACTTAACTGTGTTAACTGTTTCTCAGATTTAAGTTGATATTCGATTTGCATAGTTAGTTGCCTTCAAAAAGTCATTTCATATTCGTCAGCCTCTTCTAGTGTGCTATTTGTTCATAGTTACACACATTCATCAATCATTGGCATTCATTATTGTGCCGATTTTCAGTATTTCCTGATTTGCTCTTTTTGGAAAAATGCCTGTTGCGAGTGCTTTGCAGCATACCTTGAGGCGCAGGCAATTGGTTGACCAATATTTGATTAAGCTATGCAAATCATATTATGAGCCTTGCAATTATCGTATTATCTAGTTTGTATGTCAAACATTAATTAGCTATTGATATTTGTTGTGGCCTTTAGCTGATGCTGTGACCACTTGCTTAGATGAAGCTACTTTATGAGCGAGTATATGTGGGCGTGTATGTGTGCGTGTGGATGTGTGGGTGTGTGGGTGTGTATGCGAGTCTGTTTGTGTTAGTATTGGATGCGTGTATGTGTATGTTCCGGCGTGGGAAACACCCACTCTGAAAGTCTACAGGGACAGCAGCATCACCTACGGCCCACAGACTTCTGGACATATGAAAAGTATTCGCTCCAACTAAGCATTGTGATTGACTTTATGTAAAAATGTAAGAATATAAAAAAAAATCTATTTTGTTAGAATAGAATTTGAGCACGATTTAATGTTTGCTATCGCTGCACTAAATAAAATATTATGTAGAGCATGCGCATTCACTCACATCTACGCACTGCACAATGTATGTAGATACATATATATATTATGTATTTTAGATTAAAGCCGTTTGGTTAACTAATTTTTACGCGTATTTTGCAATTATATTTTGCTTTATACCCTTCGCCCTATGAAGGCAGCTACAGTCGTTGTCGTTGTTGATGTTGTTGTTGCTTTTGTTGTTGCTTTGTTGTTGTTATTGTTGTTGTCGTTGTCGTTTTCGTCGCACAACTTCCTAGCACATTATGTGTGTACATATGTGCTCTGAGCTAATGATTCTGTTGATCCGTTCCGTTTGTATTGCACGCACACAGTTAAAAAAAAATAAAATAAAATGGAAAAATTTCCTGTATTTGTACTGTTTGGCCAATTTTTTGCTGAAGTTTCATATAATTTGTTGCTGTTGTTGTTATTGTTGTTGTTGTTGTTGTTGTTGCTGTTGCTATTGTTGCTGTTGTTGCTGCTGTTGTGGTTGAAGCGTGATTTACGTGCGTCAGCTCAATGCTTGGAACGTCTGCTTCCGTGCTCCGTACTACGAAAAATGTGAAATAACCAGAGATTCGCAGCAGCAGCAGTCGGCGTTCTGCTCCCAATTCGCAGCTGAGCCGACTGTCCCACACAATCTGTGTGTGCGTGTGTCCGTGTGTGCTTTTCTGTGAGAGTGTGTGGGCAGGGAAAAGCTTTCGCTTGGTGATAGCTGAGCGCAAACACAGCGAAGACAAACGTTTTCAATGGGCCTTCTGAATGGGCGAGCGCAGCTCACTAATACACTGACAGCATTTGCGCTCAATGTTCCCACACATACACACACGCGCACGCAGATTGCGTAAAACAATGGAATGGTAACTGTAATCGCTGCTGTTGCTGTAGCCTCGTCCTTGTCTTATGCTTGCGTATACTCACAAAGCTTTCCGATTTTTGTTTTTGTTTTTGCCAAAGCTCGCTCTGGTCCATGGGCAGCTTTTGCCAGCAGCCCAAAGGCCTGGGCCAGCATCAGAGCTTTAGCCATTGAGTTTCATACAGGGAGCGAACGCTTCACTCTCAACCCATTTAAAACAGCTGGCAGCCCAAATCAATTGGGTTGGTCGGTCATTTAAGTCCAGCATTGCCCCTACCCGCTCTCTGCTCTTCTGCTGAAGTGCAAAAACAAAATATTAAATGACTAAGCAAACAGCAGATATCACAAATATACATATATGCATATATATGACCAAAAAAAGAAAAAAATAACAGTAGAAATGTATAAGCACATACACATGTATGTACGTAGGCATATATTCCCTATTCTTCTGTATTTGGCATAAAAATAGAACTGATGTTCTTTTTTTTCTCATATATGTAACAATCGAAATGTTTAACAAAATGACAAGCTGTCAATACCAATAAGTCGTAGATGTCCTGAAGTGCTTAAATACTTGACGTTCAGCTGTCACTTTCGTTTAACGCATGCTGCTTATAGGTGTTTATGGTATGGGTGCATGTATTCTGCACACCAGGTGGCGCTAGGCAACTGCTAAACGGCGACAACCCTAAATGAGCATTGGCATTTCGTGATTCTGAATGAAGCGTTGCGTGTGGCGGCAGTGGAATGTCGCCGGAATGTAATATGCGCAGGCCCAGGACTTTGGCGAGTGTGCCCACATAAGCATGTTCATCATCATCCCCATCCCCATCCCCATCCCAATCCTCACCCCCATACCCATGCCCGTCCCCGTCATCATCATCATCAATTAGAGCAAGAGTTGCAGCAGCCGAAGACGAACGGTAACTGACAGTAATCATTCGTTAGCTAGCAACGGTAGCCGCTCCACACAAACGCTGCCCACGACACGCGTTGCGCGCAGCGATGCGATACAGTGATACATATTTAGATATAGGGCGAGCGGGAAAAAGTGAATGAGAAATCGAGTTTTGGACGGTCGTCTGTGATATACTGTTACTTGAGCGACGTGCTACTGTGTCATCCGACTCGTGTTTGTTTTATTTCTGTTGTTCCTGATAATTTTCTTCGTTTATAAAAATTCTATTTTAAGCGTTTGCGTTTGCGTATGTGTATGTGTGCGCGTGTGTGTTTGCGTGTGTGTGTGTGTGTGGGTGTTCGCGTAAAAGCGTCATTTCCCATTTGGCAGGGATAATTGTAGACTGAAGCATTATAATTATATGAAATAAACGCAACACAGATGCATGCGAACAACGTCAACCGAAATGCACACGTACGCCCACACAGTTATTACAGTTGCGTATGTGTACGTGCGCCTATAAATATGTACTCAAAAATAGAAAATCAGAGTATGGCACAGTTGCCATTTTCTTTTTCTTTTTTTGTTTTTTTTTTTTTTTTGCTATAGCTGCCATTACAAAAATGGGTCAAACACACAAAAGGCAAACGCATAAAATTATGTGCATACAAACATACACATACATGCATACATATGTATGCATATGTATGCATTTATGTACATATGTAAAGCAACAATAATGAGGGCCACATTAACGAGCAAAAAATTGTATGTGGGAAAAGCCATGAGACGCTCTCACAATACGCTATTAGGGAAAACATATTTTTATACTCGAGCATACTTACGAACATATTTTCGAACATATTCAAGGAATGTGACAGATATAGAAGTCAATATTTATGTCATTAGGTAGAAATTGAAGCTTTGAAGAGCCCAGTGTGCTTTCTAGAGTTTTCAGCAGGCTACGGGAACGTATACAAGATACATATATATCTGAGGCTAGACTATTCACATAAAACTATAGCAATATTGTTAAATCAAGATCATGGTGTATATATAATTAGAAAATGGCACCTTAACTTGGGGAATAGTTTTTCTTATAAACATTGTTCGCATACCGTGCACACAATATGCCATGTAAGCGTATGGGACATTATTAAAGGACATATTTAACATTGTATGCATACACACTGGCTTACTGCAAAGACACATGATTAAATGTTTTTTTTTTTAATATATATAGCATAATAATAAAATATCTGTATATATATACATACATATATATAGTTATATGCATCATAAAATCAACGCTTAAAACAATGCTGCGCTAAGTAATCAAAAGTAGAAATAAGCGTTTCACCTCCGAACGGAAGCCAATGCCATCCGGAATCAAACTGAAAATACCAGCAGAAACAATGCCAACCAGTTGAGAATTACAGTGAGATAGCAACAGCAACTGTTAACGCTGCCAATATGACTAGTTTTGGCCACCTGGGCGTATGTTACAGCCTGCTGCTGTTAGTGCTGAGCGCCCAGCTATCATTAGTACGGTAAGTCATCGACTAAGGATTAACACTTTGTCTGTGCGTCGAAATCAAGAACATTCTGGTTCTATTATCAGCAGACTCTGGGATTGTAAACACCTTTTCCCCCTCTCTAAGCTTTAACAGATTGAGAATTGCAAGCATCAAGCAAGAAAAAGAGAAAACCAAACCGTGCTTGTGGCCCATAAATCAATATATCAATTTTTATACTTAGTACAAGAACTTTTGAAAATTAGCAATTATTTAAAAAATATTTAATACAAGTATTTTTATATGATATTCTTGCACAGATGCAAGCGAAAAGAAATGCTCGCAGGCCGCTTAGAGAATGTAACCCAGACGATCTCAAAAATATTGCAAGGCTATGATATACGGCTGCGGCCCAATTTTGGCGGCGAGCCATTACACGTGGGCATGGATTTGACTATAGCAAGTTTTGATGCGATCTCCGAAGTTAATATGGTGAGCCTTAATACTGCTACAAAGTGCTTTAATCATATAGTAAACGGCATTTCATTTTAAACAGGACTATACTATAACAATGTATTTGAATCAGTATTGGCGCGACGAGCGCCTGGCTTTCAACATCTACGGACCGTACTATGATTCCGATGCAGACGACGATGGGGTCAACGATGTGCTGACGCTATCTGGTGACTTTGCCGAGAAGATCTGGGTCCCAGACACATTCTTTGCCAACGATAAGAACAGGTCAGTCGGTTGCTCAAGCGGCTACAGCTCTTGCATATAAGCATATACTTATTACATACTTATTAATATATATATATTTACATCTGTTATACTAGCTTCCTACATGATGTCACTGAGCGCAATAAGTTGGTGCGCCTCGGTGGCGACGGCGCCGTTACCTATGGCATGCGCTTTACCACGACACTCGCCTGCATGATGGATTTGCACTATTACCCACTGGACTCGCAGAATTGCACCGTGGAAATTGAGAGCTGTAAGTTAAGTAGCTTAAAGATTGTTTTATTCCGGAGTGCGATATGTCTATTTTCGGTTTCAATTTTTAACTACAGCTTTTCTTCTCTGTCTGAATCACACAATATTCTTACCTGACTTCTTTTTGCTTTCATTTGCAGATAGAGAGCTCATGCCATTCTTGTCTAATCCATACACAATAAGTTGAAATTCGAACCAATCTATTTGGTGTTCAATCATTTCCTATAATATCTTATGTATATTATATATTAGATTATTGCTGGCTGAATTGTCTAAGATGGTTCAAATCCACCAGCACTTGTCAATTGTCCAGTCGAATTATCAATTTGAGCTGCTTTTTGTATTTGCGTGAAAATTGAGCACAAAAAAAAAACGATTTTGGTTTTAATATATATCAACATTACTCTATTTGAAAATATTTCTATTCCGGAGAACGTCGGCTCATTTCTGCTAATTATGATGCAGCTTTAGTTATAAAAATAATTAAGTTTCAAGTTTTCAGTACCCCTTCACTTATATGATGTATGGTCACATTATTCCGCTTATGCTCACACTCACAAGTTGCAAGCTATTTAAGTCAAGTTTTGTTTTTTAGACGGGTACACGGTCAGCGATGTGGTCATGTACTGGAAGCCAACACCGGTACGCGGCGTGGAGGACGCCGAACTGCCACAGTTTACGATCATTGGCTATGAGACAAACGATAGGAAGGAGCGGCTGGCCACTGGGGTCTATCAACGGCTGTCACTCTCCTTTAAATTGCAGCGCAATATTGGATACTTTGTGTTCCAGACATACTTGCCCAGCATACTGATCGTGATGCTATCTTGGGTATCATTCTGGATTAATCACGAGGCGACGAGCGCACGAGTTGCCCTTGGGATCACAACGGTGCTGACCATGACCACGATCAGCACGGGGGTACGCAGCTCCTTGCCCCGCATCTCCTACGTGAAGGCCATTGACATTTATTTGGTGATGTGCTTCGTGTTCGTGTTTGCGGCTCTCCTGGAATACGCTGCTGTCAATTATACATATTGGGGCAAGCGGGCCAAAAAGAAGATTAAAAAGCTGAAGGATTGTGATCGACATAAAATAGGTAATTCCAAATATCATACTGTTATCGTTAGTTAGAATGAACATCAGAAACTAAGGAAAAGTAACACCATGTTATCTCTGTTGCTTAGAATGTTGTGGTACAATCCAAGGTCTTGAAACAGAATCACTTTCACTTATATTAAACCGGGTTTCTTTAAAAATGATTTGGTTTATCACAATACACTTTGAGGGCAGAAACAGCTCTTAAGCATGAGCCCAACCATTGCATATACCTTAATGTATTTGGAGATGACAGTAAGTTTCAGTGGGAAATATTTTCGAAATAGAAAATGTTGTGTTTCTAGCTCTTATAAGCTCTGAGTTTTGCTCAAAAACCAAAATTTTGTTAAAAATTCTTATCGATTTTATGGAGTCAGGGCAAGTTATTGGTGAAGTTTTGTCAGTTTTAAGTCCCTAGCTCTTTTGTTCTTGGGTAGAAAACTTTAATATTATGTTATGTGAATAAAAGCCAGGTGAATTACTTTAGATACATTGATTAAACTGATTCACAGAAGCACAAAAATGAGCTCATTGTGTGCTTTTTAGAATTATTGTTGCTGTTCCTGTTGCTTTTAGCCAAGGATAATGCTGACTTCTCACGATTTGTGCATTTGCTTACACAGGTAAATTGGAAAAGTCCGAAACGTGTTCAACCACAGAAGATATTATTGAGCTGCAGGACGTACGCATGAGTCCTATACCTTCGTTGCGCAAAGGTAACTACAATGTAACCCTCGGCTCCATTGGCACCGAGACCATGGACTTGGCCAAGTTTCCGCCAAGTTTTCGTATTACCCGCAACTATGGCACTGGTCGCAGTCAGCTCCGACATCGCGGCCAAAGGGGTAAGTGTGACAAATGGGCCTCAAATTAATTCTCATATTAATGATCTCTCTTTCTCTCTGTTTCTCTCTCTTTTTTCTCGAACAGGAATCTCTACGCGTCCACGAGTTATGCATGCCATTAAAAAGAGCGCCTCTGCCATTAGGGCGACATTACCAAAGATCAAAGACGTTAACATTATTGACAAGTATTCGCGCTTGATATTCCCGATTAGCTTCTGCGCTTTCAATCTTGGCTACTGGATCTTCTACATATTAGAATAGGTAGTCGCGGCTGAAAGTCTTAGTCATACCTGCCCAAGTATCATTGCCCCTGGCCACCACCTGCTGCCCTCCCACTGATAAACCATATATGATATATATATATACATATATTGACATTGACCAATTTATATAAATGAATGACAAGCCCGCAACATAAACACATATATACATATACATGCGATATATATACATGCATACATACATACATATGAGTATATTGTTAAGTATTGCTATTCACAATAGATAAATCACAGTAATTGTGTTCCCAGTAATTTGAAAATTTAGGTACACAATTAAGTTAAGTACGAGTTTAGCCAAATTGTGCAAGGAATTGGTATGCATTTGGCAAAATATGGACTCGAGCTGCTCGTCATAACCAATTACATAATATTAAGCAAACAATTTGAACCACGGAGCCAGCTCGATGTGTCAAAAATATTTTCCTCTTGTTCTTTCAAGTGCTTTTCATTGTTATCCATAATAATATTCACAATATCACTGACATCACTTACTGTATATTTCTTAGAAATGTTATTTAAATGGTTTACATATTTTACACAAACTGCATTTTTATTTCACTCTATTCGGGTAGCAATTTGGGGAGAGGACTTCAACAGATCTTTACTCGTATAGTTAAGATCATATTGTGTTTAGACTACGGACCTTATGTGTTGAATTAACTAATTAAACACAATTTTTTGAAGGCCAACAAATATGTGTTACTATACAAGCCAGCGCGTATACCATTTGGGAATTGTAACCACTCCAAACTTATTAATATGATAACTATTTGAATTTAAGAAAGTCAAATCTTGTTCAATAGCAACTCTTTATTTATTACCAAAAAAAAAAAAAAAATGGGAATTGTGGTTATGTGTGCTCAACCTGGAAGCAGCCATTCGATTAGGCTTTAATCATGGACCAGGAAAACTCTTTCTTATACATGCCATAGGCCAGCCAGTAGAGCAAATTGAACAAGGCAAAGGTCATGGGGAAGGCAACACGTGCAACTTGATCAATCAATGATATGCTGTTCACATAACTGGCGCCACGTCCCTGGCCGCTCTTCTCGGCGGCGGCATCGCGTTCGCGTTGCTTGCGAAACTTGAGGTCCCCTTTGAGACAGAGCCACATCTGTCGCATTCGTGAAACGGCGGGCGGCTCAGTTTGTGTGGTGCGCTCCATGGTCGAGGCATGCGACGAGAGTTTGGGAAATATGTGGGCGGGCGCCTGCTGCTGATTCTACTCAAAAATAAACAAAATAAAAAGGTCACTTTGCAAAATCTTTGGCTCTGTCACTTACATTATAAATGGGGCAGCTAAACGTGCTATGTTTGGGGTAGCCGCTGCCATTCAGCTCGGCTGGCAACGGCAGCTCACAGTGAAGTGCATCGTGGTCGGCAAAGACAAATACATCGCTATCCGAGTTGGCTGGTTCGCTGTCATCGCTGGCCTCGGCGGCATCGGCAATTTCGCCCGAGGAAAAGCCCAAGGCACCAACATCCTCCCACTCATCCTCCAGCCGCGGAAACTCGCCGCTACCCAGCTTGGTGAAGTAGTGTACGCCGGCAAATTCCAAGAGCGTGGCAATGCAATATAGAAAGCTCATGAGCAGAAACCAGTCCAGAGCCGTCGCATACTTGACCTTGGGCAGATCGGTGCGTGAGTCCAGGCTAATGGTCGACAGCGTTAGCACAGCCGTCACACAGAGGCCAACGCGATCGCTGGTGGCCTCGCGATGTATCCAGAAGGAGACCCAGGAAAGCACCACAATCAATATGCAGGGCACATAGACCTGGCGTAAGGCGCATCCTAAAGCAGTTGGAGTCAACAGAATCATTTGATGGCTGCTCACCTGTATTAGAAAATAGCCCGTGTGCCGCTTCAGATTGAATGCCACATGCAACACACTAAAGTCGCCCTCGCGACGGGTGGATGTGAAATTGCGGTGCATCATGCTGATCAAATCGAACTGGTTAAGGGTCATACCCGGCACAAAGGAGACAGCATCATCATGATTTTGCCACTCATATACCAGTTGCTGATTGGTGTAGCCATCTGCAAAGGACTCACAGGACTCAGATGGCTGCAGACCATGTAAGGAACTCAGCTCTGTTAAATACCCACAGCTGCCTATGATAAGTGGACAGGACTGTCGATCCATGGGAAAGTTCTTCAGCTCCATCGGGCAAGTGGCTTTAATGGTTAACCTGTAAATTGTAGTGGGAATTAGCATCTTTTTAACTGGGCTTGGTAGATGGATTCGGTATACCGCATTGAGTAGAGTATGCCGCCATCCTGGTCCAGTCGCAGCAGCTTATTGGGCACGGTAATTGTGTGTATATGCGAGTGTTTGCCATTGTAGAAGTATGTGTCGGGTCGCCAGATCTTGTCCAGCATTTTAATGCTCAGCGATAAGCTCTTAATGGGCCCCTGAAAACTCAGCCGCTTGTCGCGCCAATACTGACGAAAATAGCAATCCATGGAGTAGTCCATATCCAGCTCCGACACGGGTCCCATGCTGCGTATAAGTATATTGGTGCGAACCACAGTCGGCAGGCCCTGGCCATGTGTGGGCAGTTGGGATTGCTCGTAACGCTTTAGTAGATTCTCCAAAATGCTTGATATATTCCGGCTAAGCATATCCGCTGAGGCGGTGCGCGGCCGCGCTGAACGCCCCGGCCCGCTAGCCTTAAGAGCAGCCGTATCATTCACAAGCCGCCGAGTTAGGCGACTTTTGACCATGCTGCTTGCTGGCACGGTTGAGAGTGCCCGAAAGGACTCGTATATGCGACTGGCCTTGAACTCGCTGGTTATTAACGGCATTTTTGTTGACTGTGCCGTTCCAGACACCGACACCTTATCACCAGGTGTGCCAACTGTGGAAATGCTTTGAGCACGATCGAGTAGGCATACGTAAATTACGCAGCTGTGGAAGAGTTTCCTTCATTTACAAAACGTTTGGCAAAATACAAAATACAAATACAATACAAATAAAAGCCAAACTAAATGCATGAATTTATTTTTAGTTTGCAATAGCGGCTTTTCTTGAGAGATTCGATAATAATGCCATTGTTTAACAGCAGGTTTGTGCAGAATACAATAACTCAACCTTTTCTAGGTCTGCGATTCGATGCCGGTGGAAATGAGTAGATGATAACCATTATCCGTTGAGAACGTGCGAATGGAATACACTCATTCAATACCAAGTGAAAAACTCTATTTGAGATTTTAGTTTTGCAACCCAATAAAATAGTCTGGCCCAAGCACACATAATACCTATAGAGTGCAACTAAACACGTGCAAGCAAAATGAAGTGCTCCAAACGGCCAAACAGCTCAATGAAAGCAATTCATGTTTTATAATTTTCATGGGTTTTCTTTTTGCATTGTTCAGCACATGAAGTGGCTTTAACAATTAAACACTTGAGCTGGAAATCGTTAAGCTAGTGTCCAATAAACAGTCTATGCAATCGCAAGATACCCCTTAATGCAGCCAACCATAGAAATAAAGCTGGAGCGTATTATTTATCAAGCTGCATGCTGTGCAAGCATTTAATTAACTGGTCTCTTTTATAAATAATCGACTTTATATTGACTTGCCCATTGAATTGCATCAAAAAGCTTCAGCGAATGCCCTTTCGGCTTTCTGTTATGTTATGTAAATATATACCCCATTTGTGGCTTAGTTACGAGGTATAGAAAGTGTGACATTTTTGAACAATGGGAACAACGTTGGCGTGGGCGTCAGTGGCAACATGAAAACAACACGAAAAGTACAACAACAACAACAACAACAGCAACAAGAAATGCCGTTTACAGGATAACAAAAGAATGCCTGGATAATTTGTACAGTAGACCCATGATTATGCACATGTGTTGTGCATTTGTGTGCATTTCATATTTACGCACACGAGGACGCATATTTGTTGAAACGATTTCAAAAATGTACAAAATTCAAGAAAAATCTACAAAAACCTAGTAACATTGCAATTTGTTGACTTATGACAAAATTCTGCTAAATATTCTGTAAGACAACGAAACATCTGGAACATAACTTAGAATTTGAGCTGAGTGTTTGCATACATAGCTGCGCAATAGCCTGAACATAACTTAGGAATTTTTTTGTAACAACAGTTGAACTTAGTTTTTGGATACTCTGAACCGTCGGCTAGTCTGTGATCTTTATTTCGTAGGGCTGTCAGAGAACTAGACATTCACAAGGCCTAAGAAAACTAGAAACTACAATTGATTTAATATTTCTGGCCCCACTGTGCAACGTGAGCTGTTTACTGGCCGCGGGTGCTTTGCAGCTTTTGAATCGCTTAATAAAAAAAAAAATAAAACAAAACCATGTTATTCAGTTCACGACCTTGCGACCGCTTCCAATGATGTGCCTGGGTAATCTCGGCGTTTGGGCGCGTGAATGTCTACAAATGTCGATGTTACGCCTCCAGGCTCGTTGGGTCGGACTTGGGAATGTGGCAGTTTATGTAGACTCTTAATTACTTCCTTTTGAAAGGCATAGAGCTATATTTCAAAAAAATGAAAATGCCAACTTTCTTATATAGTGCATATAGCCAGTTGGGTTAGTGCAGCTCTCACTCACTTAGCATTTTTCCACTCAATCTCCCCCCCTCTCACTAGGCATCCCTCTCACTATGCTAAAAAATTGCTTGATTCGCAAAATAATAGCTGCATGCAGCACGTTGTGATGTGTGTGTTTCTGACTATGCACACACTTGTGCATGCGCTTAAACACACACGCACACACACACATAGATCTAAAATATGCCATAATGCACAAAGCCTGTTTAGAATATCAGTTTGATTTTAAAATTCGGTTTTGGCTCCAAGTTTTTTGCTGTAGCTTAGAAGTTTTGATATTAATTGAATTTGAATTTGAAACCAAATCTTGGCACACAATTTAAGATTGTTGGTTTCAATGTCGCATGTGAGCACAAGGCGGCGGGGCAATCAACTTAAGCACATTAACCTAGCTGAGAATGCATTTGAGCTGATTCCCTCGGCCCGACCACTTGACCGCATCTGACAGTTTTGCAGCTATTGGCAGTGCTCGAGGCACCAAGTGGCCATGTGCAGGCAGATATATTGAACGATTGAACGCCTGACAGGCAAAATGCGGTGAATATGACTTTAGGTCAATTACTTACCTGGCTAACAACCGCAACATAATCATAATAATGCAAGTTAATTTTCAAAAAATAAAAAAAAAATTGTTATTAAACACACGCGGTTCGCAGCACTCGAAATACAATTTACGAGCTGAAGTAATCCATCACAATTAGCGTACTTAATGGTAATTGACTATGTTGTGCTGGCCAGAACTTGCGCTCGTTGTTGCCAGCTTGCCGTCTGAATCCCGACAAGGTGGCTGAGACAAGCCTAAGTCGCTGCTGGCTTTGACTCTGGCGTTGGCCATTGAGTCTGGCATGCGCAAAGCATCCATCAAACCAGCAGTGTGGCTGCAACATGCAACGCGAAATGTATCCATTACCCTTGCCTGTGACTGTTCAATCCATCACTGCATGGCCCCGGCACAGATCTCGCACACACACACACACACACATACACACGTGTATGGCCATAGGCATTTTTACCTAAATATGACAGGCCCACACCAACACATACGCTCCGCCCAAGACAGTTCGGTCATTGTCTGCGTGATGCTTGCTGCACATTAATTATTTCTGAAAGCCCTCTTTTTAAATATTGCTCTTTAAGAGTGTGCTTGCCTAGGTCAATAAGTAATATTACATTTTATTTTTGCGTACATCATTTTTATTTAAATATTCATTTACAGACCCGCCATTGACATGAACAAATGTCGTTTGAATAATTAGTAAACGCATGCTAATTGGTGTTTGGCAGAAGCTTGTCTGATAAAAACTTGTCAAAAACTACTATTCAAAGGTTTGTTTATATTATTAATCTATTAGCTATGATTTCTGGTGTACTTAATAATATTCTTGTTAGCAAAACAAAAACTGAAACACAGATTTCGCATCCATGTGTTTGCCCTGCCAGCGGCAGGCAAGTTTAAAAATAACTGCCAAATTGACTTGCTTTAGCGCTGCCATTTCTAACAGTATCGATAGGCGCTCTCTTAAAGTATCGATTACCAGCATTGATAACTGTTATAGAAAATGGCGATCATCATTTCAAAAGGCCTCTTTATAACCAGAACCCAGTGAATAGTTGATTTGGCGCAAAGGAATTTAACAACCATATATAGACATCGGACACCAAGAGAACTAGAGATACGAAATTTGTAGTATATCATTTCAATAAAATAATAAAATTTTATTTTCAACCTAAATCTCAGAGCTTATAAGAGCTAGAGACACGAAATTTAAAATGTGGACTCCCGTGGGGTATAAACAGGTGTACAATATTTCACTGTTTGGAGACCTCTTCCTATTCTCTTCAAAACTACAAGAATAAACGTGTTCTTAAGAGTATGCACTGTGCGTGTATGTGTTTTTTGTATGTGTGTGTAGAAGGAAGTTAAGCTGTTTGGAGCGGCAGCCTGACGTTGAGTTCAGGTTATGTCCAACTTGAACACTCCCAACTAAAGCACCATTCACATGTTCTTTGCTGATTCGAAAAAGTGACCACAAAATATTGTACTCGCAATATTTTTGTTGAGAATCTTTTAAGGAACTTCCTGCCAAATATAGTGATCCTAGCTTAGGCGTGCTGAAGCAATTTCTGGTTTGATCACTAACAACAATAACACGTGGATTCTTCAATGAATGCACATTTTTGATTAATCTTGAGCTTACTTCCAAAATAATTTCGCTATGCTATTCGGATATTGAATGTCTAATGACTCCTTCGCATGAAAATCGATGTTCCTTGAGCTCAGATACTTGATAAGAAATAAGCTGTTGCCATTGACATTCGATTCGTTCCACCCGTTTTGAATTCCATAGATCATTTTTAGTGTTAGGCATATAAATAGTTTGTCAGTTTATTCAATAAAAATGTTCATGCGATCTACCGAAGGGTTCATCATTTCATCAATCGCATTGATCAGTTACTTATGAGATATGGCAGGGAGGCGTCAGTAGATGCGTCCCCTCAAAGGATTTAAATATAAATACACTATTTTCACAAAATGAGCGATCGTTAAATTTTATAAAAGAAACATAGGTATATGTATGTATATATATATTTTTTTTGTGTATACCAGAGAGAAGTTCTAAGCTAAGCAACTTAAAGTCAAAGACATATCCTCAGACAGACTTTTTTGTTTTACTGCTCCACGTAAGAAGCATTAAATATCTCACTTTCACTATTACTCTCTCTCTCTCTCGCTCTCTGTATGTCTCTGATATCTCTAGGATTCGTGACAGGTTTGCGGCCGTGTTCAGGATCCCAAGAGAGCAAATATTTTTGACCAGCAGCAGCTTTGCTGATTTTGTAAGCTTTTTATTATCAGATTTCCAAATTCTGGCACCTGGCTGCCACTTCAATTGGAACCAGAAATCTCCAATTCACCCACTAAAATATACATCTAGCTTCAAAGCGAACAGTGAGAACAATTGAAATCTATTTGAGAAAATTGTTGCAAACAATGCGTTCTAATTGTTATCTCATGCTTATCACATCATAGTCAAAATGCTCAACCAAATTTTAGACGAATTGCATTTTTCTTTTCTTTTTTTTTTGCGGTGCTGTTGCCCAAGCTCGTACATATAGATATTGCTCAGCCAGTCAACTGCATATGTATTATCTCACTTAGGGTTATCTTAGCGATAGTATCTGAAAGTAAAATAAAATATGGCATTAGAATGGCCAGATTGAAGAAGTCGATATGATTTCATTTATTTATAGCCCTGTGTCTGAGGTGCTTTTTTTCGCTGAACTCTGAACTCTGAGAACTCAAGCCCAAAAAAAGGTCGTTGATAGCATAATTTACTGTCTGGCACGGTAAATTGGGTCCGCATTATGTTCACCTAATCTGTGTAATACTTATATGTACATCTGTCCTGCTTTGTGCCGATGTCCGGATGCTGGAGTTCCGCGTTATACTCCTTGATTCGTCTGAGCTATGAACTTGGTTTTACGAGCTTTCTGTTTGTGTACGCAGAACCAGAATATTGAATTTTTCTCAGCTTCTACCAATTGATCGGATGTATATATATACGTATATATATATATATGTATATATACAAATATATATAATTTTGCCAGCAAAATTTTATTGAAATATTTCAAAATTTGTTGTTTTTGTTTTGTTGTTAAGGTTTTTGCTTACGTCGCACCAGACAGTGAAATTAAAGTTAATGCATAAAAATATTCATAGGTATACATATTAAAAAGTATTGTTTTATAATGGCTGTATATAAACACACACACACCCACACACACATATATATGCATGTGCAGCTATATATGAAAATAGATGCATATTTGTCGAAGAACTGTCTCTTGCATAGCACAGTTCACTTATCTTTACATGTCGATGTTATGTATCTCTGTGCATGTGTGTGCGTGTGTGTGTGTGTGTGTACTAGTGATTTTTTTAAGTACTCCCTTGTGAAAAGTTTTCTTCCAAGTGAGTAGATCCCATGGATTTAGAAGCCTTTTTTCCAACTCTTTGGCAGTTGCATGTGAATTACATACTTATGTGTATAAAATGATAAGAAATGAGCCAAAATTTACTCAACTAAAATGATAAAAGTCAGAAGGGAGTTGAAAGTAGAGAGAAGTGAAAATAAACAATATACAAGAAAGGATGTTAGATACGTTAGCTGGTGATAGAAAATTATAATTGAAAAAAGAATAAAGTGTACATAACAGAAGAACTGCCTTATATTAGAATGTATGTTGTTTGTACATATGCATGTATTGTATAGCATTTAGCTATTTTCTTGTTTCTTCATATTTTTGTGTATATGTGTATTGATACATACATATGTATGCACGGATGTATGTCTATAGCAAAATATTGTAATTTGCTAGATTGCTAGTGAAAACATAAAAACATATACATATATTAAATTTTGATCTGTTTTTTTTTTTGCTTTCATATTTTATTTTGTAATAAATTTTAATTGGTTTTTGAATGTTGTCGTGGTTGTTGTTGTTTTTTTGGTTTGTTTTTTTCCTTTTTTCATTTTGGTTGTATTACGCTTAGTTTTTATTTTATATGTTTACTTAAATTATGTTAGACCACATTATGGACCATACTATCCAATTGGCATCTTACAGCTAAGTTATTATTATGTTATTCTCCTCAGCCCCATACATATGCACGTATGTATGTATCTATATACATATTTCAATAATGTCTTCATAGTGTGAAGCTCCATACAATTCAGTTGTAATTGTTTTTTTATTTTTATTTTTGTTGCTGTTGTCTTTCTCTGCTTTGTTTTTTAAATATTTGTTTATTATTTAAGTTTATTAACAGTTAACAGTTCTTTAGAAATGGTTTCAAAAAGTTTTATTATAATGAACATTTTTCTTTCTCTCCAATATTGTTGCTTTTCTAATATTCCTTGACAAACATACGGTGTGAGTGTTAAATGTGTGTAAATGTGCTCACGAGTACACGTGCACACTCGTGTGTGTGGGTGTGTGTGTGTGTGTGTGTGTGTGCCTGTGTGTGTTTGTGTGTAGATTCATACCAAACTTCTGATGGGCCTGCTAGCGCTTATTTCTTTCCATCATATAATAATACATACCAATATATGAACATGTTTTTATGCACATACATGCGTATGTTCGTAATTGCCAGTGTGTACATATATAACTATATATTTAAATATGAATCGCAACATTTGATGGATTAGAAATGCTCAATTCCATTTGAACAATATACTTATATAATAAATATTTACATAAGTATATTGATTTTGTACTGTTTTTAAAAAATTGTATAATTGTATTTGATCTTGCTAGAGAATATTTCTGTGTTAGATTCCTATTATAATTTGCTAATGTGTAAGTCGACTGTACGAATTGATTATTCTCACTTTATTTTTGTTTCGACCATCGTTCCAATAGTTTAATAGAGTAAGGAAATTCTGATCTTGCGCTATTTCCCGACAAAAAAAAAAATTATAGTTACTCGCTGATCTTAATCGGCGATCATTGGAATCAAAATCTAATATATATATATTCATATATAAGCAACAGATTTAAATTCGTTTTCATTTTTATTATTTTTTTGTTCGTTTTGAGCGGCAAGCTTTAGGATTCCAGATCAGAAGTTCGGTCAGCCAGCAGTTCAGACAAAAACTGAGGACCATCAGCAGCATTTTGGGTTAAGCACATATTGTTTATATATGCGATATGTGAGATTTGAATGTTTATTATTTTTTGTTTTTGTTTTTCTTTTATGTTTTTCTTGTTTTTTTTTTTTTTTGTTCTTACTTCGTGTTGGACTAAGTATGTAATACGTACATAAGTATATTGCGTAGGGGTTGTTGCGAAGGTGTTAAAACGGTTATTTTTGTGTATTCTCATCTATATGTTGCGCGTCTGTGTTTGTGCCTCTGTGTGTCTGTCTGTGTGAGTCTGCATGTTTGTGTGAGTGTTGAGGATCCATTGACATATAAATTCATGTTGAATTCTTGTATTTAATTCAAAATATTATTGTTATTCATTCTTTCAATGTTATTGCTGTTGTTCGTTAACACTTTGGCAAACTGCGTATTTAAGTTTGATCTCTATATAACAACTAATTGTTGTTTTCTTGTTGATTTTCAATTATCATTATTATTTTGCATTTATTTTGTATTTATTCAGATCGCCTGTGTACCGTTTCTTATTTGTAACTGTCTAATTCATTTATTTAAATATTTAGCCTATTTACTTATGCATTCAGGGGACACACACAAACATACATACTATGTTCATTAATTATCTGCTTGTGTATGCATTTTAAGAGTGTCTGTGTGCATGAGTAAGTGTGTAAATGTGTGTGTGTTGTGTGTGTCAATAACAATACTTTTAATCAATCATTCTTAGATAATATCATATTTAGCAGTTGACTACGACTGCGCTTGTCACAATAAAACCCAATCAATATCATTAAGAAATTTACGTACTTAATCAATTACTTATTCAGTAATACTATATTTTAGTATGCATATAGCGACACATCCATACGCATGCATGTGCCACTTGAGCAAATACACTTATGCACGCATGCAATTATACACACCTCGAATCAATTTGAGTCACATGCTGTCTTAAAGATAATCACTTACAAGGTAATTACAAATTTCTTATTTTTTGGTTTTTCTTTTTCTTTTAAGTTTGTATTTTGATAAATTACTAGATTCCCGAAGGTATTGTTTTATTTCATTTACATTGTACACACTTAAATATGTATCCAAATATGCAAGTGTAATTAGCTGCATATAATTATGTTTAGTATACGAGCATGTGTATTGTGTGCGTGTGTGTGTGTCTAGTGTGTATGTCTTCGTATAGTTAAGAGTACTTAGTATAGTTATGAATGCTTGTAAATTGTCTTCTTACTTTTCACACTGTTTAATATGCACATGCTGACATGCATATGCTATGTAGATGAGTTTGGATTTGTGAATTCCCCCATCAAAATTGTTGCCTACATATTATATGATTTTTATGAGTTCACCGTAATTTTTCTGTGTATTTCAGTAAATTTTCTCAATGTCTTGGCTATGCCAAACCCTCCCCACAATTGCCGTGCATACAAGACAGTAAACAGTACATACATATCTGTACATACATGCAGATACATATATAACATATGCACATATATTATTGGGTTATCCTGGCATACATTCAATTTTATTTACTAACGAGAACAAAGTCTTGCACATTACGAACAAACAAACAAATATTTTGGATTTGTATGGGCAACTCTATATGGAGAACACAATTTCGAGCTCTTCGAGTCAGGAAGAATATTCAAAAATGCTACGAAAATTGTCTGAAGCCATTCTACATCCACCTATTATAAGGATGTTGCCCATTTGTTACACGTGGGCAGTTTAGCTGGCATCAGTAGAGGAAAGAGTTGATGCGGATCATCATCATCATCCAAGAAAGCTCAGCCAAAGTCAGAGTGGACGATGGCTATGAGAAGACCATCGAAGGCACTTTCCTTATCACCTTTGAGAAAGTTGCTAATATCAATGGCACCCAATTTAAAAATCCATATAATAACTGGTAAATAAAGGCGCCAGGCTCAGTCACCACATCCCTGCCAAAAATCATTCATCTGAATGAAGGTTTATAGTACGTCCGAAAATTTGTAAAGATGAACACGTTTGTCTTAATTTAAAAAGAACGCGACTTGGCCATTTGGCGTTGTAATTGGGATAATGAACGATGGAAATGTATGTATAGCGCCCAACGTGGGTCATGAATTACAAATAGTTGTTATTATCCTAAATCCGAATCCGAACCAATATATTTTTGATTAGAACATTTTTATTGGATTCGGTTGGGTGAATAAGTCCCAAATACTGGCGGCTTATTTGTTGCAACTTTAATCTACTTATAATTGACACTTAGAAACAATTATGCGGGTGTGGAAGGGACTTTTTGACTCAAAACATGCCAAGTGCATATTTTTGGTTGGCTCATACAAATATATAAAACATACATATGTATGTGTACATAATACATATGCAATATATTCGAAATTGTGCACACTTATATGCATAGACATACTTATTTATTATTTGCTCAATACGCCTGTTAAAGTATATGCATTTCAGTTATATTTTTTTTTTTTGGATTCTTGAATATGCTCAATTTGATCTACAACTAGCTATGTATGTATTTACATATGCTAACATACTTTGTTTTTATGGCTTATATTCTCGAGCTCTGACAACATCCATCCAATTAATGTACTAACTAATGAAACTTTGTTCCATCTGTGACCAATCTTTGAACAAGCACTTGTCCTGGATTATCTACGAGTTTGCATATACTTAAACATATGTTTGAATGAATGTACTTATTTTAATGCTTATGTATGTGTGAATTAATGTGTTAATTTTTAATTCTTTCTTTAACTAATTATACTACTAGTCATCAAAAGGCTAGCTAGTGTACATACCAAGTGTTAGTCAGTGCAGATGATTTTAGAAATTATGAAATTTTGATAAACATTCCACATATGACAAAAAAAAAAGCTGAGTAGCACCGCATGCTTGCAGCACATACGTGAAATCTGTTCGAAAGCTTAGTTGCATTTCATTCTAACGTATGGCTGACAGGCGTTTTAAGTATATCATATCATCAAATTAGTGTATATATATAAAAGGTTCTGCTTTTTCAGCTCAGAGTACTTGAAAGGGTAGAGAAATTGATTTCGAAAGTTTGGTCAACCACAACATAACCTTTAAACGCTTTTCAATCAGTGTTTTTTTCATCTTCTTAATTTTCTTCTTTTTCACACAATCATGTTATGAATACCTGCGATTATCTAGCATGAACCGTTACGATTAATTCGCGCGTAATATGTCTATAATTGTTATTGTTACAGATTGTTACTTATGCTTTATCATATTTTATTAACTGTTTGCCTTATCATAATAAAACGCATTACTCCTATTATAATGGTTATCCATTAAGTTATTCAATGTGAATTGATGGCACTCGGCCTCAAAATCTATCAGTCGTTATAAAATTTGCCCATATCAAGGTTAACTTTTGCAGCACATGGCACAAACAGTATTTCTTAATCTGGATGTATGGTATATGCGCACATATATCTGCATCAGCATCAGTGTCTCTAGCGGCAGATCAGAGACTTATACGTATGTAAATACGACGGCACAAAAAAAAAAAAATATTATTTCCCAATCTGGAAATAAATTCTCTCTTTTCGCACACATTGCACAGAAATTGTTCTCAAAATTTCATAATACTCGTACACCTCTTGACTTCTGCACATATCGCAGCTAGAAAGCTATCGATAGTTATAAATGGGTCTATTATTGAATTCAATCTTTTTTTTTCCTGTTTGCTTTTTGTTTTGGGTATGTAAGTGCTTTCAAAAGACATTTACTTTATATTATTTCCCAGCTCTGGTTTTCATACATATATATAACAAACATATGTATGTTTCTATGCATATGTATGCGTGTGTAGGTATTTACAATTATTACATTCATTAGAAATATGTTGAATTTATCAGGCGTCGCCGGCACGTCTGAGGTACTTATGTATGTACATACTAGTATGTAATTAAGTATAAAAATTGTTAAATCTAATTCACATGTAAGTGCATATTCGCGTATATGTCTGTCTGTCTGCATGTATGTATGTATATATGTATGTATGCATGCATGAAGTATGTATGTACATGTATGACTGTGTGTGTGTGGGAGTGCAATGACCTACATATAATCAATTAATTGGTTGTTTTGTTTAGCTCGCGTGGCGTTAACTTTTTTTTAACTTTACATTTATCCCATACTATAACTAGATGTGTATGTACGTAATTATATACGATAATGTATGCTATTTGTTATGTTTTCACTTCATTTGTTTTTAATTCATTTATTATTTTTAAACTATGTATGCATATGCTAGAGTACTGCGAGTACCAAAAGTCTGACTGAATCGTATGATTTGAACGCTTGCCTGTCTTTGCCAGTCTTTGGGTTTGGCCAGAAAACGGACGAGCTTTGCGAGTTTACTTTGGTGATGCTGTAGATGCAGCTGAAGCTAAAGATGTTTGAACTGTCAATGCTTATATTCCGGGTAGCAGCCATTCTCGGTTATTTGACCGGATTGACTGTTGTTGCTGCTGCTGGTATCGACCGATTGCTGTTGAAGCTGATGCTGATGCTGCTGATGCTGCTGCTGCTGCTGCTGATGATGATGCTGATATTGCTGATGCTGATGCAATTGCAGCTGATGGAGCTGTAATTGCTGTTGGCTTATGGCCGCCGTGTCTGCCGATTGTGATTGCAACGTGCGGCGCGTAAGTGGCTGGATAACACTTCCACTGCTTTCCGTCTCCGTTGAGGGTGGCGAGGGGTAATAGTCCCTCTGACTTACATTTATACCATTTGGGACGACTGCCATACCCATTATAGAGTTGTTGTTGGCTGCCGCCGCCGCCGCCGCCGCAGCTGCTGCCGCTGCGGAGGATTGATGATCGCCGTGGTGCTGGTGCGGATGCTGATGGTGGATAACGTTGTTCGTTGTAGCTACCGACATGGGCGCGACGCCGCTGGATGGTTGGGAATCCGACATTGTGCCGGATTGCGGCTGGTCCAATACCACGACGGATACCACATCCTCACTCGCCCACCGGGCTAACTGTTGTTGAGCTTGAATAAAGTCATCACTAGAAAATAATAATCGTAACAGGAACAACGGTACATGGTAAGAACACTAGGGGGGCTCATCAGGACTCAGGACCATAGGCTGGGACTGGTGCAGGCACATTGACCTTTCATGCACAAAGGGCGACATATCAAAGCACAGTCGAAACTGAACGGAATTTGGCAACCATTTTCCTAGCATTTGTTAACTTGAAAAATCCTCACAATCCAGAAAGAAAACTGGAAAAAGTGCAATTATTTGGACTCTGAGATCAAAGACGCTAACAGATTATTATGCACATGCATACATGACACAGAATAGAGATGGCGGAGATCGTTTATAAACAACAACCAAAAATGTACAGAAAAAATCCATGTTGAAAAATTTCAATTGCATAAATCAAATTTTTTACTCCGTAAAATAAAGTATAGATTTTATAGTATTGTATCGGAACGGAATAGTTTTGAATTGAACTACTCAATAAACAGATTGAACAAGAATCTGACTCGATGGCAAATAAGGCAAATAATCAAAGGATCTGGCTAAAATAACAGAAATATAAATATGGCAACGCTGCGGAAGTGGTGCTAAGACAACAAATAACTGTAAGACCAAGCGAACTGCGCGATGAACGGCTCACGCGCTCATCTCTAAAACTGGATCTCATGTAGCCACAGGCTGCAAAATGAGCTGCAACCAATCTAGAGAGCAATCAAGGATTGTGGATATTATTAAAATTGGGGGTCTGTTTGGGCTGCGAATGGGAGGCGTTTGGACGCGACATTGATATATATATATATATCTATATATCCATATATATATATATATATATTTATATATACATATATGTATGTGTGTGTGTAGGTGGAGAGACGGAGACTTACCTTTCACTCTCGGGCGTCTCCTGTTGATCGAGTCGCGTGTCAAGAACTCCGCGCTCATGATGATCGGCGCTCTCGTAGATGCCCTCATCGTCCTGGTGCAGGTGCGTGTGCGACGAGTGGTGCGATGAGTGTGGACCATGTGTGGCATGTCCGTGGGCGTGCGAATGGTGTGTATGGTGTCCGAATGCATGCGGAGAATGCGACTGATGCGTTGGATGGCGGCCAGTGGGCGCCGGCTGGCGGTAACGTCCGCCGTAGGCAAAGCGCGTATCCTCGTCAGAGCGGGGCCGGCAACGGCTGCTGTAAGACGGGTGAATTGTAGCTGTTTTCTGAGATTGAGCTGCTTGCTGGTTCGAGCTGGCGGTGGGCAAAAAGCAAAAAATTAATCAAAGGCTCTTCTTAGAATAGTTTAAGCACAATAAATCGCGAAACGGGATGGGCGGATAGGGATCTGGGGATAACGAGACCGAGACCGAGTAAATTTTAGCGAAGGTTACGATAACGACAGATGAGCTGCTCACATATCGTTATTACACCAAAAGAAAAGAAAGTATCATTAAGAAATTACCAAAAACAATGTCATACTCGTGAAGTTATTAAATGGGTATATGGTAATAAGTCAGCGAACCCTATTTTGTATCTGACTATATGTAAAGGGTTCGATTGGGGTTTGAGAACCCGTGGCTTTACTTTCTTTAAAGGGGAGCTACTTTGTTTTTGTATTGTAGGCGTGGCAACGCTTGTGAAACCAACCTTTATCACACAAGATATTCCAGTCTGAAGCCTGCAAGAAATGCGAATAGAAAGTTGCGTTGGCTAAAGTTCGATATAAATATCTGCAGTCCAAACGGACCACAGCATAGTACATGCTCATCTTGGTTTGAAGAAAGTGTGAGTGTATGTCTGTGTGTTGTATATTGAATGTTTATGCGTTTGTTCCAGTTGTTGTTCTATGTTGCAACAATGTCTGCAATGTTGTGAAGAATGTTAAAGCCATATATAATTTACGCTAGACCATTAACAATGTGAAGCAATTGCGCTACATTTGATCAGGTTATAGATTTTCGAATAGGTTAATTTTAAATTTGAACTGAATGATTGATAAAACAAGTACAAATAATACTTATTGCGGTTATAAAGCAAGCATATCGGTACTGTCTATTAAGAAAGTACTTTTGAATCGCAATGCACACAGCTGTTGAGTACATTCAACAAATTACGAGTACGAGTACGAGTACCAGCAAATCCTACGCTAAATCAAACAAGGTACGTGTATGGGTATGCGTATGTATGTATATCTGTGTGCGTGTGTGTATCTGTGTATTTTGAGTACAATGCAAAATAAATGTAACTCCTATGCATGATAAGCGTTTATCAGGTTTGTCGGACTCGGCATTTACATATTTTTTGGGTATATTTTTCTTGGATTGGGAATTTCGGGTTCTTGGGATTGGCATCAAAATAAAATCGAAGTCGAATACGAATTCGAAACTAACCCTTGCGAGGACTCACTACAAGCGGCGGAACTATCTAATCTATAGTGACGATCGGCCTCAGTTTCCGACATGCGTATATCCTCGGAGCCACTGGGACTCATGTGACGTGACGAATGATGCTCCAGCTGCCTTATCAGATCCTCCAGATTGCGTATACGCAGCGGTCCAGTCGATGGGGCATCATCCTCGTCAGTTGGCTGCTGTTGCAGTGCCAGCCCAGGAGGCTGATGTAACTGATGTTGCGATCGATGGTGATGCATCATTGCCCCGCCATGCCCAATTGCGTTCGCTAAGCCACTAGCACCACTAACGCCAATGCCACTACCAACACCCCGTCCGCCGCTCATGTCAGCACCAAGTGTCAAGCCGCCCATCGCGGAACCACTACCGTCCAACAAAATGGCATGTGCGGCGGCACTATCGCAGATATTCTCACGCGAGCTCGACTTGGAGCCGCTGGCCCGCTTGTAAGGCTCAGCGGCATAGCCCAGCTGGGCATTGTTGCAGTCCTGCAGTGTTTTGCGCAACATTTCCTCACTGAGGCTGCCACTGCCGACGGGCGTGTTGCCAGTGCCGGTGCCGCGATGCGAGGCCGCATTACGCAACGCCTCTAAAATGTCCTCATGGTAACCGTTCAGCGATTTGAGCGTGCGCTCCACTTCTGAGGCAGCCGCGCCGCCAATTGTCGAGGTCTGTGTACCATCCTGTGTAATCAGCTCCAGATTATCCGACTGGCTGTCATCGCACCACTTGTCTTTCAGCTGCTCGCCATGCACAAGTCCGTAACCATGCTTCTTCAGTATGCCCTTTTCTGTGTGGCGTCCAATCGAATCAAATGAGTTGTCAAGCGGTTCCAATGTACATGCAAAAGAACATACAAATGTGGTAGAGTCAGACAGCAGAGAGTGCAGAGAACTCGTCGTATACAGGGTAGTAGATAGGTAGTAGAAGTAGTCATAGTATGACGAGTAGTAGTTGTAATGTAGCTGTAGTAGTACTAATAGTCGTAGTATTATTATCGGTAGTAGCAGTAGTAGTTCTAGTAGTAGTAGAAAAGGTATGAGTAGTATAACTAGCAGTAGAAGTAGTAGTTACTGTATGAGTGGGAGAAGTCGGAGTAGTAGTTACAGTAGCAATGGTAATAGAATAAGTAGTAGGAGTAGAGGTAAAGGTAGTGGTATAAGTTGAAGTAGTAGTATGAGAAAAAAGCAAGCAGTAGCTGTAGTAGCAATAATAAAGGCAGTAAGTAAGGCGTATTGTTATTAGTAGTAGTTTAATAGGTATAGACATAGTAGTACCAGTATGAGTAGAATTGTGTTTTTGTATAAAAAGTAGTGGAGGTAGAAGTAGTAGTATTGGTACAAGTAGTAGTAGTAGTAGTAGCAGTAGTAGTAGTAGTAGAAGAAGTACTAGTAGTGGTAACAGTAGTATAAGTAGTAGTAGTGGTAACAGTAGTAGTCGTAGTAGTATTAGTAGTAGTACAAGTAGTAGTAGTGGTAGCAGTAGTAGTCGTAGTAGTATTAGTAGTAGCTTAAGAAGGTTTAGTAGTATTAGTAGAAGTAATAATAGTAGTAGGAGTAGAAGTGGAAGATTCAGAGAGAGTAGAGAGTGCCGCAAGAAAAATTACTCATTTACAAAAATGTGTTTAGATTATAACTTAAATCAACAATTTTCACTTCCTTAACCCTGCTTATTGTTAGCTAATTAATAATACTTTCAAATTATTGGAACATAGTCTTATATTTTAACACATTTAAGACTGCTGCAGTTACTTTAAATATATAATCTACGTGATGTACAGCATTACAAGTATATATTATATAACAAATATATCAGTTTCCATTCATTTTTCATCCTTGGATTATAAAATCTACTTGTAAAATCTCTGAAACATGTCAAGTATTTTATTTCAAATAAAGAATGCAATAGTTTTCCAACCATTGCCCATCCTTATAATTGAAATTTTTCAAGACCCAGCTCTTGATTAATTACTTTGCATTTGTTTTTATAGGTTGAAACTACACTTTCGATAATCGAATCGACGTAACTCTTGTTGTCTTCTAGTCTGCAAAAACCAGTCGAAGTTTTAAAGGGAGAAGCTTACTAAGATATGCTAAAAAGTGCTGGTAAGCTGCTATTTATAAACGCGAATTTTTAACTTATACGAATAAAGAGGAGGCACGAGTAAAACTTTGTTATAAAAGTAATTCTTCGCTGGAAATTCTGGGAAGTTTTTAACGTTATAGCTAAGTCAAACAAGCTTTTAAAAAAAAAAAATCACAATTTGCTAAGGTTTTCAAATGCAGCAAAAATTATTGAATAAACTTTGTGTATGATATTGAACGAATAAAAGTCTTATGAAGAAGACAAACAGATATGTGTTTTGTATGTGTACGGTGTATAACTAGCTTTACAGTAATTATGATTTACAGTAACTGACTGTAACCTTAAGTTTAGGCTCCCGAGTGGAACGAATAGCAATCGTTTTTTAATATATAGGGTAACTATCTTAAAACTACAAATCAATTTAAGAACGTACGTTTAATAAGGTATTGCAATATAGCAATATAAATAGTATTAACAGGAAACAGCAAAGGCACTGAATTAATGTAAGTATATGTATTTATATAGTATATATACTAATTAATAACGTCAATTACTTGGTATACCTATGCATAGCAATATGATACGTATACGATATTTGGTTTGAGAACTGTGTAAGTGCTTGTCATAAAGTATGAAATTAGTATTGAATATGATGAACTCTAAAGCATGAGTATGTATATGGAATGTTAATGTTGTTGTTGTTGTATTAACCTGCATGTGATTGATCATCCTCACCACCCGTCGTATAGCGACGTCCATGTAAATTCTTATCCCTGCATGAAATGGAAGACAAACGAAAAGCAAATACGATAGAAAAATGCACAAAAATACATAAACGTAACGAGCCGTATTTAAAAGGGGCTCTGGTGTGTGTGTGTGTGTGTGTATTGGATTTGAGAGATGGAAATTCTCACCTGAATCCGGCTTGATTGGCATACACCAATTTACTGGAGCCATCTAAGGACACCTCTTCGACGGAATGATGGTTGTTGGGCGCCGTTGCCGCACCGCCGTAGCCCTTGGGGATGGGTTTTTTTGAGAAGGGCGGATCGTACTTAAGGGTGGTTGTCTTGCGTCTATGTTGATGTTGGTATCGACGTCAGAGTTGTTTGGTTGTTGTTGTTATTGTTGTTTATTTTATATGATTTATATATGTATATATATATATATATATATATACATATATACATATATATATATATATATACAATATATATATAGATACATATATTCAATTCATGGGTTTTTGTATACACACAGGGCATATACATACATATATAGGCATATATAAATATACATATATATATATATGTACATATGTATAATTGTTTAAAGCGTTGAATGGTGCGTATGATTTTTGGATTTATAATTCATTATGAAATTATTTGTATTGGATTATATACAAAATCAGTTCGAAACGTATTTGGCATGGTCGATGGATTTGGTCGTAGGTTGGTTGATTGATTGGTAAGTTGGTTGATTGGTTGGTTGGTTGATTGTTTGGTTGGTTGGTTGGTTGGTTGGTTGATTGAGATACGATAATATACATACATATCAAATATGTTTGTATACACGAGGTGTATGAAGCGTAGGAATGCCAACATACACACACCCACACAGACACACAACACACAGAGACACAAAGACACACATGCAAAGGGTCAAACAAACACAAGCACACTCACAAGCACACACACAGGCACACACACAGGCACACACACAAACAGAGACAAACAAACATACACGCATACGTACGCGCCGTATTTTAGGATGTGGGTGTGTGTACACATGGCACGGTGTTTACACACATACATTTTGTTTGTTTGATTTGAATTTAGATTTTGTATTTTTGATTTTCGATTAAATTTTTGGTTGATTTTGTTTTTGTTGTTGGTTTCGGATTTTGTTGTTGTTGATGTTGTTGTTGTTGTTGTTATTGTTATTGATATTGTTATTGTTGTAGTTGTAGTTGTTGTTGTTGTTATTGTTGTTGTTGTTGTTGGGAAACGAAAGGTTATGATGAGATACTTGATTAATAATATGCTCGCAATAGAATTGTATTTCATTTTTTTTTTGTTTTGTTTTGTTTTGTTTTGTTTGTTGTGAAAAAAAAAAATAAAGTGCCACATAAAGAATTTTGTTATGCAACGATAAATGCAAATGAAAATACATACATACATACCCATAAACATAACTGTACATATGAACAATATGCGTACAATATTTATATTTATATTTATGCTTATTTCTCTTTAAGGCTATTTACATTTTATAGCACTCCAAATATGTATGTAGATATGTATGTACTTGCAACACGACTTCAATACATTGAATGTGCCTGAAGAAAGGCTAAAAATAATAAAAAATTAAAACGAAACAAAAGCATAAAGTATGTACATATGTAAATGCATTAACAATGATGACATTCTTGAATGAACATGATATGAAACCAGAACTTTGCAGAGAACAAAGAAATTGTTTGAAAACTTTTGGATTAACGCATTATCAATGAAATTCTTCTCAAAAACACGTCAACGACATAACACGAAACACAAATTCATAATAGTTCTTATGCTTTCCACATTTATTAAAAGAATGTTTATATTTATGTATGCAAGTATGTTGAACAGTCGTAATATGTAGGCGCGGACAGGGGGCAGTTGCTTTGTTTGGTTAGACAATTCGTTGACCTGACGCATACATACATACATACGCAGACATACCTACATACATACATAAAATCATGCATGCCAGCATTCACACATACGTACATCAAACACACAGACAGTTGGAAACATACATATATTATTGAATAAATCACACGCTTAATACTCGTTAACAGGCTTGTAAATAGTTTTCTATTTTCAATCAGCCCGAGTTAGATGAAGAGGAACACACACAGAGAAACAGAGAGAGAATAGAAAGTGAATGAGAGGGAAGGAAAGCCAAAGATGGACAAACATAGATAAACAGAGAAAAAAAGAGCGACAAGCATGGATGAGACACAAGTACTTACAAGAGGGTAAAGAACGTAATGATAGCTGAAGGTCGAATGGGATCGGGAAGACATGTATATAAGTGAATTTATTTACATGTGTATGTGTAGGTATATTCGTACATACGTATGAGGGCCATCAAGTATGTATATATGCATACAAATAAGAATAACATCCAATATAACTTTGAAATATTAAGTTTAAAAGAGCCGCCTGCTGATTATTATAATGTTTTTCACTCAAGATCGCATAAAATCAGTAACTTTTGGTCAATATATTTCAAATTCAACTGTGTATTTTATTTTTTCGATATCAAACTTGAAATGGCGTAGAATTTGCTTTGAATAAAAAATTCCATAGCATACTTTCAGGATGAAAACATGTCAGGCTTTGAAACAGATATAAATTATATTTGGGCGAAAGGCTTTTTATATATTTAAGCATACACATATGCAAAAATTGAATATGGAATAATATTCGATATTTAATAACTTATTTCGAATGCATATAGACATACAAAGACGGCCTGCTACGCGTTTAGCTTGCGATGTGTATGAGAAGCGATTAAAGACCGTAATATTTGGCATGGTCCTTATATGTGTATGAAAGCTTAGTTTAAGCACCAGGATTGAAAATTGGGGATTGGGATAATGGATAATGGGGCTGTAGCATGTATTGTGGTTACCTATGGCATATGTGTCTATGTAGATAAACACATATGCATGAGGTATGCGTGTTTATTGTGTGTGTTGTTAATATCGAAAATCGATGCTGATACGATAGTACACAAAGAAAACACGTAAACTTACACATACAATGTATTGAAAATATGTATGCAAGTATTTTGATGCTTTCTGTGTGTATATTGTATTCATTTCGTACATTTGCAATAAGCTCATGATGACGGCTCATCGGAAACATCGCTGGCTCTCTCTGCAGAAAGCACCACCATAACTCAAAGTCAGTTTCGTCTATGTTGGGCCCTATGCGCAAAAAGAGATCTCCAATTGCCATTGGAGGCATAGCAAATGCGTTTGGCAAATGCTTTCCCCCAACCTACATACAATATCGTCTGAAGAGTATGCATTTTAATGCATAATTCTTCTTATTATATTTGGCTTTGGGCTGCAAGTAAGCGGGGGGCCTTGTTACTTGGTTGTGTGTGGGTTTTTCTTTTTATATTATTATATTATATATGGGTGTATGGTATTTGTGAGACTGTATCTAAGTATCATTATAATGATGTGGCAGTCCTAATATGTAAGTACTTTGGCATATGCATTAGTTATATAGTATTTCGATCAGGTTGGGTTATTTATATTATTATTATAATTGTTTTTTTTTTTTTTTTTGTTTTTTTAATATTTCGGGATTACTAAACTGAACAAAAGTAGTAATGAAAATAGTCAACAAGATCGGCGATCAGCGACGCTCTGACCACAATTTCCATTTCTTGGCGTGGTCTTGTTCAAATCTTATGATTTATCACTCATTAACAATAATCAAAAATAGTTGATGCTAATATATATTGAACTAAAAGGCTATGTATTGAAAATAAGTTGGGAAATAAAATATAAATATGCATATGTTATTATCATGTACTTATGTGTACTACGATTGATCCCATTGTATTTATTTGATAATAATATTAATTAGTCGTTTTGCTTAAATTGGAGGATATTTGTATGTACTATGTACATACATAGGTAAATTCATGCAAATCTCTTTGAAATTTGAAATTTTATCAGATCGATATATGTGGTTGTGCCGCTTTACTTTAATATATAGTTCAAGGTTATTGTGCGGGGGCTCGCTATAAACTAATCGGCGAGAAAAGCACAATACTTTATTGTCAAACATTTTTTAAATATATATATTATGCATATATATATTGTAGAATTTCCAATATTTGCTTATATTTCGGTGTGTCAAGTTGCAAGCCTTTTATATCATTTCATTGATGGTTTTCTCCCAGACTTTTTGTTTCTATTTACTTCTTGTTCTCATACTGATATTTAATTGCTTTGTTATTGTTTTTTCTACTTATAAGAAAAATATATATCTAGCAAAGCTGCTCTAAAGTTTTTCTTTTCATTAATTGTCTATTTTTTTCTTTAAATTAAGGTCAAATGCTTGTCAGTCCTGCCTCGTTATATATAATGTATTCAATGAAAGCTGCATTTATCTACTTTCAGTGGACGTTTGACAGTCTTTTAGTTTCTAATTAAGTTTCTGTCTAACTATAATTATAGATTTTAATAGCTATTGATTTACTACTCAGCATGTGTTGAATTCAGCTGCTTAAATACACTTTATCTCTTTGAAGTTGTTGTTGTTTTCTATTCATTGTGTTTCAGCTTGGGTTTCTTGATGTACTAATTGGTAGGTTTGAAGCTGACAAAAAATTTCTAATTCAAGCTGCAAGGCCATATAAATAAGAATTTTATTACTAAGTGTTATCGTGTGTTTGGTTTTGCTTTATTTGACAAAAGGAAGAAATATAATACAACAAAAAAGGGCTTTTAAATAAAACAAAATAATAATTATTGTCGGACTAGTATGGGGTGGTTGGGCTTAGAGCCATCAGGAACGAACCATGAGTTTATATATGCAACCTTTGATTATAATGAGAACTGTGCATGTCCGTGTATATGTACTTGCATGTACGTATGTATGTCTCATTCAATTCATGTACATTCATCCGTACACACATATGTAATTAGATCTGCTTTAACAATAAGTATATATGAATATATGCGCTACACAGTTGTAAGTACATATGTAGCTATGTACAAACTCACATTATTTTAGAATAGGCATACAATCATATGTACATACAAGTTTGTCTGTTAATAAAACAAAATATATGTAGAATGTGGTTGTCTATGGTTTTCACGCTGGATAAGTATGTACAAAGGAATTTACATGTGTTTGGAACTGATAAAGTAAGTGAGGAATGGAAGCCAACAAGCGAGAAACCAGAATATATAGTATGTACATATAAATAAATGCATTTAATTAATCTGAACTATGTACATATGCATATATGGACGTTTTGATACCATTGCTATGACTATATATACAAATTTATGCATATATATGTACATATATATGTATATATCAGTATATATATGCAAATATATCTGCACATATATAGACACACAGTAATATGTACAATGTGTGCATGTGAATGCAATGGCAAGTATTCGGTTTTTAAATGGTTTCAAAAACGAACTGAATACACAAAAAATGACAACGTTTACATTGATGTACATATGCATGTACGTGCATGCATACATATGTATGCAGAAGATGCATGCATATATACACACATGTACGCATGTATTTATGTACTAAATACTACGACTCATAATGAAGACAACATTTGGAAAGATTAAAAATGATTTAAATCGGAAACAAAAACATATCAACAAAATATTGAGTTTTTTTCGATTTTTGTTAGTGTTCTTTTGTACTTTTTGCATTGCTTTTGCAGTTGTTGTTTTTTGTTTTTTTTTTTTTTTTTGTTGTAGTAATTTGTATTTTGTATTTAGAGCTGGCTTTTTCATTACTTCTTTTCAACTAACCTCAGACACAGGGAGAAGTTTCTATGTACTACAACTGACCTGTAGCACAATGCCATCAAGGTGAATGTTATAAAAACGAACCCTACAACTGACATTAGAACACCGACTAGGAACACTGTATTTGAGCCGTGGTAGTTCTCTATACGAGATTATATTTTGCCATTTGTTTCGATATAAATGTGAGTGCGTTAGTGTGTGTGTGTGTGTGTATGTATGTGTGTGGATGTGAATAATAATCATTTTGTGCGAGTGTGTGTGAGTGTTTGCGGATTTAGATTTGATGCGTTTGTTAAACATATGCATACAAATACACACATATATATATATAAATACATATAGATATGCATAATATATGTATATATAAACAATATTATGCATACGCCCCGGTGTATTGACAATTTTCGTTTTCAATATATTTTAAAATAGTTTATAGTTGGATTTGCATACGTTACGTTATAATATGCCAGGTGTTTTTTTGTTGTTGTTGATAGTTTTTTTGTTTTTATTTTATTTACACATATGTATATATTTTGTTTTTTTTTTTTTATTGAAGTTGTTGGTTTCGCCGATATCAGTTTAGCAGGTGGGTGGTGGGTCAGCCGAAAAAAAACAAGCAAATAAATAACATTTTGTACGTTTTCTTCATTTTCTTTTTGTATTGTTTTTCTTTTTTGTTATTTTTGGAGGTTTCACAAAAATATTAGAGCTCAGCACACAAGAAAAGGCAATTCGGCATTTATGTGCATGAAAATTGACAAGCATACATATACACATATATATATATATTATATTTATAGATATATATATGTGTACATGCATGGGTATTAAGTGCCGTTGTTGGGCTGCCAACAAAAAGTTTCTTTCGCCCACAAAACGCATCGAATGAAGCCGAAATCGAACGATTCTCACATTTGCGCCTCGAGTTTACACTTTCAGTTACAGTTGAACTGCAATTTTTAATTTCTTTCAGTGTTTTTTTTTTTTTATTGTAATTTTGTTTTTTTTTTTGACTTTTGTTTTTTTTATACTTTTCGGCAGCACCCAGGCTATGACAATGGTAATCAAAGCTATGCAAAAATTCTATAAAAAAGACCACGCCGCCGAGCTACGCCCTAGCAAATATGTATATGTATGTTACATATATGTTATTCAAGCAAAAACATTTTAATATATATACATAGATACAAAGGACCTTAAACAATCGAACTCAGAGATATATACTGATAAAAATATGCTAATATATATGCATATGTATAATTTGTACACCAACGTATCTGTGTCGCATTTACGATTGTTGAAGATCGTTTGTTAATGGATATTGCGCATACATTTACTTCGGGAAGTGTTTAAAACGTTCATTAAATTCTATGTATGTATGTATTAAGGCTTAACTATGGATTTCAAATATATCGAAAGCGTGGTGTCGGTTTCTTAAAAAGATCTTAAGTATTCATTTGTGCATGAATCGTGTTCCCGGAAGTGCACGGCGTATGTGTGTATGTATGTCTCTGTGTGTGTTTGTGTGCGTGTGTGTCTGTAAATTTAAGGAGGAGGAAGTAGGTTTAGTGGGTGCAATTCGGGCGTTTCTGTCTATTTTGTCTATTTTGTAGTGTGCATGATTGTGATCATAAATATTACATATATGTAAGTATGAATGCATGTGTATATGTGAATGCAGACGAGTGTGTTTTGTAAGTCCAACATATGAATACATATACAGTTTAAAGGTACACACATACATACACGGCATTTGATATACGAACAACAATGAAAACAAACACATTACTCAATAGCATTAACCAGCGCGCAGATATATAAGTACATCAAGTGTTTAACAACATATATACATACAGACATATACATACATACGCATACGTATGTACGCAGCTATATGCATACATACAAACAAACCGTAAGTCATTATGTATATGGTACAAAAGAAATATAAAATGAACGAACACACACAATGAAAACAAAATACAACAAACAATCCATAAAACGGACAAAAAACGAGAAAATAATTCGATAGTTTTTCATATATATATATGTATGTACGAGTATATACCATACATAGGTACAAAAATACATATGTACACATATACAGATACATAGATTCTCAGTCTTGAAAGTATAAATGAAAATTACACATAATTAAGTACAAATGAAACCTGATACATAATGGCAGTGGCAGCTATGTATGCACATACATACAAACATATATGTTTGCGAAATACTTTAAGCAAACGAGCACATGCATACAATCACACACACACATACATGCATACGCACACATATGTACGTGTTCGGGATAGTGTGGCATATTTGAAAGCTATTGGTCCGACATTTAAGCATATCCTATCTTTAAAGAAATTGTTAGCTTTCAAATTATAAAGCGTACTCAAATGAGCGAAAATGAGGCAGAGAGAGAAAGAGAGGGAGTAAGAAAACGCGATAGAAAGCAGTAGCAAGGAAAAGAGACAGAAAACGAAAGAGAAAGAGAAACTGCTAAGCCTGACCTTAAGCTTTAAGCATGCAGCATACAAATAAGTTTAACCCCCGCGGGGTATTTTTCAGGTCTATAAGTAGTCATTCCTGATGTTGGCTCAACAGCTTTATTTTCTTGCGCCTTTTTTTCTTGCTCTTCTTGCTACTTTATGTTTGCATTCTATGCGTATGCGTGTACGCGTATACATATGTATGCATGTGCATGTGTGAGTGCATGTGTGTTTGTGATCGGTGTAACCGATTGTTGAGTTGCTTGGTACTCTACCTGTAGCAAACGGCCAGTGTTGCAAAACTAATGAAGACACATTTGACGATAACTGTTAAAATGATGACCATGGTTAATGTGCTGATCCTATTTTGGTCAGAGGTGCCTGGAAATGGTGGTTGCATTTATTGTATTTTTTTTTTCGCTGATTTTAAATCTTTTTTTTCCAAATTATATAAATTTGTATATATATGCTGCAATTGTTCTGAAATCTGAATACTAAAGTTATCTTTATTTGCGTATCTAACATCTAAGCTTATTGATTCCTATTGACCCAACTGTTAATTTAAATTAATAATAAAAAATGCTTAAAAATCTGGGATATTTAGTCAAATTTGAGCGAACTAACCGGACAGAGACAAACAGAACAGAAAATAAGCCGATTTCATAGAATCAAGGCTTAAGACAATAGAAAACCCGTTTCCATTAATTTTCTATAAATGATTTCTGGATTCATACCAAATTTTTTTTTATCTAATGACATTTGTATACCTCTAAGCAAAAGAACCCAAAACTTATCCATATTATATCAGTCTTAGCTAAAAAAAAGAAAACCAGGAAGTAAAATATGTTTGAGATCATAAAAGTTTTTGCTTTTAAGTCGTGCCCCTTATCCCAATATCGTCGAGCTGCAGTGGAAATTATATTTGTTTTAGATATGTCAAATCATGTTAATATAGAAACAAGAGAAAAACATAGACAAAATGTATATTTGTATCAGAACCCCAGAACATTTGCTAGTTTTCAATTTGTCAAAGATTTTAATTTTGGAGGAACTGGAATGTATGATCTGATACTGAGACTGGAGTTGGATTGAACAAACCGATATTTGAATCGTTGATGAATTGAGTTTGTGATTTGATGTTGTTGGTCCAGCTATATCATTATCAATATGAATATCTTTAGAGCTGTAAAGCTATGTAGGGTAATGCTGTACCTATACGGCTGGACCTTAAAACATTAAGTGGATTCGATTTTTGGCCCTTACGCTATTTACCTAACAAAACTAGCAATCGATGTAATTACCATTGTCATACGAGTTATCGAAACAAATTGTGTATATCGATGGTATCGAATTGCAATCAAATCAATTATCAATCATATCGAGAGACCTTGTGAGTTCGCTATTTGGGTTCAGTTGTGGCAAGCGTTAGTACCGTTAGTACCGGTGCATAACTGATGCCCCTCCATAATGCCGGTTCGGCTAGGTAAGTTATGTTAAAATAATGTTAGTTCTGATCTAATTAGATTTGTGGTTAAATTCGGTTAGCATGTATTCCAATACATATGTTGATGCCAGGTACGAGGCTTCGCTGACCTCGGCCCACACCCACTATTTCTTACCATATGGAGTTTCTTTCTTCTCCATTTTGATTGTATTCTCCGGCGTTGGCAATGCTTCGGTTGGCAGTGGTGTTGTCAAAAGGACGACCGTACTGCAGTCTGTGCCGCCCCAGCCCATATCGCAGAAGCAACGATTTGCGTTGGTGCAGAACTGTGGAATGGCATAACCAATGGGGTGGAAAAAAATATGTACGTATAAAAATATATAAGTGGATATTCAGGCGGTTGGTTGGATAGATGCTGTTGTTATTGTCTTTGTTGTTATTGTGTTTGTATTTTGTTAGTTTTTGTTGTCTGTGTGTTCCACTTTTTGAACTTACACCACGCTCAGAGCACTCTTGACCCTGCTTATTTGTTGGGCACTTGGTTTGATCCACATGCGGAAAGAGACTAACACACGTTTGGTTAAGACAAATCAAATTATCGCCGCATGGTGTGCCATCCTTGACCAAACCGTGATTTGGATAGCTGTTGGAGCCCACTTGACCGCTGGTTGCCCTGCAAATGTATACAAGTGTATTACAGTCATGTGCCCGGCTCAAAAAAAATAAAAAAGCAACCTTCCCCAGCCCAACCCCAACCCCAGTCCCAATGCAAAGCCCCCCATCACCAAAACCGAGCTACGCACTTGCATTCGTATTCCTGCGCCTTGATGGAGATAATTGTGCGCGAGTACAGCTGGTCGATTCCATCATTCACTGGCTGTCGCTCGCCCTCCTTGCACTGCAGCGTGCCGCACTGTACGTTCCTGTTGCCGGAGAATTAGGGGAATAAATATTGTTTGTAAGTTAATTGATAATCACTCATGACTGGTTCAAGTACTTGATTTGAAATATCAAAAGTATTCGCAGTATTCACTGTTGAAAGCACCAAATACGCAAATCATATGAAATGTTAGTCATGCAATATGCATTAGTACAAAGCGTTTTTTTTTTTTTGTTTGGTTTTGGGTTTTTGTAATCTAAGAAAGCAATACGCATAATATTCAAGGGCACCTACTCTGGCTCGCATTTAATGTAATGATCGTTGGCATCGCGACCGCAGTGGCCGTTAATGGAACCCTTCGAGTTAAACTGTTCATAGCACTGACGATCGGCCGCAAAGCCGCCGTAGCCCCAAATGGCCTCGCATTGCAAATTCAGGGTGGGGCAATATCCCTGGAAGCAATAGCCTGAAGAGAAATATGTCATAATTTCAATACCAAGCCAGACTGGAATATGATGTGTCGCTCCATTACCCGAAACACCTGACTTGCTAAGGCCGCAGGGGGAGCCATTCTTCTTGTAGATATCAACGGGACATTGGCCCACCTCGCCGTCACAATACTCGGGCAAATCGCATTCGTTATGCGAGTCGCGGCATATGTAGTCCTTGGGTCGCAGCTGGCATAAACACAATTGTGTTCAAGTCAAAAGCAATCACATTTTCCACTTTTCACTTTTCACTTACCCGACATTGGTCACAGCAGGCACCACTGGCGCACTGTGCTTCGGATTTCAGCTTACATGTGATGCTATCGCAACAGGGATCCAATGCACATTCCTCGAACGTGCCGCAGTCGCACTCCTCGTCCTCCTCGATGATTTTATTTCCACAGTTGCGCCGCAACTCAATCTGCAAATGATGGGAATATATATATTTTGATTTCTGTGCTGGATATTAATAGGTTCGTAAATGGTCGTAAGCAATTCCTAGCAATATAATAACTTTTGCCTTATATTAGTTTATATATTTTATTAAAAATAATATATAATATTTTTAATCAAAAGTAGCTAAATATCTCTCAATTTAATATATACATTTCGTTCAAAGAAAAGAAAACGTTTTGATTAAAAATAAAAATAATAATTTTTTCTGCATATTTAAATTGACAATGAACTTAATTATTCTTACGCTTAGTTATATCTTTGTTTTGGGATACTTATTAAGGGGTATTTCTTAGTCTCTTGTACAAAGCACTCTAATTGAGTTTATCTGTGCTGATGCAGTTACTACGCAACAGTTAACCTCCCTAGCAACTGACCGCAGAGCCAGCTGAAAACCTATTGGGTACCGATAGTGTGGCAAGAGGGGGGGACGCGACGTATCTCACCTCGTTGGGCTTGTTGAGTAAACAAAGCCCGTGACCCGTTCGCAATGCGTCAATGTAATCCTTTTTGCTGCATTCTGAGAATTTGTATGGCTGCACATTCTCCTGGCCGACTATTGATTGCGCCATGATGCAACCATGCCAGTCCCGGCAGAAGCATTCCTCACCTGCATAAAATTGCGGAAATTCCATACAATACATTTAACACAAAAGCTTCAATTCCATAAATACTAAGAATTCAAAGTTCTTAGTACATATAAAAAATAATCCTACCTAATGTACACGTTCAATATACACAAGCAATGTCAAATCTTAAAGCAACACAAATCGTATTTCAAAATAAATGTACTACAATAAAATTGAAGTATTAATACTTATTTTTTTAAAATTTTAGGAATTTCAAAAGAATGTTCTACAATTTTTTTTTTTCAAATAAAGAAACAATTATTATAATATCAAGAAAGTTTAAAACAGAATGTGTATTGGTGATTTATTTATTTATTTAGGAAATACAAATGTAATTAAAATTCTCAAAAAATTAATTATTTAAGCAAACTATTTTGGCCAAAATTCGCTAATATTTTGGAGGTTGGCCTGGCAACAGATTTAATTGTACTTACGCCCATCGTCGTGGCCCATGCCAATATTGTGGCCAATCATATGGGCCATTGTGCCCGCCAAAAGGTGCGGCTCATACACATTGACATCGACACTGATGCCAACGGCACGGGGCGTGCAGACAGTCTCGGGCACGGCCATGCCAGCCTCGCCCCCGGCGAACGTTTCCCCGCTGTCAAAACAAGTAAGCACGTGCATATGCACATTATATAGGGTATATGCGTGTGTGTGTGTGTGTGTGTGTGTGTCTGTGTGTGTGAGTGTGTGTGTGCGTGTCTACTTACGATAACAGCTGTGTGGTATCCCTCTCGATTTGATACAGATTCCTTGAAGTGTAGTCATTAAAGTTGGATATGGCCTTGCTAATGTCCTTGCTGCCATCAATGGCCGCCTGGTTCTTGCCCCACGTCTCAATGTACACCACAGACACACGAGTATTCAGCGTGCGGAAATACTGAGCAGGCGGACATAATCAGAATTACAAAATAAGTGCTCATTGCCATTTGTGTGCTCACCAAATCAGCTATATTGGCCACCTGTATGGCATCGTGGATGACTTCGGCGCGTGTGCTACCGTTCCGCTTCTCGAACATGGCCTTATCGACTATGATGGCCGTCTCGATATATTTGGTTGCCTCGCGCACATCCCGCTTATAGCGGCCTGCCCCATTCGGGTGTATCTCATCGACAACGCCCGCCGACAGGTGCTTGGTGCGACGGGATAGACGCCACGAGTCCAAATTGCCAGAGTTGGCGCAACCCTTATTGGCCTTGGTGCGCGCCTCGAAAATCACATGCGGATGTTTCTACAACAATGATGAGCGGGGCATTTGGTAACAGGTTAATTACCTTAGCCTGGGATCACCTAACTTACCGATAGATCACCGCCGTAAAAGGGATGTATGACAAAGGTCTCGTTGCCAATATGTATGACACCGCTAACGCCGTTGCAGGTATGAAAGGCGGCACTAGCGCCTGGATAATCCTTCACTGTGCCATGATAGTAACAGTGCTCAATGTCCTGCAACAAAAACAATTGAGCTATATAACATGGTGGTCCAACGTTGCCAAGATTATGCTTATATGGAGGCAACTAGTAAACGCCGAGCTTGGTCAAAAGTTGTTTGTTTAAGAATTTAATTTTCATACGCTTATTTCCATGGAAACTATATGATACAGTTGTTCGATATATGTGTTGCCTGAAAAGGAAAGTCAGACCTATGCGCCTTTTTCTTCGCAAAACATGTTTATAATTATAATGCCCTCTAAGAAGCAGTTGCTTAGTTCTACTTCAAGGCATTCAACTTTAATAATAAATGTCTCCTCTAACTTAAACAAGTTCCTATTCAACAAGCACTTCACCTTCTGAGCCCCTGAATTTGAGAAGTGCATTCCTGAGTAGCTTCGTGGTCTAATTTTTATGAAATTTTTAGGACCTTAACATTTGATATTCAAAACTCATCAAATACAAGGCGCAAGTCTCTAGACTTGAACCCCCATTTTGGTTGAGTGTATTTAGCTCTTAAGACAATCTCAAAAGAATTGGTCTAATCCTTTTGAAATTCTCAGGATTTAAACATGACAGTCAAAAGAGAATATATACCAAGGCGCTTGGCTCTAGCTTCGAGACATTTCTCTACCACATTTTGGTCGAGTGTATCTAGCTCTTATAATATAACTATGACAAAATCGATAATTATCTTTTTGACGCCACACAGACAGAAAAACGGACATGTCAAAATCGACTCAGCTCGTTTATTTCTCGTCCATTCGCAATGTGAATAGGTATTTATAGACCGGCATGCCCAAGAGTATAGATCTTTATTTTATTTTTTAAAATATTCAAATTCAGGCAAAATACTATTAGTATTTCATTGTTTTATGATTATTAAAGTGCAAGTAATATTGATATTTAGCAAAACAATAAATGCGTATGCGCAAACCCTGGGATCTGTTACATAACATACTCGTATACCTAAATCAACTGCAATGTACAATGCACTCAAAAATAACAGAACAAACCGACCGATCCCGTCTCCCATATTTATTTCGAATGCCTAAGAATTCGCCAAGAGCACAGTGACACATGAGAACGTGAGTCCTGGTGAATTCCTGGGCATTCGAAATAACGGGCGAGCCAGAAGGGGTCCGAATGTCGAGCACTAAACTTGAATTACACAGTAAATAAATTTCGAAATGTTGTAAACCGACAAAAATACTACATAATACAAATTTGGGCGTTGCAAATTGTTGGACCAGGTCCATGGATTACACTTTGCATGTTGGAAAATCTGACTGCTGCGGCAGCTGTATGAAACTGTACTAGAATTTTGGGCTGTTATTTTCGGTTCTGTTGTTGTTGGTGTTGATGTTATTGTAGTTGATGTTGTTGTTGTTGTTGTTGTTGTTGTTGTTGTTTATAATCGCTCGTTGATTTTGAATATGTTGCTGATGTTGTTGTTATTGTTGTTACTGGTGCTGTTGTTGATTTTGTGAACCCCAGTTCCGCACACCTAAATAAATAGACAATCGGCTGCCCTCTCCAGATCCCAATTCTCTTTAGAGAGCACCACGCGCGCCTCATGCTCATCGATGCCCATATCCTTGAGACGCTCAATCTTCAGATCCAAATCGGGAAACGTACGGGATCCACCCGCATACGCGCTAGTCCAATGCTTGGCCGTTAGTAAAAATAGATCGTGCCGCTTTTTGAACTGATAGGCAACCACAAAGTCCTGCCAATCGTCTGGCTCGGCAGCGGTCAGCATACCCTGTAGTGATAACAAAACAGTGCTCAGTGTCATAGCTGCGGCCCAATGATCCTTCAGGATGTCCATGCGTATGGCCCCAGTCACCGATGATATGTTCGGATGCCAGATGCGTGTCATAAAGCGAACTTCTGGTGGACTGAATGGATATTTATCTGGCACCTTGATTTCAAGCACAAATTTACCGCCCTCATAGGGCGTGCCGCGCGGCCCAGTTATCTCGCCGCGTAGCTCTGTCCAGCTATCATTGACGAGCTCCATTTTGATCAGGCACTGGCGGAACTCTTCACCGCTGAGTGCCTCTTTAAACTCGCGCTTGATGCGCGCCTCAGCCATGTTTGTCATGGTTCCTCAAAGATGTTCTTGTTATTGTTTTTGTTGTTCTTGTGTTGTAAATCGCGCTGTATTTATTCTTTACGTTCCAAGATTTTTTTTTGTTGTTTTCCATATATATTATATACGAAACGCTTCAGTTTTTCTATTTTATTAAAAACTGACACTTGTTCGAATACAAATGGCTCGGAATTCGGACTGCTAGATTGATGAGATTTTAACATACTTTCAATTGTGGCTCAACATTTTAATTGAAATTCCTATCGTTGTTTCACAACAATTATACCACTACAGATTGCTGGGATATTTTAAATGTGCATTACTTACATGCCGATTGCCATCCACTTGGTATCCACCGACGTGATAGTGTTTCTGTTGTATGTTGGGTGAAAGTAGTTGACTGTAAAAGGAGGCGGAAGATATAATGCGGAGTAGAAATACTGAATAAGCTACCAAATCTCTTAACTAGTTTAATTTGACCAATAAGTCAGCTTTATTTATTCTACTCACGAGTTCAATTCCAAATCCAAACGGAATTTGTGATTGAATGCCTTGATAAGCAGTGAGGTGCGATGAAAATGTTTCTGAAATTTAAAAGGGCAAAAATAAAGCAATCTTTAATACTGTAACCAAATGCCCGCACACAATATATTCCCAATTGTCCGGCTTTTAGCCAAATTGACCTGGACTTAATTGACTGTATTTGTATTTGATATTATTATAAAACTTTTGTTTGAATGCGCCCGAATTCAGCTACATTAAATATAATTATAAATAAATAATCCCTTTTTTATATCATGTGAAACATGAAACTTGGCAAAACTCTTGCTTTTTATTCTCATTCCAAAATCGATTTCAATCAGAAACGGAATGGATTCGATTACACAATCCGTGCATTTATTTATGGCTTTAAATATTTATTTAAAAATTCGGCATACATACCTTTGTCCTGCCTCTGCTGAATCCGCTGTCATCATGTGGGCGTGGACGTTGTCCCGGCTAAAAAAATAAAATAAAAAACGTCACGCTTTGAATAATCGGCAAAAAGCGGACTCTCTTACGAATCTAAGACTTAGTATCAAAGCACATCAAGGCATTCGATTTTAATAAGAATTTCTGCAGACTATTCATTTTGTGTTTTGAATAAATATTGCAGTGGGCAGTGGAAAAACCATATAATTGTCCTTAAAGTGTTTCAATATAAACTAATATTGATTAAATTTGGATGACTGGCTGTATGTTATGTATTGGTAATGTAGATTATGGACTATATGATATGAGATAAAAACAATGGGACAAACAATATCACGAGTGAATGAAAATAAATGTGAACATACCATTGTGTTTGTTTCGATTTTTCTAGTATTTCTCTTATGCAAATCTTTGCGTACCTTTGGGGGACTAACTTCGCGAGTTGAGATTCCCATCTTTTCGTGATGACGCAGTTGCACCGGATAGATTATTTGATAATAATGTCCACCAATACGACGCACAAGTTCCTGATTTTGTCTATACTCTTTGAGTAAACGTTCCACCTCGCCTGCAACAAAGAGTTATTTAAAAATGCTCGCTAAAGTATTTCTTCAATTATCGATTCGAAGAATAACACTCCCTCATGAACATTAAACCTACACATATAATGGCAAAATAATTGTTATTAGGTAAATATACTCACCAACTGGACTTTCTTCGTTCCAAAATGAATCATCGAGTGTATAATCAGCTTCTGCAAAAGAAAAGTATTTTATTAATATTGAGCTTTTAGTGAATGTGCATTGTGTTTTTAGATGAAATAACAATTGAGGGCTCCAATAAAAGACGTAGCTATGTGTGCATCGCTATGCGTATAAAGCTGTATTTTTACGACCTGAGTTCTCAGCTCGGTGTTCGTCTGGGAGACTCAGGCTCACGTACCAAAAACTCAGAAACTCAGTTGGAATGAACATATAAATTTACCCGCAGTCTGGCAGCCCTAGAAAATGGCAGCTGGGAAGAGCGCCCAGATTATACAGATTAAATAATAAATAATATTTTTTATTTCGTTAAAGCTTCTCCTCTGAGAAGGTAAACCTCAGTCGGGAACTTCAGTAAATGATGAACTATCAGTTTGACATAAAACCCCGCAAAATCCCTGATCTATATTTTAGCGTCATGTTTAAAGCCCCCTTAAAAGAGCTCAAATCAATTATTTAATATATATATATTTCAATCAAATTGGTCTAGATGAGAATTATTCAAAGCCTGCAATTTGAAGCGAATAAAGTAGACATAAAGTTGAAGAATTTGATGGATTAATGTCATATTGGCAAGCCCGTAAAATGTTCTTCTACTCAACAACCTCTTCAAATTTCTAAAATAGCTTCAGCATATAAATACAAGCATATGCTTGCTGAAAACTAGCTGTAAATAGCTTGAATGCCTCAAGACAGTTTTTTGCAATCGGACTGCTTCTCAAATTTTGTCAATAGCCCGTCTATGACAATAATTTCAATTAAAATTGATTTCCAAGAAACGGAAACATGAGAGCTGCCTGTTTCCCAATTTACGGACTATATATTGGGCTGTAATTTCTGTTTTTGTTGTTACCGACCATATATCGTTTCAGAATCCAAACGCTTTGCCAAATTTCGGACACGACGGTAAAGCGTAGGAATTCTAAAACGATACGATGGACATTATTAAAAGTTAAAAGCCTTTAGATAAATTTAACAAAATAATTTGCTTATTGTACTGAAAATTGCAAATTAAATGAAAGCAAAACTAATTTCAAACATTACAAATAACATGCTAAAATGACAAAATAAATGTTTTAATTCAACAGAATATGAAATTATAATTTGATTTAAAATTTGGACCGTTATGGGCCGTTACAAATTAACAATTTGTGGTTCCCCCAGTAAAACTTGCCTAACCACAATTAAACAATAAATGATAAGTTAAATTTCAATTTACGCACAACGTTTGTGCGCCACAAAATGCATTTCGAATTTCGAATTTCGAATTGGCCAAGTATGCGTTTATCATTAATTACGCCTTCTATGAAACCAGCATAAATTGAAACACATGCAAAACAAAGCTCTAATGCAAGCTCTGCCGATGGCTAGTGCATATTAATATCCGGCGCCCAACATGGACAAGTAAAACTAATTATTCGAATTGCCTGAGCAACCGTGGATAGCAAAGGGTTTAATGGGCGTCGACAAAATGAGTTACCCCTATTGTGTGCCTTGCATATATTATTATGTGCATCCATACAAAACTCCCGCCCACTAATAATCGTTTTTAATCCCATAAACACGTATGCACTTAAGTACTTATAAATATTTTCTAACAGGCTAACATATTAACGCTTACGTAAAGACTGCTATTCATAACTTTATATTGTATAATGGCCTAAACATTTTTAGTTAATATTGACGAATACGTTCGCTTGCGTACTTTGAGTTGAAGACAATGTATGTGCTATATATTAGTCAAATGGCAATCATTAGGTATTATTAAAATTAGAAATCTTGCTTAGAAACTAAGGCAACTCAATAAAAGTTGAATTTCAACTACAGACGGATTAAATGCTGTAAACTGATCCCAGGTGTGGGTGCAAAATGTTGCATTTTGAAAAGGGATTTTGGCACTAACTGAGCATCTCATAATTCAGGACAGTTGATGATAACAAGAGACTCCTTAAAATGGGCACAAATAGAAAAATATTTTAAAAATAAATAAATTCTATTAAAACAGAATAAAATCCACAATTAATAAGTAAGAGGTATTTGTGCAGCAAAAAGTAAATCGTCAGATGCACAATTAGCTTAAACTGTAGCTACGTCCACAACCACAAGCCAGCTGCCAGCTCCCTAAGGTAAGAGGTAAGCCAGGACATGACAGTTTTGGTTAAAAAATGACAAGTGAGTGCATTGCGGTCGAGTGTCACAGAGTACGCAGTACACAAATGTAGACTTGTTCAGTTTGCAATCGAGTATAGCACTCTAACTAGAGGAATTAAAGGATATAGGAGTATGCACAGGCATGTTCCCTCTTTTAAAGGTGGGCTTTTAAAAGCATAGAAAAGCCTTGATAAGCCCAAGTATTGGCGGTCCTGCATCCAATGCGTGCTCGTTCATGAATGAGCACAGCCTATTTTGGAGCTTTGAAATATGTAGATGAGTTTTTTTTTACCCTGAACCCATTAAAAACGGGTAAATGGGTAAGAAAAAATGTATAATGTTTTTGTGATTTTATGTAACAGGCAGAAAAAGGGCAACCACGAACCCAAAAAGTATTTATATGTTTGATCAGGACAGAGATTTAGCCATGTCCGTCAGCATCAACGCATCAATCTCAACAAAAGCGAAGGACTTAAAAATTCTAAATATACATTCTCTATTAAAAAGTAGAAGAGCTCGATTCTTATGGTATATGTACATATTCCGATCTTTTGCATACCTCCATAATTTCTTCCCAAATGGGAGGCAGAGCCTTAACTTGAAATATATACACACTTTTGCATGCCTTATTTAAACAGATCTGAGATAAAAGATCGGACTATAAGCACCGACGTTAATGGAGAATACAGTTGCTATACATAGTGTAGAGCAAAGGGATGAAGAGACACAGTAATCAAATACATAAATGTGAGTTTTTCTGTGTGCATTTACAAAGGGAAGCTTGGCCTTGGTTTCGGGATATGTCTTAGTCGTATATCTGCTAGCGCTCTACCGACCGGAGCTCAATTAGTTGTACTTCTATTCTTTTTTTCCAGTTAATTGATGTGGTAAATAGGGAAAGCTGCCTGTTAGGGTCCGCAAAAAAATAAAGCACAGAGGGATACACTATTATTTGCTCATCGATGCGAGCTTAAAGCCCATCGCCGCTGGGAGTTCACATCAGTATTGACTGCTGTCAATGCTGAAATTTAGCTGGCAACGCAAAAAAATGATATATAAAAAATAAAATAAAAAACTTGAGTTATATTTGCACAATGTGTTTATATTGGGGCTTTGCATTGTTGCACGCCAAGTGGTATACAAACCAACCGCCCAGTCACATAGTTGGGCCAAATCCCACAAAATGAGCATCAATCAAAAGTAAATCACGCCGGCGACTTGATGAAAGCGTGACATGTGTTGTTAAAAAAAAATGAAAAATCCCAAGGGTTGAGCTCTTTGGGGAGCACAAAAAAAGTTACTTAAACTTCAATAAAGCCAAATTTAAACTTTTTGCGGCATCCTATTTCTATTTCTCGTTAAAAACCAACCAACCAAAGAATGTAAACTGTGTAAAACAAAAACCCCAAGAATTCCTTAGGCTATATATTTACACAGTCTGAGTTTCTCGCTGAGTTTTCGCCTGAGTTGTGCTCAGGCCGTGTAAACACAAGGCTGAGCAGTTTATACGAAATATAACCTTTTCTATTCATTTGTCATTGTCTACACCTAACAAATTGCAATGTGCTGGTGCTGCCACTTACTGCATTTGGTGTTTAATTTTTCGATTGTTTGTAGCTATTGACAATCGATAACAACAAAAATGCTGGCCTTTCTGTCTTTATTACATGGCAGCTTCTTGAGAGTTTTTTCTGGCAAAGAAAGATTTAAATGGATGCGTGCTATCCTAAGTTATATTTAAAATGAATTTTATTCTTATCGAAATAAGTTCCAAGACTTGGAATATACATTTTCAAAGTATTTTACTCCTGTGAGACAAAGCTTGAAGACGAAAAATAAACTTTCGTTGTATAGTCTTTGAGCTGAATTTACCATATAGGTGGGGTGAAATCAAATTGATTTTCACAAGGATCTTTTGCAAAGATCAATGTCACTAAAACACAGAAGAGCGATGGAGTTTGTAATGTATGTGATTCACGCCTATAATAAATTTCCATATAGACCTTCGAAAATGAAAAATTGTTTCATACAACCGTTTTACATTTTTTTTTTTTTACTTGCAGGTGAAATCTCCCAAAAGCCTCGTGCAGCTGTAAAACTAAAAAACGTATTGATCAATGGCCTGCAAGTCAGTCATACACTCTGTCATTCAGTCAGCCAATCAGTCAGGCAAACAGTTTCACATAAAGACGATTGATATACATGTTTCTTGAAAAAATGTTGCTACTTATGCATGCTGTAAGTCCTTCAAGAAGTCCTTCAAAAAGTACTGTAAGACGTGCAGGATAAAAATATAAATAGGTTTATTCAATGCAGACGATTGCACATTTCTGGCGTCAAGGTTGAGTAGTTCTCAAGGACGTTTCCGTCAAACAGCATTGCTTAAAATATATTCAAATGATGAAAAGGGAAAGAAATCGAATGTCAGTTGCCAGCAGATGTAGTAGTGTAGCATTTGTATTAGCATGGACTGTAAGAGCTCACCCATTAGCTTAAGGGTCATCGAAACATAAGTACAGCCTGTTAACGCTAGTTGCTACTTCATCTCCATTTTTCAAAAAAAAAATATTTTATTTACCAACAATATCAGCTTATTAATGGCTTGAAATATTGCTATGGATTAAGTAAAAAAGTCCTATCGACCAAAAGAGCGTATTAAAAGTGACTTTATTGAATTAATAAAATGATAGCAAATGGTAAAAAAAAAATATTCAGTAAATGGAATAATTTACCAAAATAAAAAATTAAACTCGTAATTAACGATTTGTCATAATTTACCTTAAATTATAGTATTGAAACTAACTAATCTTTGGATAAAGATGAAAATGCATTTGCATTGAATTGCATCGAGAACTTGCTTTTTATTGCAGTCATTAAAGTTTTGAGTATGGTTTTTCATTAATCATAAAATATCTTTTGGCTATCTGGGACTAGCCGGAACATGAGTTTCCGGTCCTAATACATGCACACATATTCATATGCATTTCTATATGGAGATATTTGAACTTATGGTACGGATTGTTGCATAAAGCCGATTCTGGGTGTCAGATCAAATATACTGCAATAATATGATATATATTCTCTAACGATAGGAAATTATATATAATCGCTGAACAATAATTAGTTCTTGTTTCTATATCATAAGTTCTTAAGAAAGAGCTATATATATCTGAAAACATTTGAGCATGTGGACTTAACAAAGTTCCATTAGAATTTTGCTTGGCACATAGTCATTAATAGTCAAAACTCGTAATGGTACATAAAAACTTAATCTAAGACAGCTACATATTGCAATAGGACTCGTAATGCCTATAATTTAGGAACACTTTTTGAAATAGTGTGACTATTGCAAAAATCCGACACAAGTATTCAATGATGCTCGAACTTTATCGAACAACCAAAAGACATATTTAAAAACCATAGCACATCTTCTAGGCAATGTAATCCACTCGCCCGATTTTACAGAGTTTTAGTTTCAGATATTCAAACGCTGAGTGCAACAATTTAAAGCAAGATTGACAGGAAGTGCAGTCCTCGACAGATGCGTTTCTTAAGTGAGGTAAGGACTAGCCAAACAAGAGAACTAAACTAAACTAAAGGATATATTGATACATCAGGAGCATAGCCGAAGGTCAGAGTAGCCTGTGCTCTTCAAGATGTTAAGATAACGGTCTGGAGCTCTACGGAGCTCAATCATAAAGTATGAATCAGATATAAAATTTGGACTTTATCAGAAGACAATATTTTTCGCCGAAAACTTTCATGTCCTTAAACAAAACGTGTCCCAACTACTTGCGCAGGCTTATATAACATAACGAGTCTGACGTATCGACTAGCTACAATGCAATCGTTTGCAAACATTTGCGAATATTAAATAAAACAAAAAACCCCATTAGGCTGTGGTCACACGCCAAAAAAAGAGAAAACTGCGCTTTGATGCCAGAGTTAATAAGCAAATTTACATGTAAATGCTGCACGGTTTTATTTTGCACACAAAAACAAAATTAAATGCAAATTTGATGAATAGAAAAAAATGCAAAATTGATAATGCATAATATTTATAATTACAAATATCTACAAGCCAATTTGTGTGCCAATTGAAGTGAATCAAATAAAAACAATACAAAATAAATGATGAAAAATGAGAACAAAATTGACGATTTTAATTTGTGAATAATTTGAATATCTAATTTGCAAACGACTGCTGTAAATGTCAAACACATTTATGCAAATGCAGCGCACGGCCAACATTTGTTCAATAGGCATAATTCTGTATCTTTAAAGAAAAAACCATTTAACCATGAATTCATGAGTTGAAATAAGCCTCGTTGAAAGCATTTCAATATGTGGAGCCCTAATCGTGTATATGGGGAAATTACTTATATATACATAATGTACTTACCACCAGCGGAGTGGACCAAGGCACAAAGCTGGGCTATGATGACGACCAAAGAAGCGAGTGTTATCCACATGACGGCGGTTGCACTGACGTCTTCTCGTTGGCCTTGGTGCTCTCCCGACCAAAGGTGACTTGCTTCAAACGGCTGCTGGCTGATAGGCTTTTTAGTTGATACAGCCGCAATCTCTCACTCACATACGATTGTCGCAATTGCTTTCAAGCTCTGAGGAAATTGGCTTCTAATTGTTTGGCTTTAATTCTTTCTAATATGTTGCTTGTGGTTTAGCTTGATCTTCCACAGCAGTTGGTGGCAGAAGCTAAGGCTGGGACTGTTGCAGTGACTGTTGCAGCTGCTGTGGCTAAGGTTGTGGCTGTGGCCTTGGCTGTGGCTGAGGCAGAGGTTGTGTTGTATGGCAGTGGCGGGCAGGCGTGACTGGGTGTTGCTCGGCTGACGTCAGTGTGCAGGTCAAGTCGATATTGCGGCATCATTTCGCGCTGCACAATGCCCTTGCTGACCAGCTTCCTTACGACTATTTTGCCGCCCCTTTTCACACACTTAGGTCTAGCACTTTTTTAATAATCACTTATTACTTGTACGAGTTTCAAAAAAATAAACAAAAAATCACTGTTTTTCAACTCTCGTTTCACAATCACAATAAAAAAATAATTGCTGTTCGCTTCACCAGAAACTTGTCACAAACGCCCGCCGTTCAGGGGCGTATACCGATTGCAATTGTCTATCATACGAAGCCGATCTGCAAAGACATATAGAATACATATACAAGATTATTTATTTATCTAAGTCGGAAAATGCTTAGACTGTACAAATTTGTATATGCCACTTTAATTGAGCAGGACATCAAATAAAACATCCTTGCATACATAAAACAGATACTGGGCATATGTGGTAAAAAAGTTTAATGAGGGTGAGCATTATAATGCTCTTAACTAGAAAGCTAGATATTCAATCGGTTCAATGCAAATTTAAGATATTTGGCGAAAATAAATATATGTATATTTATCTTTATATATAATAATATATATATGTAAATATACGTTTTCACATTTGAAAGATCTAGACAATTATCCTTGGCACTTACAATTGGAATATTTAGCAGTTAGCAACATGTTAAATGAACTAATAATCATATTTTGATATAAACAGTATTAAAAGTGTATAAATATGACCATTAATTTATGTATTGTTCCGGCAAAACGCGCTGGCCGATCACTGATCCACGACTAAGCGATCGGCCCCGGCCGAAGCAACTGCAGATGCTCGTCAACAAATCTCGATTTGCAGACACTGTAGCTTCCGTACAGTGGGCTTAAAACGAATACCAAAGGTGATAAAGTATTGTCTTAGTCGAGGACCATGCTATTTCATATAAAGAGTAAGGTTGATAGCCAGGAATTGGAATCATATTGAAAAGTTTGGTTCAAACTAAATGCCTTTGAAGGCGACCTAGTATAAATCATAATTAGCTGGATCCATCTATATTATCTAGATCTAATGTAGCCCGAAACTTCTATATGAAAATATGTACGACTTGAAATATTTTCAGTAGAATGGGCAAAGAAATCAAAAATTGAATTGTTTCATTAATATTTGGGAAATATATGACAAGCCCAGGCTTAAAACAATTATGGTTCGCAGATGTGGAAAATCGGGGTCACGAACTTAACCTCAAGGCAAAAATATACATATTTATGCAATATTTCTGATAATTATACAATTAATAATTATTGACAGCAAATTATTCTTAACTAACACCTACACTTATGCTTTAATTTGAGAAGAATTTCTATATGACCAAAATGTTATCGTTTTTTGAAACAGCAACTCAATTAATAATGAGAAAGTTTGTATTGTGCCGAGTATTGTTTGATTTCTTCCACTGTTTGCCGCCTAATTAACCAAGGGCAGCCATAAAGGGGTCATAGTTAAATCATTGCAAATGCAATGACAAGCCCGAACTGCTTAAATAATTAATTGCGGCGACCCTCATGCGAACGGATGGATAGACGGCTAGCCAGTCAAGGGTGCACAAAGTGGATACATAAACAAATCATGATGCGAATATGTCCCTGAATAACGTCAACTGTGCGGATGCCGCTCGTTTATAATTGGATTGTGCTATAAGTCAATTAATTTGTCCATTTTCGATGTTCTCAGTTAATTTCATTGTTGTGCGAGCAGCTTTTATCAGCTCGTAACCGACCGCCGCTAATATCAATTAGCTGCCAGGGAAACTATCCTTTGATTTGACTGTTTACTTCTGCGAATAAAATGTTTTCACTGGTAAAGCATTTTCTATACTTTCATGCAACTTAGCAATGATTTTGCAACTTTATTTTTCTATCTCTTTTCAAACTATTTAATTTCACTCCTGTTTCATTCAACCTCTTACTGACCCGCCCTGTCTATCTTATTATTCTTATAACTTATATTCTTTACAAAAAGGAACTTTCTTACGCATTTCTTTTTCTCTTTCTTTTAATGTGTTTTAATGTAATGTAGGTAATTAAAAACTGCTTCCAAGAATATACCTTTTCTCTTAATGCCTTTCTATTTACCTGTAGATTTAATTAACATAACAGTCAACAGTTAGCTGTAAATAGGGGCATAGATAGCCGGAGGGGCAAATTAAATACTCCCATCGTGACGCTGATGTTATTAAAAATGTTTGTAATTCCTCTAAGCTTTTAGCAGCTATTCATTCTATTGCAATAAGCCATCGCTGCAGTACTACGTCAACTATTTGCAAATTAAAATAACTTATAGACAGGGAACTCGCCTTTTTCAAACTTTGTTCGCATTTCAATATGCTAGGTTTTTAAAGCAAGCCGCACATAATATTTTACTGCAGTCTGCCATAAAGCAATTTATATAAAAAAAAATATATCAAAACAAAAATAAAATAAGATTGTGCAGAGTCGACTAAAAGCAGCTGTAGGCAAAATTTACTTTCAAAGTAAAGTTGTTTAAGTATTAAGTCGCGCTTTATAATAAATCCCAACACTTAACGCACACAACTGAAGCGATATTCATTCGGATTCACATTTTGGTCATGGCTTTATTTTAAATGAACATAAATCTATTAATTCAATTGGAATTAACGCATTTGTCCATTTCGAAAATAAGATTACTTTTAATGTTTAAGCCAATTTGATAGCTATTTTTGTCCCTAAAATTAAAAAAAAAAAATACCTTTAGATATATATATCTCACAAAAAGAGTAAAGGTATAATTTTTTAAGCTCTTGGAGGAGGTTCCCAAATGTCACTGTTCCTATACATTCAACTCGAATCGAAGTCGCACTCACAAGTGGCAACACGCGGGTTCAAATTCAGCAACAATTTTTGATATTCTTAGGAGCAACAACATTTTGGCTGATTTTGTAACAACTACCTGAACTTTAGCGTCGGACTTACAAGCGGCAGGTGCTAGTTCAAATTCAGCTGTGGCTTACACATTTTTTTAGCTGACTTCCAAAACGCGCGGCGGCATTTTGTGCGACTATGAATCTTCCTGAAGCTGGCGCAAATAACGCCAACAAATTTGATACCAAATGCATTTTCAACATTATGTAAATCAATCAGCGCCGAATAATTTCTCTAGTTATCTATATTTTGGGTATACTTCGACAAGAAACGTGATGTACAAGTCCTATTTGGCTGAGTTACTGAGCTCCAGCTGCGGTCCACAACACAATTGGAAAATTGATGTCTGAGGCAAGGGCTCGGATTGAAAAATTGATGTCTGAAGCAAGGGCACGGATTGAAAGTTTGATTGCGGCCTGCCTGTGGCCAGCACTGGGCACACAGATAATCCGCATTGGCATCGCATGGCCACCCCTGTTAATGACAGCCGCAGCAGCAATGGGGAAATTGGGGGCGCCATTTCGCCACGGCTTCAATCATGCGGCTGCATAATCACACAGCATTTGTTGCCAGCGGCATTGTGCTGCAGTGGCCATTGTTGTATGTTTTTTTTTTATTATTACTTTTTTATTTTTAAGGGGAATCTATCTTTTGGTTTGCATAGGCCTAGCGCCCAATAAGCCGCAACAAAAATTTCAACTCGAGGGCTCGTGGGCCACACAAAGTACATAAAGAACTCGGCTGTTGTGTAAGTGTGCATTTGTCTCCATGCCAATGTCGGATTGTAAAACTTGACTGATTTTCACATAGCTCCAAGCAGATATTTTTGGGCATGTCTGACTCGATATAGGACTTATACATAAGCCGTAGACGCTATTGCTATGACAGCAATGTGGTTTTGGCTTTTAACTTTGAAAAGCTCCAGGCATTGGCACAATTAGCATTTCAAGTCTGATGTGAAATTTGATATAATAACATTCGCGCTGCTCGCGAGAATCAATAGAGAGTCTACTTTACGTTTGGATTGGAAAAACTCCC